GTGCTTCCTAACCCAATAACACTGACAGCCTGCACCACACACACACTGGCTCACCTTTACATGGACAACAAACATCCTCCGGAAAAGGTGCCCAGGCTTTGAACTATAGTTGGTTAAAACATTATGTGGCTCTTGTATCTGCCAGTTCATGCCATGGATAAATACAGGGTTATTCAATGAACTGCGGAAGAGTGGGAGCACATTGAGTTGCGTACTTTACTTCTTGACGAGTTTAAGAAGTGCAGTTTTCAGACATCATTCTTGACTACTACTATTACTATTCTATCTCTGCTCAGGAGGTAAAGTGATCACCTGTGTTCATCTGTTTGTCTGTGAGCATCAAAACAAATGGGAGGATTTGGCCGATATTTTCAGGAAAGGTCCTCAATGACACAGTGAACAACTGATACAATTTTGGAGGCAATCCGAATCATTTTTGTTTGTTTGAACAATAGAACCTCTAGGCCAGTGGTGTCACACCGGTTCCAGAGAGGGCCGATGTGGCTGCAGCTTTTACAACTTGACCAGGAGCAACACCAGACTCCACCCATTTCTCAACCATGTTTTATCTCCATCCATTTCCTCAAGTCTTTAGGGTGATAACTGGACTCACCTGAGGAAATGGGTGGAGTCTGGAACTAAAACCTGCAGCCACACCGTCCTTTTGAGGACCAGTTTTGACACCCCTGCTCTCGGCGGAGGTCTGTGCTCTCCCGGTGCTTCTCTAGTTTGACGATGTAATATTGCTTGTACTTGAGTAATTTCCATAGTAAGTTTTCCAGTGAGCAACTTTATTAAATAATTTAAAACATTGTATACCACATATTTGAAGAAATCTTCTTTCAGACCTCACTAGCATTAAAAAATCCAATATTGACTCTTTGACTGCCATTGACGTATTTGTCTGAGACCCTCTATTTGACAAGGGATTACAGGACAATAAAAAAAGCTAAAAACAAACTTATTTTTGCTGATCAAAGTAAAAAATCCAGTCTTTCAGAATCTGGTTTCACATTTCACATAGTCTTAGGAAATAATATTCTGTGGGTCTTGAGAATCAGTGAAATCATAAAAAACGGTTGGCAGTCAGTTAAGGTGAGTTTTTATTTTCAATTAGGCCTTTTTGTACAGGAATATTAAAAAAATACACTTTTAAAGGCTGTATAGGTCCAGTCCTAATCTTAATACTAGTACCTCAGTTCACACATGTTGGCGTAGAAATGGCCAGATTGTCCTTGGACATTTGGTCGGGCTCCTTAATATTATTGATCATGTAGAACACAGAGCTGAACAGGTGGAGGCGGTGCAGCTCTAATATTATTGCAGTGCGAAAGAACGTTATAAAAAGTAGGATTTTGTGCTTGCAGTTGTAAAGTTGAATTCTCAGAGCGGACATTAGCCTGTGCCATCTGTTCTCCTCCAACCCCTACTTTTTCCTTGGACTCGACTTTTACACAACATTTCTGGCTTATGCTTTCTGTCTGTTATACGGCCAAGTTCATCATACTGGAAAACAGATTTTTGTGTCACTTCATATGGACATATCAACATTCTCACGTTACATTCTCGAGCCAGCAATTCTCGTATTGTGTTGAAGTAGTAATTGCTGCAGCTGCTGTTTCTATGCCCATCTAAAACACATCTCAAGCTGAGCCACCTTCACTAAAATGGACTTTTCCCTCTCCATTTCGCCCCTTTGTAATCCATCTTATCTGCCTCCCCTCCTTCATTGTGCCTACATGACTCAGGGCTGCCTGTCTGCACACAGCACAAGAGTGAGAAGCAGAGAAGGAAAAAGTGTGGTGCGGGCGACGAGGACTTTGATGGCCGCGTGTTTGAGAGAAAGGAAGAGAAAGTAAAGAGGTAGTTTGAGTGGGGGAGCTGAGGAGAAATCGTAGATCAGAACGTCATGATTGAGCCATCTGCTGAGGCCATACAAGCACACACACACACACACACACACATTGACTCGCTTAAACAGTGCTTAAAGATCGCCACTGCCACCCGTTGGTCACCGGTTGTCACTGCGTCTCTCTTTTTCCTGCCTCAGCCGTACAGTCTATGGTTTCAGCCCTGCAGGATCACATAATAGAGCAGCGGTAGTAAAGCAGTGGCAGATCATGCCTGGGTTTTAGTGGCGGTAAACAACAGAAGGATAGTAGAAGTAGTAATGTTTTGCGGGGTATTTTCAAGGTAGATTATCAAATCCATCCAAGCCTCTATGTTCTCACAATACTAATATTTATGGACACAGCTCGAGAACTGCTTTTTCAGCCATAGAAGATTATCTACTCCTCTCATCCCAAAGTGTCACATAGTAACACGCAATGCTTTTTCTCACAACTGCTTGTGCATGTGGATTGTACAGCTGCCCGATTCTGTCACAAATATTGTTTTACTCAAACTTTGAATGAATTAATATAAGAAAAACTTTTATGCAGTGAAAAATATACAGCAGGTTTTGCATTGCGAGAGGAGGGGTTGCTAGTTTTGTTGTCTGTTTAGATTAGATTAGATTTAGCTTTATCGTCATTGCAATGTCAGAACGATGCAACAAAATGCAGTTTAGCATCTGACCAGTGGTGGAATAGTGCAAGTATAGGATAATATTTACAACACAGATAAATATATAAGCAAGACTGTACAAAGCTCTTATTGCTAGTATAGACATTGATTATATAAGCAATTTTCGAGCCAAAAAGTATACACATAAACATAAACCTGGGCCTGATGACTAGTTGGCCTTTATTATACAGTTCAATATGTTAATGGTCCTCTCCCTAGCATTGTGCACTGTTGCTAAGAACAGTTCCAAATTTGTCAAAAAAATTTCATAATCCACTGACGGCAAAACAGCGAGTGAGGGGGCTTCCACATCGGTCATATCTTTAGGTGTGCCCTGTTAAGTCTGAGCCGAGAAAGGTAATTCAGAAGAAGAACCAGGGGAGAGCATGGAGCACCAGGCCTAAGAGGAGGAGCGGTCACAATCTCCCAAAACCGAGCAACCCTCTGACTCCCTAACCATGTGGAAGTATGTCCAAACAGAGCCAGAGTCCCATAGGGTTTTTATGGCGTATTTTTGTATGACTTATCAAACCAGCAGAAAGCATTATTACAAAGAGAGTCATCATAAGAGCCAGAAATATTAGTGTTGCAAGGTTTTTTGTCTCACTTTCAGCTTTGGATGTTCAGTGATTGCTTAATTTCTGCTTTAGATAGTCGACGATTGATTTAGTTGTAATGGTAAAATGTATCGTATGGTATCTTGAGACTTCTATACAAAGTCTATAGAAAGTTATGGATCACTTTATTGTCTCCATTGGGAAATTTGTCCTCTGCATTTGACCCATTTGTTGTTGTTGACGCTCGGCTTGGTCAGGACAACTTCCACTGGAGGATGTTACCTATGGTGTATGTTTTGGGTGGGAGGGGGGAAACCGGAGTGCCCAGAGGAAACCCACCCAGACAGAAAGGCCTGGCATGGGAATCAAACCGTCTTACTGAGAGGCATAAGCGCTACCCACTCAGCCACCGTGGGCATATGTTGCAGCACAGACACGTAGCTCTGAGCATCGATCGCTCTGGTCTGGTCTGAGTCCGTTTAAGCAGATGATTTTGTTTTTCTCCACAGGGTTCTTTGTTCGCTAATATACAAGCTTTATCTCCACCGCACTCCTTTCTAAGAGCAGCAGCGCCTCAATGCGGATTATAAGATTTGGGCCTTTGAAAACATATTGAGTATAGTACTTTGTTACAGACTCCAGCCAGGGCTATAACTGTGCTGTAATCCTGCTGTGGCTCTTTCATTCTTCCCCCACAGTTAAATATGATTTGTAAAGAGGTAGACTTCTTGACTGGGTGATTGCCTATTGTATTTCTGCTATCATCGAGAAACACCATATTATTTTAAAAAGGCTGGTTGATAAGGTATAAGATCAAGAGAATGCATAAATACATGCTTTATAATTGACCCTAGTAACATAAGTGTAAGTTCATTGAGTGAATGGACTTGTTGCTATTAGTAGTTATTAAAAGAATGTCATTTTAGTTGCTTGATTTTGAAGCACATACTGTATATTAATAATAATTGTGGTGCTCTCTCACCATGTAGTTAAAATGAATGACTTCCCCCACAACCATCATCATGAAATGCAATTTAATATGGACCGCCTTTGACCCTAAAAATGGGCTCCGCTTATTATATCTTAGAACATCGATTTGTTTTTGTTCACACATTTTTCAGTGTCTTTTTCGTCCCTCTATCTCTTGTTGGCTAAACGGTGTCCGCTCTTCTTTCCGATCTAATCTTTATAGATTCATAAACGCTACCCTTTCATTGGTCAGAGCAAGCCATTTCATCCTATTAGAGATTAGCATACGGCTGAGTGGAAGAGGAAGTGCTCTTTATATGCTAATAAGGAAATAATGTATGCAGCGGGGACCAACCAATGCCTGATCCTCCGACTCCAACATGAATACTCTTGAGCCAAACTAAAAAGCCATTGGTATTATAGAAAGAGTTGTATTTGGTCATATAGTAATAACAGTCTATTTTGTCAACATATCTCTCAAATATGAAATAGGTCATATGACTTTGCCTCTTCATGACTAGAAAACATTAAATGGAAGTGAATATGTTTCAAATCAACAATAAATGAATTAGCCATGAAATGGTTATGCATGAAGATTTCACCAGCTTTAATGGATTCATGGAACTGCATCAAGTCAAGAAGAATAAAGTTTAAACCTTTTTCATATCAATTCAAATGAATTATTCTCTATTCAACTCTAAATATCTGCTTTAATAAGCAATGAATGATGTTGTGTTACTGCCATGTTCGCTCCTACTTATAAACACTCAATGCATAAGAAAATAAAATACAATCGTCTCTTAACCAGAGCAGATGCTTCTCTATCCCACATGTCCTCTGTTCTCTGTTCTTTTAGCTGGTTCTCAGTTTCCTCCTTGTTATCTCTTGCAGGAGCAGGGCGTAGTGGGAATGTCCCGACCGCCTGGTGCCATCCCGCCCCCTCACCCCGGTGGAGGAGTGGCCACTGGAGTCGGACCCAACCAGGGATCAGGACCCCCTCCAGGCTACGTGGGCAACCAGCAGCAGGCCATGATGAAGCAGATGATGGCCATGGAGCAGGAGAAGAGAGTCCAGATGCACATGATGGAGCAGCAGAAACAGCAGCTCTTCCGAGAGCAGAGGCAGCAGCAGCAGCAGCAGCTGTTGGCTGAACAGGTGAGACATGACAAAGTAATATACAGTATATGATAAAGAAGAGAGACTGTATCAGTGGCTCAGAGAATAGATCTACAGGCGCTCTCCAGGAGGAGGCCAATGTCTGCGCTGGAAGCAGATACGGTGGAATAACTTACTCAATTACTGTGTTGCTATATATATAAAGTTTACATTTATATTGACAAACAACTGGTACATAGTAGCAAATGTCAACATAATCAATCTGGACATCGTTTTATGTGTTTTCAATTAATAATATTTCCACATTCATTTTTGAGCAGAACAGACCAAACATGATTAATTACATGTCAACCTTGTGCCTCATGTCTGGGAACAAATAAGAGGTGTAGATGTAATTTAGATATAAAATATTGCAGACACTTTTTAAACGTTAAGATGTCCAGCTAAAAGTTCTTATCTCTCTTTGGACAACGTAAAAGACATGTAACATAATACAAACTAATAAACCTCAAAATGTATAGTGTTCTGGGAGTCACTAATGACTAATGACCAGTTACAGCAGTGCACTGTGGAGTTGCATGTATTTACTTCCTCTGCAGGTAAAGTCATGTGTCCGTTGATAACTCGTTGCCCATCCTCTCGTTTTCCTTACTGTTGTCTTCTTGTTTGTGTAATTGCCCCTTCCCACCCCCCTCTCCGCTCCGTCCTTTTCATCTCCTCAAGTAGCTTATGTGTATTTGTACTTTGCTTTTTCGCCACATGCCACCTGCTGTGATAATGTGGCGTTTTCCTTTTATTTCTCAGCGAGCGAATTGAGTGCTAAAGATCTTAGGAGTCGCCACCCACCAGATTGGCTTTAATTGGACGTGCAAAAACATTAAGCCATGCAAATATAGGTGTGTGTAAGAGGAGGGCCGCACCCTGCTGGGCCGTGCCACGTGCCGTTAACTAGACATCACGACTTGTATTGAAATGAGCAACACCGTATGTTGTCCACGCACTATCTTTTAGTGTCTGTTGATTACTCTGCAAAAGCAGCTGTTGATGAGAGGATTATGTATGTACCGCCATGAAACATCTGTCCAGAGGAGGTGTGGGGTGATTAAAACAAAGCTTTGGTTTGCGTTCTGGTATGAGTTGTGTCCACTGCACACAGATGAGAATTGTCAAGGACTTTTGTCAATAATAGAACATTCTCAATCAGGGCATCCCCAGTTTTTATATTGTTGAAGTAATAGCTCCTGTTGATACATAGAGGTTGTTTGCTTACATTTCCCCTTTTTATTCAACCATTTTGTTCCATTCATGCTTTTACTTTCGCTTTATCCATTGCCGGGTCTCAGAGGTAGCAGTCTATTTATTATATTGTTTAGTGTAGCACAACATGTCACCAATGTTCCCCTTGGGACAATAACGTTGTTGAGAGCTGAGTTGAGGTGAGATGCTCAGAGAGATTCTGAATCCCAAGAACACTTTCACCAGTTCATCTGGGGGAATCCCACGGCATTCTCCGTTAGTCTATTCAGGAATTATTATGGTGAAGTTTGATTAAATCTATTATTATTACTTCATTACTGTAATTTGGCACAGTTTCTATCAATCTATTTCTGTCAAAGTTGGTGCATAAACTGAAAATGAAATGAGAAAGTGACGATAAATTACAAAGGATGAGTACAGTCATAATCCTGATTATTGTATTTATCAGTTTCAAATACATGAGTAATATTGTCCTTGAGTTTGCCCTACAGGAGTAAATAAAAGTGTAAGTGTATTTTAACCATGAACTGAATCTTAAAACACAATATAATACAAACACAGAAAAAAGTGATGGAAAACTAGGGCTCATTTTGACTGCCATACAACAAGCAAAATGATCTGGTTTTAAAAAGCTTCAAGAAATGAATGAGAATGTTCTTGTAAAGAATGAGAAAATGAAGCAACAGCGGATTGGCTTGTCCCATTGGAAAATCTTGACAGTCAGAATGTATTCAAATTAAGATAAAAACACTCAATTCAAGCAATTATAATCTCATATTTTATCATTTTTGCAGTGTAATATTTGCTCTTTTAACTCGATGTCTGTGCTTCCCATGCAGCTTCAGCAGCAGCAGCATCTTCCGCGACAGATGGGGCACGGCCAGAGGAATCCATACCCTCCAGTCAATCAGTACCAAGGTAAGCGCACGCACATTTAACGCGCTCATATCTGCCACGATTCATTTCATACGCACAACAATCTTTAAGGAGAGCCTCCATAGATTTTCCATCGCACAAGTCAAGACCTGACCTAATTTCTTTGGTCTTTTTATCGATGAACACATTAGCAAATAGATTTTAGGTATCATCGGCTGCAGCTTTTCAGAGATCTTCCACATTGTAATTACAGTAGCGCTGCTGCTTCTCAGTCAATGATGAGGACATTGAGGTCTGCAATAAGTATCGCGAATATAAATGAAATAAAATATCTCTTAATTATTAAAGTTGACACGTAATACATTGATCTAAATGGTTTGTAAGTCAATAGGGATTGTACTTTGAGATGGTAAATACTAACACAATGCATTTATTCATACATAAACGCATTCAGTAGTAGCAGTAGCAGTAGTAGTAAGAGTAGAAATGGAAGTAGTAGTAGTAGTAGTAGGAGGAGTAGTTGTAAGAGAAGGACAGGAGTAGTAAGAGTAGGAATGGAAGTAGTAATAGTAGTAGGAGTAGGAGTAGGGCAGTAGTAGTAGTAAGAGAAGGACAGGAATAGAAGTAGTAGTAGTAGTAGTAGTTGTAAGAGTAGGACAGGAGTAGTAGCAGTAGTAGCAGTAGGAGTCGGACAGTAGTAGTAAGAGTAGGAATGGAAGTAGTAATAGTAGTAGGAGTAGGAGTAGGGCAGTAGTAGTAGTAAGAGAAGGACAGGAATAGAAGTAGTAGTAGTAGTAGTAGTTGTAAGAGAAGGACAGGAGTAGTAGCAGTAGTAGCAGTAGGAGTCGGACAGTAGTAGTAAGAGTAGGAATGGAAGTAGTAGTAGGACAGGATTAGTAGTAGTAGTAGTAGTAGTAGTAGTAGCAGCAGCGAACGGTGGCAAAGTAGTTCACAGCCAGAAGGTCCTGGGTTTGATTCCACATGCCAGGACATTTCGGTGTGGAATTTGCATGTTCTCCCCGTGTCTGTGTAGGTTTCCTCCGGGTGCTCCAGTTTTCCCTACCACTGAAAACATGTACAATAGGTCTGCCATGTGCCTCCTGTACTGGTGACCCCGCTCCCATCTCTGTCTGAAGTGAGAGACAAATGTCCATAAAAATTCTATAGCGCTTTGTGACTCTGGTCTGTGAAAGGCGCTATATAATTAAGGATTACTTACTTACTTAGGAGTAAGAGTAAGATTAGTAGGAATGGGAGAAGTAGTAGGAGAGTAGAAGTAGCGTCTTGTTCTATTGTTGCCAGTCTCCTGTTTACTATTAACCTAATCTTTACTGGAAACTGAAAAAGTACAAACAAAACACATAAGCAAACACAAACTTAAAAGATTTCACAATATACAAACTTTCACATTTGGTGCCAGTTGTGTTTTTGTTATGTTGTACACGAGTTGTTAGAGCCTGCTGTTTTGTCGGCCAACTGACAAAACACTTAGATTCCATTCAGTGTTCAAATATTTATTGAAATTGTTATTTGTTTAAAACCACAAATCGCTCTAATGAATCGTACGCACATATTTCAGCCTGTATGACACCATCTTGTGCACCATATTTTTTGCATGGAGGATCCTAACCTTGAGATTGTCTACCAGACGCTGTCAGATTTGTCAGTTTTCGATGCTCAGATGCTCTTCCTCTCTCTCTCACTCACAATCTCTCGCTCGCCCCGGGAAAAAAAATATAGAATATTCCTGCTCTGCCTGTTACCACGGCAACTTGTCTGTCCTGGATCCCCAAGAGTTCGGCTGGAGTCAGAGAAGGAAGGAAGCGAAAAATGTAGAAAAGGTTTGAATAGCGGAAGGAAGGAATACATACAAAGATAATAAAAGCTGATGAATGCACAAAACTGATTTTAAATTATAAATACTTATGTTTAAGATATGTACAATTAATATAACAATTGAATTTCATGAAGCAGCGTTGGAACTGGGGAATCCGGGCCGAGTGTTAATGCAGTTATTTTAAATCAACTTTTTTGATCTTTTAATCATTGCACTTGTTCTTTGACCTGGAGTTCTTTTTAGATCCATCCATGCTAATATTAAGAACTTCTGGCACAAAAATTTAACTCTACCCCTTCTGTGGTAACGCTCTTGTTTCAAACCTGTGATGAAATGGTGTAATTATGCTGGGTGGCACGGTGGCTGAGTGGATAGCACTCTCGCTTCTCAGCAAGAAGGTCCTGGGTTCAAATTCCAGTCAGAACAGGGCCTTTCTGAGTGGAGGTTGCATGTTCTCCCCGTGTCTGCGTAGGTTTCCTCCTGGTACTCCGGTTTCCTCTACCTCTAAAAACATGTACAATAGGTCTGGCATGTGCCTCCTGTACTGGCGACCCCGCTCCCATCTCTGTGAGGAGTGAGAGGACAAATGCCCAAAAAATAACAAAATTGTAAACCGCTTTGTGACTCTGGTCTGTCGCTATATAATTAAAGATTACTACTACTTACCACTAATTGTAGAACGATGACATTTTTCTGCCTTTAAAAAGAAAAGTAATGCCCGTAAATTATTTCTGGCAATTTCTTTCCAATCACATAGATGTGTTTGCAGCTCGTAATGTTCAAATTTGATAAAACTAAATAAATAATGGACTCCTCCTTCTGGTGGGAGCATAGGGAGTTTTTTTTACTCTTGTTTTATTATTTCACATGCTAAAACATGAAATGACAAAGTAGAAAGTAATCTTCTTTAAACTTTCTACAGCAACATCTTAGGCGCATTCACAGATCTGTTTCAAAAGATAAGTAAGATGCCTTAATAATCCGAATCCGAATTATTTGTATTGCCATTGTGATAGTAATAATGAATGATAATGCATTGTTTAAAGTGCTTTTTTGGACTCTCAAAGACACTTCCCATGTTATTATTCATTCCCTCCATACACAATGATAATGATACACAATAAACTACAACTGCAGCCACAGCTGCCCTGGGGCACACTGACAGAAGTGAGGCAAACAGTATGAGTCATTGGCCCCTCTTCACATACACACAATAGACACATTCTAGGCAATGTGGGTGAAGTGTCTTGCCTAAAGACACAACGGCAGCATGTCACCACGTGACCTCTTGTACCTGGTCTTGCTAGAGGTCTCCCATCACAGTACTAACAAGGCCCTGCCCTGCTTAGCTTCAGAGGTCTGGCAGGATCTGGCTTTCACATGCAGGTGGTTCCACAAATGTATGTAACAGGAAGTCACAAACTATTTTGATATAGCTTTGAAATATGGTGCATAAAACTCATAAGTTTTTGCTGTAAACATCAATATTCAGGAATTAAATATATACTAATGACAAGGAACTAATTCTTCAGTGTAAAAAAGCGAATGACCTTGATTTGTTTTTGGGGGGGTTATTGTGAAAGGCAGTACAAAAATAAAGGATGAAGTAGTTGCACAAAGACGTGAGCAATAAACGAACAAAAAAAGGAAAGGTGATAATTTAGTAACAGAGAGGTATCATGGAAGGGAGGAAGACAAGGACATAGAAAATCCATTCATAGTCATTAGACATCTCTCCAAGGCTAAAATGATAATAACACAAGAATGGAGATCTAAGCACAATTAATACACAGCAGCTCAATCCCACGGAGCAACAGGAACACTGTGATTATGCCATTATCAGCTGCAATCAGAACCTGCCCATGCTCCACTGCCACATTCATACAGGGGATAAGTGCGAGGATGCGGCCGTTTGGTGTTCAATTAAAACTGACTGAACAACACACAGTTGAGATTGGGAGTGGGTTCCCTCTTTTACAGTCAGAGTGGGGCTACATGGTGAGGGCACTGTGGGTTTATTAAAGGATTTCAATTCATTCTCCGTTACTAGACCTGCTCATTTCAGCCACTTCCTGTCTCTGCTGGTTGAAACTGTGGAGGCATTGTGCAGGGGGCTCATTCTTAAACTGTTTTGTTTTTGTTTTTAGGACCTCCCCAAGAGCTGGCATCGCGGAGTCAGGCTCTCCAGAACATCCGCGCAGCACGCCTTCTGCAGCAGCAGAACCAGCAGCAAATGGTCCAGATGGGATCGGTCCAAGGACAGGGAGGCTCCGTGGGACCTCAGTCCGACATGGGACTACCGTACGGCAACCAAGCATCTAATCAGGGGTCTCTCTATGGACTCAACCCCAGCATGAGCCAAATGATGCACCAGCAGCACCAAAGCCAAGGTGTCCAGCCCCCCATGGGACTTCAAGCACAGCACAACCCAGCGGCGGGGCCTCGGCAGGCGGGACCAGGAGTGGGGGGCATGCCCGGTGGTCCGGGAGCTCCAGGATATGGAGGCCAGGGGATGATGATGCAGCAGTCCCTAAAAGGACCTCCCAATGCCAAAGCACAGGCTCAGAGACTGCAAAGCATGCTGGGAGCCGGAGGGGGAGGAGGTCCAGGTCTGGGGGCGGGTGGCTGGCCGCAGCAGCAGGGACAGGGGCTGGTGAACAGGACTACAGGGGGAGACATGGTGGGCTTCAGCTCCACACAGGGCTACATGCAGCCTGGACAGCCACGCATGGCAAAGCAACACTTTCAGGGCCCAGGACAAGGCATGAGCCAGGCCATGGACCCACGGGTAGGAAACCCCGCAGCAGCAATGGGCGGCCCCATGATGGGCCCTCACATGAGCGGCCAGCCCAGGACCAACCAGCCGCGGCCCATGGTCATGAACCAGGGTATGAACCAGGGGGTGATGGGACAGGGAATGAGCTCCATGGGAGGGTTCGGCCCTGGACCTGGGGGTCCCAGCATAGCTGGAGGAGGAGCAGGGGGACCATACGGACCAGGGGGTGTCACGGGTCAGCCACAGAGTTACCAGAGGACACCAAATCAGGACATGTCAACGTACGGTTACGGGGGCGGGCCCTCGGGTGGGGCAGCCTTCGGTCTGGGCGATGGCTCAGGGGCTGAGTTGGACTCGAGTGACGGTTGGATGGAGGAGTTTTTCCCAGGACAATAGCCAAAGGGGAAATCAGAGTTTTACTGGACTAAACGTGGGACATGACACAGCAAGGACAGCTCTCAGCATGTTTTTGTTTTGTAAAACATGAGCTAGTTCTGATGAGTTCTGTGTTCTGTGTGTGAGAGTGAGTGTTGAAGAAAGACCATTCTGTCTTGTGCATTTAAAGTAAACCCAAATAGAGATTAAAGGTGTGTTCCATTAGCTCCCTTCCGGTCCTTGAAACGAATTATTCTTATGTTTGAAAGCGATGCCCGTTTTAACAGTGCTTTGAGCCAGAGCTTCAGCTGGGCTGATTGAACACCGCAGACTGATCATGAAGGGGAAGGAAAACTTGTTCTTGAGACAACAATTTATTTGTGTTTCCGTGTGTTTGTGCCACCCAGCTCTGTTCTTTAGATCTTTTAGCTGTGTGAGACACTGAAGAGAATAGAAAGCACTCTCCACGCTCCCATTTCCTCTGTCAGATTTGTGTGGCAAACACACAGCACTCAAACATGTCTTTTTCACTCTGTTATCTTCACTTGATCTTTCTCTCTGTCTCTCTGTCATCCTCTCTCCTCCCGTCTTCCCCTCCGTCTCCAGGGACACTCCACACTCCCTTCCCCTGTTTAAATTGTGAACATCACAGCAGAACAAATGATGCGTTTCTGCTGTGCTCAATGCTGCCCTCTAGTGCATTTGCTTGGTTTATTTCCGTACATAAGGGAGGTCAATGACAGGGAACAGGCAGCTAAGCGAGCAGTACGCACACATGCAGGCTACAGATCTGCCGTGTACAATAACAGCAGTAATATGTGTGTCCAACCCTGTCATGGCCTGGCACAAGCACTCTGCATGCATCCGCTGAAGCTCCCATCACTGGGCACTGAATGTATCCAAGCACCACAAGTGACTTCTTCTTTTATAATAAGTACCGTAAAAACAAAAAAAATCACTTACAGCCCATATACTTTTTCATTGCTGTTTCTTCTCAATGATGTTAGTAGTGTCCTATATGTACATGTTTTAAATGCACTTGTTTTAGTTTGTGTTGTCTTAAGAAAAAAATAACATCATGTCCAAATGTGGCCCATAGCTTAACAATAGGCTTTCTCTATGTACCGCATCTCGCTAAAGCTCCAACATTACTGTGCTATACTGTGACACTACTGTGAAGAGAAATGTTGCTTAGAACCACTGCAAAGCCTTGATTTTCAATATCGTGACAGCTAAAAGGGTCAATAATGTTTAGCCACAGTCAGCATTAGGACAATTAGTGCTTCCAGTGAGATTACCCTTCTTTGAGCAAGTCTATCAAAGTTTCTCCAAGCTTATTGTTAAGTGTATCCATTTGTTTACCTATTGACTGAATATAATTGTACATCTGGTATACCACCTTCCCTCCCAAACTGTTTTGTAATATTAAAGATGAATGAAGAGTGTTTGCATGTGAGTTTTCAAGGACAAAGCTGTAATCCAACAAACCAAAAAGCCTTTTTCTCTGTAAACTAGCTCCGTGTCATCAAAACATATGTTCTCATGGTTGTTGGTGTGGTATAACAACCCTTTAAATCCAATCTTTAGACATGGCCATTGTCCCTGTATGTGTTATTTGTTAGAAACGCTGAGAAAGTTATGTTATTGTCAAAATGTTAAGCTAACATATTGAGTGTCTGAGTTTAGCTGGGGGAAAAAACACGCCTTTGTGTAAGACTTATTGCACAAGAAACGCAGTGGAGTATTTGCAGTTTCCGTGAATCCACTGTTAATGCTTCCAAAATTCCCAACCCCAGGCGAACTCGGATATTAAACTCAATATTAGAGCAGTCCAAAAGAGGAAATCTTCACCTTCTGTTTTCACTAAAAAACGGGAGGTGCAAAGGCAGAGAATCTCTTCCAGGTCAGAGTAAAAGTCACATACGTTCATGTCCTCTTTTATGTGAAGGTTAAAAGAGAGACTTTGGAAGCTTCCTCCAAATATCATAATGTACTGGGACCAAGTCTGTAGACAACATTTTAACAAAATTGTTGTTGTTGATGTTCCTTGTTTATTTTATTTGTTTGTTTGTTTTTTTTACTGGTGCTGACATATATGTGATTATGAGAAAATATATAAAAGATATTGGCTATTTGTAAATATGTTTTTACAGGTTTAAATACATCAGATAATACAGTCTCTACTCTGTAAAGAATTTACTGTTTGTTGAAAATAGAGAAGTATTTTTATTTTGAAGTTTGGTTTCACGTTTAACCCATCTGAGCTATGCCATTGCACTTCAGACAATGTCTTACTACTAATTTGTAATGTAAACCTCTTTCTTTTATGATTTTTCATTTGTTTTCTAGTTGAGATTTGACTCTGGTCTTAAGCAGTGCTTATTTCTTTTTAACCTGTACAGAATTAAAAAGAGAATTACAAAACCTTTTTGTTTTATTTTTTCAATAACGAGTGAATGTTGTGGGTGGATCATATTAGAGCAGGTTCTTGGTGCTTTGAGGATTCATCACTGAGACTGACCAGCACTATAGGACATTTTATGACAAGCAGCAATTTCATTTAGTTTCAGGGTCACATGACTGACAGAGACAAATGCGCCTACATTCAAGTCTGCCCAAAATCCAGACTGACTAACTGCTTCAGTAATGTTTTGTCTAACAGGAACCATTTGCATAATTAGACGTGCATATGCTAAAGAGCAGTCTTAATTCTGTCTCCATGTAACAGCGACGATGAATCACAGCAGACAGACAGACCACACGCAGGGACAAGACCTTTTTCTTGTAATTCATCTTTTCTTCGACCAACCCCTTTCAAATTCACTCCTCACTCTGTGTCAGCCCGCCCTTCTTCTCCATCTATTCACTTTACACACCTGCCTCCTCACCCAGATCCAGACCAGGATCCTTGTTCCCCCATCACTCCCTCTTCCCCAACAACCCACAGCATCACACGCACAGCCACCACACTTCTGCTCTTCCATCTGACATTGATAAATGGAGACTAACAGAGATGACAACATCATTACTCATGTTCAGTGGCGACACCGGCTAGGACAGAGAAAAACGGGTCCAGCACAGAGGATGAAGGACAGGACAGAGGAAAGATTGGTGGGGGGCCAAAAGGGGGAAGGGAGAAGGTGCTTTAGTGAGAGATATGCTCCAACCATCCACCCACAAGCCCACACCTGAACACCTCCAGACTGCTTCTCACTCAGCTGTCCATTGCCGTGTGAAAAAGAAGAGCAACTGTTGATCGGCTCAAGAGTGTGAAAGAGTCAGGGGAGTGTGGAGGTCTCTAAAGGCAATTCAGAAATCATGGCATCAATCATCTTTGTTTCATGTAGATGTTTAAAATAAATTAGATGTATTTTTGTGGAAACGTAAGCTACATGTCTCCTTTAATCATGTGATGGAAATATGCATTGAAGTGAAATTCTAACTGTTTTTTGTCTCTGTTGAAATGAGAGAATAAGCCCATATGAATGATATGACACCTTATAAATGATAACACCTGTTCAAAGGACACGCCTAAACGCAGGATCATATTGAGCCAGATTGTGCCTCCTGTTCTGAAGCCGTGTTTTTGTCTCTCCTTTGTTTCAAATTAAAAATGATCCGTTTTAATGTGTGCTCTTGTTGGTGGGGGCAGGTAACAGGCTTCATGCACTCATCTTCTACAGATCTGATTCAACAACAAACAACCAGTTAATGTCAAGCACTTGCCAGAGAAGCGGTTTTTTTCACAGACACACACCATCGGCCTTGCGCTCACTCTGGAGGCACCAGTGTTATGGGCTCTAATCAGAAGGACAAATGATGTGTCACAAAGAGTGGGAGATGAGCTGGAGGAATCACTCACTCTCCCCTCCCTGTTGGAGAGTAATAAGGTAGAGAAATGTAGCAGGAGAGGGCTGACGTATGGCGTGGAGGAGTGGACAGCAATGGAATGGGCTTCTCCTGTGCGCACTGCTCATGCTGGCGTTGTGTTGCAGGGACATAGATCTCAACCCCCTCCCTCCCTCTTTCTCCATCGTTGCTTATAGGCGCCCAACAAAGGTCTCAGTAGTCGGTGTGTATGTGTAGAATGTGTGTAGTGTCAGATTGATTAATGTTGTAGCAGGAGCCAGTGTGGTGGAGGAGTAGGAGGCCACCTGATAACAGCAGAGCAAGGCCTAAGCTGTCTCCAACAATGACTAAAGCACATACACACACACACACACACACACACACACACACACACACACACACACACACACACACACACACAAAGAAAGATACCTAATTATGCTCCCTTCACTTGAGCTGTATATTTCAATGTTTAGAATATAATATTTCTTTAGGACTAGAAGCTCAAGGGCCTGAGGTTGCAAAAACCTTGTAGGTGTCCAAAACAAGGTAGGAGATACGCAAATAGCATATACATACGCATACACTGCATGGCATAGCTTAAGGTTATTGACACCCAATTAACAAAAACGTAAGCCTAGTTCTTTCTATTTTTGCATGGGTCTGGTTCTCTTTATTCATTACTATGGCGCCCTCTAGCGATAGAGAAACGAGAAGCCCAGTTCCTGCAAGTTGTTAAATGAACTGTGTGTGTTGTAAATAATGTCACTATGAATGTGATAAATGAAGTATTGTCAAAAAATGGCTTGATGCAATACCTTAATTATATGTCACAAAGTAGCACACCTTTACATAGTTGGAAGAAACTCCTGTTCCCTCTGGAGCCTGGAGAGCTGCCTGGACAATATGGAGTGGTCTTTTTACTTGTATTATCTGAAATAAAAAGGGGAAAAAATAGGGATGAGTGCGCAAACTAACTATTATTGTGCTGATATGATAAGACTTGAATTATACTCATCTTGCATGTAATCAGCTGGATTAGTTTAATTGATGCATGATTTAATTGTTGATAATATATATAAAATAAAAGTTTAAAAAAGAGTTGGCTCGTCTCATAATCAGCCCAACATCACCTGCTAAAGTTTGCAAATAAGTTACAACAGCATGATGTAGCTCAGACAAATCAAAATTACAGAAATAGGTTAAGATTAACAAAAGATCCTTTATTCGTCCCATGGAGGGGAAATTTCAATGTTGCATCACAAGTTAAAGAACAGTAGGCACAGAACACGAGAAGAGTGAATATTAATGGTATAAGATGATTTTCCCAATTTTTTGGAAATAACCGCCCTCTCCACTTTTTGAAAAGAATGAATAAACTCTCTGGTCATATTTGACGAGCCCATATCACCAGAAGAATTGACAATTGGAAGTACCAATAGTAGAAAATCCTCAAACAACTCTATTATCTGCTTTTCAGATTCATGCTGCTAAAATATGGAACAATCTTCCTGAAGATGTGAGACAGGCCTCCTCTCTGACAATGTTTAAAACCAGGTTAAAAACGGTGCTGTTTAGCTGTGCATACAACTGAGGGATTTTATATTTTTATCTTTCGTTTTAATGTTCTGTGATTATTTATGATTTTTATGCTATCTTGTTCAGCACTTTGAGTTGCCTTGTGTATGAATTGTGCTATACAAATAAACTTGCCTTGCCTTGCCTTGCCTATACTTAGAAATAAAAAAAAAGATAATAATAAATGATGGAATTATATTAAAAAATAATTAATACTATAATACTGCAGCATCAAGTTTAAGTGCATATGGCTTTGTGTGGAAAAGGAAATCAGAGTATTAAAAAAATATGTACAATAAAATATGTACAATAAAAATATGTACAATAGTTCTGGCATGTCCCTCCTGTACTGGCCCCGCTCCCATCTCTGTGTGGAGTGAGAGACAAATGCCCAAAAAAATCAACAATTGTAAACCGCTTTGAGACTCAGATCTGCAGTGAAAAGGCGGTATATAAATAAAAAAACTTACTAACTTACTTACTAGTATTCCATTATAATACATCTTTGTTCCAGACTCAAGGTCGATACAAGAGTTGCACTTATGTAGAGTTTCACGTATATATGCAAACTTAATACTATTTGCGAGCATTGGTGTGTAGTGTAGTGTAGTGTAGTGTAGTTGAAGAAGATGACATAGTCTGGGATCGCGTCTTAAATTCAGACAGAAGACATGTTTTATTGTCGATGGTAGAGACAGCACGATCAAAGCACACAATCACAGATACAAGAGAATGCAAGTGTATTATACAGAGCGGAGGCATGGAGACCCCCAATCAGCAGCTGCCACAGTGCCATGTAGCTTGGCCTTCAGATAGACAAAACAAGGGAAAAGTACTGGCTTCTGCACATTGATAGAATGATGAGTTTAACCTTAACAAAAGTTGCTTCAAAGTGTTATGAAATCTCACATTCCCCCCTCTGGTCACACATTCCCGTGTGACCATCAGGATCAATAAACAGCAACATAACATCATAACTCAATACTTCAAAAACTCATAAACTCGGTACTTCACTCTGTACTTCAAAAAACTCAGAACTCGGAATACTTCAAAAACTCATAAAACATGTTCAGATCTTTCATAAAACTTGTCAACAATCTTCAGTAAAATACCAAACTTCATCAGTCGATGGTGGTTCCAGATATTGCTTTGAAAACAGTCTCTCCCACTTCTCCGTTTTAGTTTTCTTCAGGCTGCATTTGTGTCGAGCCATGAATTCTTCTGTGACGTGTCTTTCAATCACACGTTTCAGCTTCAGTGTCCAGATTTAGCAATTCAATTCAGTCCAAATTATGTCCAAATTCAGAAATCCAATTGTTCCAAATTATGTCCAAATTGTGTAATCCAATTTTTCCAAATGGTGTCCATGCAAAAGAGGACGCATGGTGTTGTCCATGTCTCAGCAGCTCACAGCTTGAGTGGACTCAGGGGCTGTGCAGATTGTCCAAGTGTGCTGGTCCAGATGCATTCTCTTGAGGTTTCTCAGTTTTGGCTTAAAAAAAAACACTTTTTGTGTAAAAAAAAAAAAGTCTTCTGTTCTCTAGATGTTACAGACAAGGCCCGCATCCTTCCACCACCTGAAGAGGATGACAAAGTCTGGGATCGCGTCTTAAATTCAGACAGAAGACATGTTTTATTGTCGATGGTAGAGACAGCACGATCAAAGCACACAATCACAGATACAATAGAATGCAAGTGTATTATACAGAGCGGAGGCATGGAGACCCCCAATCAGCAGCTGCCACAGTGCCATGTAGCTTGGCCTTCAGATAGACACAACAAGGGAAAAGTACAGGCTTCTGCACATTGATAGAATGATGAGTTTAACCTTAACAAAAGTTGCTTCAAAGTGTTATGAAATCTCACATAGTGTAGTGTAGTGTAGTGTAGTGTAGTGTAGTGTAGTGTAGTGTAGTGTAGTGTAGTGTAGTGTAGTGTAGTGTAGTGTAATGTAGTGTAATGTAGTGTAGTGTAGTGTAGTGTAGTGTAGTGTAGTGTAGTGTAGTGTAGTGTAGTGTAGTGTAGTGTAGTGTAGTGTAGTGTAGTGTAGTGTAGTGTAGTGTAGTGTAGTGTAGTGTAGTGTAGTGTAGTGTAGTGTAGTGTAGTGTAGTGTAGTGTAGTGTAGTGTAGTGTAGTGTAGTGTAGTGTAGTGTAGTGTAGTGTAGTGTAGTGTAGTAGTGTAGTATGTATGTAGTGTAGTGTAGTGTAGTGTAGTGTAGTGTAGTGTAATGTAGTGTAATGTAGTGTAGTGTAGTGTAGTGTAGTGTAGTGTAGTGTAATGTTAGTGTAGTGTAGTGTAGTGTAGTGTAGTGTAGTGTAGTGTAGTGTAGTGTATTATGTAGTGTAGTGTAGTGTAGTGTAGTGTAGTGTAGTGTAGTGTAGTGTAGTGTAGTGTAGTGTAGTGTAGTGTAGTGTAGTGTAGTGTAGTGTAGTGTAGTGTAGTGTAGTGTAGTGTAGTGTAGTGTAGTGTAATGTAGTGTAGTGTAGTGTAGTGTAGTGTAGTAGTGTAGTGTAGTGTAGTGTAGTGTAGTGTAGTGTAGTGTAGTGTAGTGTAGTGTAGTGTAGTGTAGTGTAGTGTAGTGTAGTGTAGTGTAGTGTAGTGTAGTGTAGTGTAGTGTAGTGTAGTGTAGTGTAGTGTAGTGTAGTGTAGTGTAGTGTAGTGTAGTGTAGTGTAGTGTAGTGTAGTGTAGTGTAGTGTAGTGTAGTGTAGTGTAGTGTAGTGTAGTGTAGTGTAGTGTAGTGTAGTGTAGTGTAGTGTAGTGTAGTGTAGTGTAGTGTAGTGTAGTGTAGTGTAGTGTAGTGTAGTGTAGTGTAGTGTAGTGTAGTGTAGTGTAGTGTAGTGTAGTGTAGTGTAGTGTAGTGTAGTGTAGTGTAGTGTAGTGTAGTGTAGTTAGTGTAGTAGTAGTGTAGTGTAGTGTAGTGTAGTGTTGTAGTAGTGTAGTGTAGTGTAGTGTAGTGTAGTGTAGTGTAGTGTAGTGTAGTGTAGTGTAGTGTAGTGTAGTGTAGTGTAGTGTAGTGTAGTGTAGTGTAGTGTAATGTAGTGTAATGTAGTGTAGTGTAGTGTAGTGTAGTGTAGTGTAGTGTAGTGTAATGTAGTGTAGTGTAGTGTAGTGTAGTGTAGTGTAGTGTAGTGTAGTGTAGTGTAGTGTAGTGTAGTGTAGTGTAGTGTAGTGTAGTGTAGTGTAGTGTAGTGTAGTGTAGTGTAGTGTAGTGTAGTGTGGCAGCAGCTTGAGGGGACAGTGTTGAGCGCAGAGCAGAGTCATCGAGCGGCCGCGGCTCTGGAGCAGGCCGCCCCGCTCACTCTACTGCTCTGGGCTGCACCGGGCTGTACCGGGCTGCACCGGGCTGTCTGCGGCTAACACTTTAGCTACATGTGCTGAGCTCGGACACACACATCTCTTCTGCAACAATGCCGACAGTAACTTTACCACCGAAAGAAAACGCCCTGTTCAAGAGGATTCTGGTGAGTGCATTTGACGGAGACGGGTTCAATTATGCACCAGCGTGAAACAGAAAAGTGTGCTTTGGTGTTGTTATATCTGTGTGTGTTTTAACGCTAGCATTAGCATAGTAGCTTCTCTAATTGAATGGGATCTGCGCTGTCACTGTAACGCAAAGCTAATCTCATTTCCTTAATATTTGATTGTGATTATAAACGACAGCCGTGATAACTAGGTATGATTTTCTTTTTCAACGATATTTATTATTATCAAAATAGACGCACATTTGTTTTAAAGCCCCAAAGGCCTTCTCAAAGACAGCCCGGTCCGTTCATCCGCGATGCTAGCTCCAACTAGCAATAGCAATATTGTTGTTGCATTGCGTGCTCACGTAGTTCTTATGCAAGTTGTGGTGATGCATATTATTCAATGCACACAGTATTGTTATTTCCAGTAAGTCCACTGTTGTTTAACATGACTGGTTATTGTTTGTTTGGTTCATAGCAGACGCCCATGCTACCCAACTACAACATGCCTGATTGACATGTGCTAAGTGGCTAACATTAGCATACTGTCTAGTTCTAACGTGGTTGTTGACGTCCTCGATACAGTTTTGTCGACTTCTTTGTTAAAGACACCAGTGTGAAGTTGAGTAATAGTCTGTTAAACCTTTTATGTGAAATGTGAGGTTCTGTCTGATTGTGTAAGCAAATCAGTGTTAGCTGCTTTAGGCCTTTGGCAGCTTCTCACTTTCATCATCACTATGTGCATTATACAAAGGGACCAGTAATGATAAAACTGATGCCCAGTGATTAATGTGAGGATGTAGTCTGTGGGTTGTTTGTCAGTCGGGTTTCTTTTCTTTTGCTGTTCTACAAATGGATGTGTGTCAGTAGTGGTCTGTCCTGCCTATATGTAATCCTGGGTTTCAGCTCTGTCACAATTAAAGGCATACTTTGTCAACCTTACTTCTATTAAAATTTGCTTTGTTGTTGGATGAGTTCCCATTCGTTCTATCATTCTGAAATCATAGATTAGAATGGCCTCAAATGTTTAACAGTCACATACTACACCAATAAATGCATGTTACTGTGGTCGAGCTGCTTATAGAGTTGTCACTGCTCAGAAACCACTGAAACTTTTCAGATTAGTGCTACAGGCTTTGTGCAAGAATGTTGTGTGAACTGAAAAACCCTGTCAGAAAGTTTGCCAAAGTATCTCTTGGTCACTTGCAATTTAATGTGACCAGGCAGTTGGAAAAACACTATTGTTGTGGGATCTGTGTCGACTACAGAGCTGGCACTAAGCCTCTTCAGTCTGACAGGAAGTCCAGACCTCACTTGTTTGTACAACATTTTACCTACAGAATTGTGTCATTCATTTCGATTGTGAAGAAATATTACCAGGAGTCTTGCTAGATCCCTCAGATCAAATGTGCTAAATAATACTTATACAAATAAATGTCTAAGATCTAAAATGATGAGTTTTAACTGTAAATGTATTGTGATGTTTTTGTACATTAATGTTATACAGCTTATTCATGTAAGCCTAGAATATTCTAGACGAGATGGCTGTCTCTTGAATGTTAATAAATAATCTATATTGGAATACGTTTTATTGAACTAGTAGAAAATTTCACTGACCACTTGCATTTTATGGCTCTATATACTTGTGACTCACTCTAGGTTACAAGTTTGCGATAAATTATTCAGTTTTTGTGTTGTCTGAGATGGAGTGTTATTTATTGCCGCTGGGCATTGGATTTGATACATTTTGATATAAACTTGGTTTTACCTACTTCCCACAACCCATGCCTTACTGCCTAAAATACTTTGGCAGATATGAACCGCTTATTTTCTTTGTTCTTGAATGTGGAAATATAATGGGGCTTACATGTAATCTCTCTGAGGTCACAGGTCGCGTGTGTAAACCACCTCTCATTCATGGACACCGTACAAAACAATGGACAAATACAATGTATGAACATGTAGCAGGAAATGTATGTATTTGACTGTAGAGGCTGGGCACTGTCACAACTGCAGAATTCCCTGATCAGTTTGAATTTGAAGTTATTTTGGGTAAGTGCAGGACATGCGTGCGACACATCTGGTGGTGTTAATGTTCTCACTGCCAAATGCACAGCCACTCATTGTGCCTTTTTATGTTTTTAAGGTTTATATTCTTAATCATGAACAAACTTTCACTCTGCTGTTGTTGTAGTTTGTTCTTCATATGATCAAAATAATTCATACTTCAAGTTTGAAGAGTACCTAATACATACAATTATTTTTTATGACAAGGCATTTGTTATTGCTTTTGTTCTGTTAGTGGGAGTATGATGATAACATTTTGATATTTATGATTTTAGTGAGTTCTTTCATTACAAATAATGCCCAATTGCGTGTGCATTAAATATGTTTTGTTTTTGTTTGTTTTTCAGCGATGCTACGAACACAAACAATACAGAAATGGCCTCAAGTTTTGCAAGCAAATTCTGTCCAACCCCAAGTTTGCAGAGCATGGCGGTGAGTGGAATGTAATGGAGCGTACCTTGTACTGGTGACAGAAAAGTATTCTGATGATGATTTTTGTTATAGAGACTCTGGCCATGAAGGGTCTCACACTGAACTGTTTGGGGAAAAAGGAAGAGGCCTATGATCTGGTGAGGAGGGGCCTTCGAAACGACCTCCGGAGCCATGTCTGTATCCTTAAATGTTGCGGTTTATCTGTGTAACCTCATCCCCGGTTTCCTCTTTTATTCTCTGTAAATCCTGCACAGAAGATAAGTGTGATGTGTTTCAAGTCTATGCAGAAAAAGAGCAACACAACAATTACTTTTGGGCTCCTTTGTCTCAAAAAGCAGCACAATTTATTTGAACCCAAACCAAAGATTTTTTTTAAAATAACAGTGCATCATTCCCAATTTACTCATCTTATTATTTTAAGCCTCATCTTGAAAAATGTCCCCCTATTTTTGAAGTAAGTGCTTGGAAAATATGGCCGGTACGGAAAAGTGGTCTGGAGCACGTTTCAAAAGTATTCATGGATTATGTTTTCTGCGCTGTTCTCTGAAAACATGGTCCCAATTAAAACTTTTGAAACTTTCTCTGCCTTGTAATTAAGGCATCATGTATGCATGCATTTCTGAAACCAAGCTGCACCATTGGTAGTTTGAAATTCTTTCTTTTTAAACAAATATTGTGCTCCCAACTTTGGTTGAATTTTTGTATTTAACATTTTATTATTTCTAAAGCCTATTTTTTATGCTTTTTTTTATTGAACGTATATACAACCAGCTTGTTTATTTATATCCCAAAAGCTGAAAGAACTAGTATTAGTATTCCTAGCTATTTCATTGTTTTAATATCTGCTCCCATATCCCATTTTTTTCCTTTTGGCTATAATCTTATTCACATGGCATGGGACTTGACCATACAAAGTGTGGTTTAGCTTTAGATTTCCATTTGAATTGATCGATCTAAAAGTAGCTTGATTTTGCTTCTCAACACCATTCAATAAAGTCCACAAAAAACCTCCCCAGTTCTTGTTCAAACTTGTCCCAAAGGTGATTCATAGTTGGATCTACAGAACACGTACAGGTCCTTAACCGTGTGCGTCCCAGGCTGGCACGTGTACGGACTCCTGCAGCGCTCCGACAAGAAGTACGACGAGGCTATCAAATGTTACCGGAACGCTCTGAAATGGGACAAGGACAACCTGCAGATCCTCCGGGACCTGTCGCTACTGCAGATCCAGATGAGGGACCTGGAGGGCTACAGGGTGAGGCATCCAGTGATATGAATAATGTATGTCTTGTGCAATGATATTGTAATTTTTGGGTTATTAGGTGCTACTTTTGTCAAGTGCCCTGCAGCTTTTATATAGCTAAGGCAAATGTGTTTTCATAGCTTCCAGGGGGCGCTCTAAAGCTAACTTCCTCCGTGAACAGCTGTTGATGTCACATAGCACACATTCCCGTATGAACAATACAGAGAGCATACATTTTTGTGGCATTCAAGCAATAATGGACACTTTTGACTCAGTTTTAATAGCAATGGAGTGTGTATTTATAGTCACAACCGATTGGATTAACTGTATTGATTTGATCAGAGCCCAGATATGGAAGGTAAAGGCTAAAGTGAGCATGCTAGCGAGCTAACCTTCGCCCCCCTTGGAGTGTTGGTTTCCTAGACATGTTACTGTTGCTGCTAATAGGGCTTTGTGTGGTAATTAAGACTGTAGGAATTAGGACCTGTCTCTTCTGTTGCCAAATAGTGAGCGGTGACTGCTCTATCAGCTGTTGGGTAGTTACACCTGGTGTGTGAAAGGTGAAAGGCGCTATATAAATAAACATTTCCTACTTACTTAACATGAACCTGACTCTATAATGAAGTGTGGCTTAAGTTTACGCTATATTGGCCTCTTCTACTTTTACAAATCAAAGAAAACCCCATAAGTCATGAATGTCTAGATATAATCCGATATCCACAACAAGCAGAAAAGCCTCAGATAATAAGCATCTCCTCTTTGAATGTGAGACCGGGTTTGGATTGAGTTTTTCAAAGCCAATAGGAGCAGCAGGCGGGTGTCGGGTTAGTCCTGACAAAGTGGAACAGCCCTCTCGAGACTCAGTCCAGGTTTAGACGCTCATTTGGAGCCCAGGATAATGGCTAAACGTAAAGGTCTGACGAGAGTGTAGCTGGCGGTAATGACTATACACTGCGTCAGAAACTTGAGTCAGCAAAAGCACTTTTCCTTGTGCTCCCAGGCATCTGAAACCCATTATTACTACATACAGCTTAAGGCGGGAGCTTTCACAACATTTAACCCTCTGTTTTCCTGTTTGTTTAGGAGACGAGGTACCAGCTCCTGCAGTTGAGACCAGCGCAAAGAGCCTCGTGGATCGGTTATGCCATTGCTTATCACCTCCTCGAAGACTACGAAATGGCAGCGAAGATTGTGGAAGAGTTCAGAAAAACGCAACAGGTAGTGCTTCTATTGGTAAAATGAACCAATTAAATAACTTTGTTTATTGGTCCTTGATTAAATGGGCCATATTCTACCAAGGGCCCTCAATCATCTCACTACCACATTGATTTTTGTATGTTTTGATAGTTTATCTATTCTCCTGCATTCAAGCCACCATTGATTTGACAATTGCATAATTTCTACCTCTAAAATCCAACATTCCTCATTGTGAAACTGTCTTCCCTATATGTAATTATGTTTTTATCTGCATAAGTGACTTATCAGACAGTGATTTCTTTGGTCAAGATGGGAGTTTTTCTGTGTTTTTTTGGGTATTGAAGGAATTTATTAAATTAAGATCAAGAATTCCTGTCCGCAACATTTTGTCAAATTTTCCACACATGAACATGTCCAGGAACCTTAACGCTCCGGGATGAGAATATTGTCCCATTTATATATATTTTCCCAATGAGACCTCCTATGAGCTGTCAGCATCTAGTCATTTAGTAGGCTCTTTTTATCGCCCCTGCTGTGGGAAAATAAAAAAAATATCTAAATCAGTAATATTCCAATCAGGATCCGGTCCTCAAAAGCTGTAAAAAATTCAACCCTCTGTATTGTATGTGTTGTAAGACATTCATTTGACGAAATATTTGCATAGACGAGATGTAGCAGCCTTTTAAATTATGTCTGATAATCCTGATACTCTCCTCAATGCACTTGAAGCACCATCGCTAAAAGAGCAGCACCAGAAATCTTATTTCTATTTCATATGAATGTTAAGTATTTAATCACTTACATTTGAACAGTGTTTTATTTGATGTTATTTTTACACAACTTGTCTGTTAATAGAATAAAAATGTATTTGTTACATCCTGTTGAAGGCTGGAAAGAAAATATGGGGAATATGATCCTTTAACCCCATATCGCCCAGGCCTATTCCCCTACATTTATTAAAGATGTCGTGGAGAGAGATACTTCCTCCTTTTGTGTCTTGCAGAAACAATTAGAAAATCTTCAACAGTTTCAATGCATTTGATTGGATTAGCCACAGTTCATATCCATCTTCATATGCATCTTCAATGGTGCGCGCGTTTGCTTTTGTCTTGTTTTTCTATGTAGCTCAAAGTTGTAACGTTCACTCCCTGTATGTTTTGTCCAGACGTCGCCAGACAAAGTGGACTACGAGTACAGTGAACTGCTGCTTTACCAGAACCAGGTGCTGAGAGAGGCCGGTCTGAACAGAGAAGCCCTCGAGCATCTTTCCACCTACGAGAAGCAGATCTGCGACAAGCTGGCCGTGGAGGAGACGAGAGGTGGGTCACGCTTGGAGGAGTGTAAATAAGTACGGACTATCGTCACAATAAATATACGGGGGGGGAGCTTCAGAAGTATTATCAATCAACCAATCGATCTTTATTTTAGAGTGCTTTTCCAACACAGGAGAACACAACGCGCTTCACAGTCCACATCGCAAATGGCACAAATCATCACATAAGACAAACACCAAAATCACCATTAAAACACAATTTTAAAAGTAATTAAAAACAATAAATTCACAAAAGGGATTAGAATGATAACAATGCATTAAAGAGTTGAAAATTAAAATCCTTCAGTTTTCTTTTATTTCAAATTTGACCAGCTTTAAATGACTTGGTTCAATTTCACCATTTTATCACAATAATCCACTTCCTCTCAGAGTTTAAAATCACATAAGCATTCATCACAATTTTGTTTCTGTTCAGGGGAGCTTCTTTTAAAATTGGAGCGTTACGATGAAGCGACAACTGTTTACCGACGCCTGCAGGAGAGGAACCCGGAGAATTGGTCTTATTACCACGGTCTGGAAAATTCTCTCAAGCCAAGTAGGTCATTCCTTTTTCATTTTGATTCCTTTGAACGCTGCGATTTAACGTCAAACTGTTTGTCCATTCAGCGAGCGCAGAAGAGCGATCAAAGATATACGAGGACGCCTGGGAGAAGTTTCCTAAAGGACTAGTCCCTCGAAGACTGCCGCTAAACTTTCTATCTGGTGAGTCTGCAATTCTACTACACACAAATATGGGCTCTTATAGTAAAATGTGAGTGGTCTAGACGTGTGAATGAATGTGTGATCAAACTTCTTCCTGTTTTCAACCACCCTTCTAGGAGGAAATGGTTTACGGCTATAGATATCAAAATAGTTCTGTCGGTTTCTGTTTTTTAAGGCTAATGTTTTTAATTGCACTCTGTTTTTAACCACATATGTACAGTGTTCTTTGGTCTTTTTTGAAAGACGCTTTTAAATACAATGTGGGCCAATTTTATGACATTTTTTGTGTGCAGGGGACCGCTTCAGGGAGTGTTTGGACCGATATCTCAGGATGAACTTCAGTAAAGGGTGTCCGCCCGTATTCACCACTTTAAAATCACTGTACAACGACAAAGAAAAGGTGACCACAGATGTTCCCTCTAACAAAGAGCCGGCGGTGAAGCGGTCCTCCTTATCCTTGGATTACAACCTGTGCCTTTTGTCATTGTTTCAGGTTGCAATTATTGAAGAACAGGTGGTCAGCTACGAGACGACATTAAGAACCTGTCGAATGTTCAGTCAAAACGGTGAGTTACATTTTAAAAGATGGAAGGCAAGTTTATTTGTATAGCACAATTCAGACAAGGTCCTGGGTTCAAATCCTGGTCGGTACAGTCCAAGGTCACCCAAATGAGGAGCATTATTTTTCCATTCACTCAACTCACGTTGATATGAGAAGCGAGTTTAGATTCAGATTCAGTTTATTTGCCATTTGCAGTAAAAACACCACATTGGAGCCACAAGTAAACTCTCAATGGTGCAGCGATAAAAGTTAAGCAGAATCTTAGAGTTAGTGGTAAATTCTCTAAGTTTACGCAGAAAGTAGAGACGCTGACGAGCTTTCTTAACAACTCGGTCAGTGTTTTTAACCCATTTCAGGTCGTTAGACAGAGTTAAACCCAGAAACTTGCACTCCTCTGCGATCTGCAGTTTATGGAATGTATGGAGAACATTTTGAATTCACATTTTCAACTTTCAGCTGAATGTATTTATATCTAGTGCAATTTTACATGAATAAACAATGTCAATTTAATACTGAACACGTTTGCGGTGGCTTGAAAATACTTTAGGTACAATTGTCTGCGCCCTCCGACATGGACTTGCAGTGTTGTTTAATTTTCAACATTGTTTGAGGGAAAATAAAATGTTTTTTTTTCAGACGATGGCAAAGAGGAGCCGCCCACCACTCTGCTCTGGGTGCAGTACTTCTTGGCTCAGCACTTCGATATGATCGGACAACAGACGCTGGCCCTCGAGTACATCAACACAGCCATCGAAAGCACGCCAACTCTCATTGAACTCTTTCTCATAAAGGCCAAGATCTACAAGGTACTGCCTGGCGCACATTCAGGCTTTAGGTTTAGGTTATAGCTTTAGCAAAGGAAGGTTTCTCACCCATCATCTGTACTTCTTAGCAAGTTTTCCCGACGTTTCGTCCTCAAACTAGCGGACTTCTTCAGGGAATGCTTCAGGGGATGTTATAGCTTTAGGTTTTAGCACGGAGCTTGTTGTGTTGACCTGTTTCTCCCGGCAGCACGCGGGGAACATCAAAGAGGCGGCTCAGTGGATGGACGAGGCGCAGGCCCTGGACACTGCCGACAGATTCATCAACTCAAAGTGTGCCAAGTACATGCTGAAGGCTGGCATGGTGAAAGAGGCGGAGGAAATGTGCTCAAAGTTCACACGGGTGAGAAAACACTGCGCGGGCGTGTGTCTGCGGTGGATCTGACGACAGGGAAAGGTCTTTGGAAAGGGGTTCATACATTTGGTGTAAGCGCTCACGGCGATGTCTTTTGTGCTTCATATAACGGCAGGATTTCATTGTGATTTTCATTTTAATAACTGACGGATTCTTTTCTAGATGTACTTGTTTGACGTCCTTTTATCTCGCTCTGCTCACAGGAGGGGGCATCGGCGGTGGAGAATCTCAATGAGATGCAGTGCATGTGGTTTCAGACAGAGTGTGCACTCTCCTACAAGGCCATGAACAAATATGGAGACGCCCTGAAAAAGTGCCATGAAATTGAGAGGGTAAGCATACATCGGTGTCCACTTTCTACATTTGAGAAGTGTCATAATACTTTAACGTCCCTTTTCATATAGACATTAAGCTCAAAAGACTGTGTTGTGAGTCAGATTACAATTTAAAATCAGAACAATTAGATTATAAACTTTCATACATACTGACTCACCACATGTACAGCATCGCACATACCCCACACCTCTCACTCAACATCTGTTTCTCACGTAACTAACCGCAGCAATCCCTACATGTGCTGGCTTGCTATAGTAAGTTTTGGCAAAATTGACTTTGCACATTTAAAAAGTAAGATGAGTAATATTCACTGTGCAGCCATACTAATCTACATAATTACTTTGCATTAGGCCTTTATAATGAAACTACTTTTATGCATGAAATATTGTGAATAATACATATTGCTTGACAGAGTGTAGTACAAGTAAAATGTGAACAAATCAGACCGCAACTGTCTTTAGCTTTATTAGAAATGGCAGAGTGATGGCAGTCCTGTAATTTTATATTTTTCCCCTAAAAAGCTGATCTAAGGAATGTGGCATGTGAAAAAAAGTGACAGTACCAGTGTTTTGAGAGCGTGGAACTAGTTGGATGTATTTTACTTCATGGTTTTATTTTGTAGGTTTTTTTTGTTTAGATCAACCAATGACACCTGTTATGGTTCTGTTTTTTCAGCATTTTGTGGAGATCACAGACGACCAGTTTGACTTCCACACGTACTGTATGAGGAAGATGACACTCCGATCTTACGTAGACCTTTTAAAGCTGGAGGACGTGCTCCGGATGCATCCTTTTTATTACAAGGCCGCCACCACCGCCATTCAAATCTACCTGAACCTTCACGACAATCCCCTTACGGACGACAGCAAAGAACTACAGGCAGACACTGGTAACCCCACTTAGTTTTACGGATCTTTGTCTGTTTACGACTCAGATAAGCTAACATTGTGTATCTTTTTCTAGCTAATCTGTCAGATAAAGAACTGAAAAAGCTTAGGAACAAACAGCGGAGAGCCCAGAAGAAAGCGCAGCTAGAGGAGGAGAAGAAAAATGCAGAAAAAGAGAAGCAGCTCAAAAACCAAAAGAAAAAGAAAGAGGATGATGACGAGGAAATCGGAGGTCCCAAAGAGGAGCTCGTCCCCGACAAACTGGTCAAGGTGAGCGATGTGACCGCGATTAATTCTTGTTTGCTCTAGAGTCTAAAATATCCTTTTGCTATGTCGCTGTTATTGTAGCCATAGCAATGGGCCAGCATCCAACTTTTTGTTTACAATCGTGACAAAATGCTTGCAAAAACTCTAGGTGGTAGTAGGATTGTCAGTAGTAATGAAAATCATTTATGGATCAACATAAATCCACATTGGTCTCCTGCCCCTTATGGACCAATGGTGTTTGCATTTTTTGTTTTTGAACTGTTTGATCTGTGTTGGCCAAACAACCTCTGAGATAACTACTGTTGTGATTTAGGGCTGTACAAAAATACATGTAGTTGAATTGAATAGAACAATACTATACTCGTCCTATATTGAAACTAATAAATCTCAACAGGACTAAATGAGACTCTTTTGAATGAGTTGGATCTATTTCAGAACTAGTATATTGTGAACCACAAAAAGCACTATAGATATAGTAGTAGCTGTATTTGTTAAAATGTATAGCTCATTGTCCAAAAAATTACACATTCAAATCATAATTGTGGTATATTTATGTCTAAAAAGAAGTTTGCAGTAGCCCTTATTCTAAATAATAGGCCTCAGTATTTCCTCTTTTCATGGTCTTTCATAGTGATGACTCTACTGTTTTGGAACTTAACTCTTGCCCTCAATACTATTTTTGAGTTGAAAATGGGCCATTGCACTCTTCCTTAATTGTATGTGTGTTTTTGTACTCTTTTTGTTCCCATTGCTGGTGATTTACACGCCTGTATCACACAATTAGAATTTTGAATTTGTATTTAACATTTCCATTCTGGACTTGTTTACAGGTAGAAAATCCACTGGAGGAAGCTGTGAAGTTCCTGATGCCTTTGAAGCACCTGGTCAAAGAGAAGATTGACACACACTTACTGGCCTTCGAGATCTACTTTAGGAAAGGTAGGAAACAAAACAATTAGACATGAAGATCTGGAAATGTTTCTAATGTTATTAAAAATATTTCAGAAAAGTACCTCTTGATGCTGCAGTCTGTAAAGAGAGCGTTGGCCATTGATTCCGACCATCCGTGGCTGCACCAGTGTCTTGTTCGCTTCTTTAAAGGAGGTATGACATCCCCACCAGCTTTTTGACTTTTAAAACAAAGTGGTAAATTATGGAATTAAATTGTATGCCTAAGCCTGTTAAACCATTAATTACCACAATTTTTTTTTATTTTTTTTTGCAGTCTCTGAAAGCAAGGATCTAGCAGATGTTGTCCGGACGGTTTTGAAACAGGAGATCACCCGGTTGTTTGGGGACAGTAATGCTAAGAGCTTCAACCAGGCCTACCTCACTAAACATGGCAACTCCATACCACACAGGCTGGCTGGTAAGACTCTCATGGATCCACTGCCGCACTGCCGAACAGTGTTCAACGCTTTTATGTTTTTGTTTTGCAGCTGCCAAAATGATGGTATATCTGGATTCATCTATGGAAACTAAAGCCGCAGAGTTGGCTACATCACTTGACGAATCGCTTGAGAACCGAACCATTCAGGTATTTTTTACAGGGGTCATTAACTGTTTAGTTATTGATCGTCTATATTTTAAATATAATTGGTCTATAGTCTCACGACGGGGCAACAGTAGCTCAGTTGGTAGAGCATTGGCCTTTGGGCCTGAAGGTCGTGGGTTCAAGCCCACCATAAGACCTACTTCACGACTCCCACTGATGACTGCTGTCGTTGTGTCCTTGGGCAAGACACTTAACCCTACTTTGCCTGAAGCTTCCACTGAAAGATCTCAGCTCCTGTGGACTCACCACCTGCAAGAGGATCAGTGAGGGGCTGGTGCTAAGTGGACTGGGTACAGCTCTGACTGCCACCCCCCCCGACCCAGAAATGGATTAAGGGGAAGAAAATGGATGGATGGATGGTAGTGGTCTATAGTGATCATACTGACTATAACATGGTCGCCAAAACACTGATAGTTATTTTTTGTGCTATCAAAAAGTAAAGTAATACTTAACACTTCCAATTAAAGGAAGTCACATTGCATTTTTAAAATCACTATGTACAATTAAAATATTGATTAATATAATCACTGGCTTGCAACAACTATCGGTTCTGGTGTCTCTCCTTTTTGTGCATTTACTTAAATCATTTGCCTTCAGATCTGCACAGAGACCTTGGAGAACCTCCGGAACGGTGGCTTGGGCGACTGCAAGGAGCGAACAGAGTCTTATCGCGCAGAGTGTCACAAGCTTTACCCCTACACGTTAGCTTTCATGCCCCCCGGCTACGAGGAGAACGCCAAGATTGCCAACGGAGACCTTTCCACTGAGCCGGAGGAACTCGGCAACGAGATGTGAGCACAGGCAAACGATTGCGGATGACAAAAAGGAATCGGGCCTAATACGGAGCCTTGGGGCACGCCTGGCAGCCATTTTGTAGTCAGACACAGGAACCAAAATTTTGTTCTATTTGGCTCGACTCAATTGGTTCTGACCCGGCATGGCTTGGCTCCCTCCTAACGGTGAAAATCAAGACTGTGTGTGTGTGTATTCAAGAGTGTGTGTGCGTTTGCGTGCATGTTGAGTGTATATTTGTGGAAAAGGGGGGAGAATAAGACGTTAGAAATTTGTCTCTAGCTAAAGTTGTACTTCATCTTTAAAGTTCAAGGAGTTGTGATGGACGCACGGATGTCACTTCCCCTCTCTAGATGGAAAACATTTACATGTGCTACAACCCTTATTTTAAAAGAAATGCTCATTTAAACAGACGTAGGACACATCTATCCCAGGGGAAGGAGGAGATTGGGCTGACCGGATCAAAGACCAGATCTGAAGGAAGCTAGGAAATAAGTTACTGAGGTCTTGATGTCAATTTGGAGGACAAATCTGCTGTAACCCTCACCTGCTCGGTACACGCAATGCACTGCTGCCCATGGATGTCAAGAGGACTTAATGCTCTGAACAAGAAACTTCAGGTCGGGCTGTGCATCCTGCTTTCGTTTCCTCGTTCAACTTTGGGAATAAATCAAAATATGTAACCCTTTTATCGCTAACACAGAGCAGCTTGTAGCACAGGTTCTAACTACAGTCTATGGGCCTAACTGTAACGGTTGTTTGTACGATTGGCTCCATCAAGTACACTGCTATTCTTAACATTTTTACAGATTTTTTTGGGACTGGAGAGCGTTGGCTAGACATAAGCAATACATGGACACCTTACCACTTTGTGCAAAATGGAATGAATCTTATTTGAAGTTATTGCCACTTTTCTGTTGCTGTTTTATTAAGTCCTTCACACGAGTCGTAGTTAAACATGGTCGCAAAATGTTCATAAACAGAAAAGCATTTGATTTAAAAAAAATTACGTTTGGATCCTGTTTAATTTTTAATTTTTTCCCCCTTTTCCTCTAATTTGGGTTCTAATGTGAAAGATGAATAATGAAATGGCTATGTATGATATCTCTGGATTTTTTTATTAAAATCAAACAAAACAACCATGTCTATGATGTTAATTAATACATAACAATGTGACTTTGAGATTTGACATTGTATCTAAAGATATTGTTAGAAATATTATAATTTCAGGATTTACCCCAAGTAGGCAAATTACTTCAGATAATTTGTCTGATTCTTTACTGTATTTTTCCTGTAGGTGGCAGCAATACACTTACCCTTGAATCCATTTGAAGTGTCCCCTGTGTAATTTCAATAATGTAATGTCAATACAAGTTTCTTTTGGTATCACTTTACAAAGGGCAGAGAAGTTCACTCACAGCTACTGTCAATCAGCCATTTGAAAATCAAGTTGTACAAACCGTCATAGTATTTCCCCGTTGTTCATGTGTACATCTCAAATTCAGCAATAACTTGCTACCAGATTCCCTCCTTCCCTGCAACTACCCATTAGTGACATCGACTAATGGGTAGTTGCAGGGAAGGAGGGAATCTATAAGATGGGGGAAACATTCATCTTAATAGTTTGTAGATTAAAGCCCTGTTTCCACCAGCCCTACCTGACCCTAATCTACTCTACCTTGTTGTTTTTCCATTACACTTCAGGATCTGGTACTGTATCCTAGAGACCTACTAACAACAAACCAATGTCCAAGGAAATGCTCTGGGAGTCCCCCTGGCTTTTAGCAGCACCCGGGCGGAATACTTTATCTGGTACTGGTTAAACGGGGTCGGTGTTTTTATACAGGGCTTATTTTTGGATACACAAAGACTCTTCACATACAGTATTAACATTAATTCACTCCATACACGGCATTGATTAACTACTATTGTTGCCACAGCTGCCCTGGAGCTCACTGACAGAAATGAGGCAACTAGTATTTGTCACCTGCCCTTCCAACCACCAAGTAGACCTGGTGGAAACGGTGCTAAATTCTGGGCCATACAAAAAATTATTGGATCTGAATTTACAAATACGTCATTCCTTTTTTATAAGGGGGAAGACCTTTATAAAGTTGTGATATTGACCCAAATACCCTGTTTAAATGTATAGGAGGATTTTCTACTTCCGGGTGGATCATCAAGACTATTGGTCCTCCTAATTGTCAATCATTCTGGTGATACATGCTTGTCAAATATGACCAGAGAGTTTTGTTAAAAAAGTGGAGAGGGGGTGGTTCTTTCCTAAAATTTGGGAAAATCCCCCATTATACCTTTTTAACTTATCAAAAGCATAAAGTTTGACTGTGTACCTTTTCGAGCAACCTGGAACTCTCCCGGCTCATACACTACTCATAAAGAAGTTTTTATGATGCCCGATTGAGCCATTCAAGCCTAAGCCCTTTGACCCCAATGCAACTTGGCGAGTGCTTAGGGTGTCCCAGGGAGGTCTTTGGCCCCGCCCCCTTTGTGCACCTGATCCACACGTCACCGTAGCCTGCATCTAAGCGGACTCTGGCGAAGGATATTGTTTTGAAATATATATGCTGTAGGTGTGTACATAAGTTTTGCTATGTTACTTGGAAAGAAGCATAAATGTCTGATGAAAAATTACGGACATTCTATGGTAACAATTTAATAACTTTTTTAATGCAAGCATTCATATAACATTCAATTTAAACTTTACACTTAGTACAATAAACTTAGGATGTACAAAAACTTACTAGATAGCAGTTACCCACATTTAACTTAAAATTATGCAGCTATCACAAATTACAAATAACCAATATACATTTATTTTAACGTGTGTGGAGCAACTCATTTTGTCTCCCATAGGGTCGAACAAAATGACCTTTCATTTTTATAAAGTTTAGGTCTGAAAATGACCATCTCTTGACTAGACGCTGACGTAACCTGCACTGTCCCAATTCCATTTTTTGCACGCTTGTAACCTGCACACGTAAACCCTTCAAACAAATGGACACTTGTAGAGGAGTGTAGGGTGCACTCCTCCCGCCCCCCCTCAGCCACAGGAAGGAAACGCGGCCTCCTCTTTGCTGCGTACGGCACTGGCTCCGGAGCAGGCGAGGATGAGCCACTCCAGTCCCAGACCTCTTCAGTCACGCATGACCTGTCTCCAGTGTTTCTTTCATCGTAAATGGAGTCTTCGCTTGAGTTTTCCAGCTCTTTGGGCAGTGTTTCGTCGCTCTTGTCCCGACACAGGACTTTCAAAGTGTTGATGATCGGGGACTCGGGAGTGGGGAAGACCTGCCTCACGCACCGACTCTGCGCTGGAGAGTTCCCCAGCAGAGTAGAGGCCACCATCGGCGTGGACTTCAGAGAGAGGACGGTAGAGATCGACGGAGAGAATATCAAAGTAAGTCACCTTTTTTTAATGACTTCACTATTAATACACTTTTGCGTTTATTTTTAGCCATTTTGTGTGATGGTTGCGTGCGTAAAGTTGGTTTAATTGGAAAAATAGTCCTTTTGGCCCCTTTTTTCGTATCACTCAACCATGGATCTATTATAATTAATCTCAACAGGTTGGCATTGTGTTCCAACATGCTGGGTTCGAAAAAAAGTGAAGTGAAAGAGGAAGTATATTGTTTGTTTGGTTAAATTTACAGAAACAAATTGGAAAAGAAATAAAAAAAAAATTCTTTATTCTTTACATGTGTTTAACGATATACCAAACTACATCAAATGATCGAAATGTACAGTTCACATGTCAGAATAGGAGCATGTTGAAGACCGAGTCTTATTTTTCATGCCCCTAAAGCAAAAAAATAACACTTATTTTGATGATGATGAGCGCCTCAAAAAAATAAATAAAAATACAATCTACACACATTTGCTTATATACAATATACACACATTTAGTTTCCTCACAGTATAATTACTATTGTTATTATTCTCTTTTTTTTTTCTAAATTGTTTTTTGAAATATGTATTGGTCAATGATTAACACACATTTTACTTTATTTTAACCTCTAATTCCAAATATTTTGTACATGCATATACACACACACACAAATATGCACACATCAAAGTATGTACACATACACACACCCACACACAGGCATGCACATATCAAAGTTTGGACACATACACACACACAGGCATGCACATATCAAAGTATGTACACATACACACACAGGCATGCACATATCAAAGTATGTACACATATGCACATAAATCTACATACAAATACATTCATATCCATACATATTCATCTACACATATCTATATTTGTCCATTAAGTATAAAGCATACATGCGTTTCATTTGGTCTATTGTGTGATGTGATTGAAGATCATTGCCCAAACTGTTCCAGAGCCTGATTCCAGAAACAACAAAGCCTCTTTGTTTTAGTGACGTGCGGGTAAATGGTACACAAAAGTTTCCTTTCCTCCTGCTGTCTTTAGTGATTAAAATGAATTTCCTGTAAATGTGCTCAGGAACCAATTGATTTCTGATTTTCCACATGGCTAATATAGTTTTTAACTGAAAAAGATCTGAAAATTTTAAGGTGTTATTTTTAATGAAAAGATCATTGGTGTGGTCTCTTGGACCTTTGTGATTAATGATTCTTATTGCTTTCTTTTGGAGCAGGAAAACTTGATTTGTGAAACTTTTGCAAGCATTGCCCCAGACCTCAATACAATACAGAAAATATGGCACAATTATAGATGTATAAATCCTGAACAATGCTTTCTCATCAAATATATGTTTAACCTTATATAAAATACCAATGGATTTACTAATTTTATTATTTATATAGTTAATGTGACTTTTCCAATTAAGTTTATTGTCTAACTTGACACCCAAAAATTTTATTTCTGAAACATTTTCAATAGTTGTATTTCCGATAATAATTTCTTTCTGTTCTGAATGTTTTCTAGTTCCAAAAATCATACATTTAGTTTTTTTCCAATTTAGATATAAATAATTGCTATCAAACCATGTTTTTAGTTGTGTCATTTCAACTTCTATGTACGTACGTACGTGGGCGCCCTCTAGGGGTACGCCAAAGAATCAGTGGAGAAAAAAAAAATCTGTGAAAAAAAAAAACATTTTTTTTTTTTTTTTTTTTTTACCAGGAATTAACTCATTCTCAGCCATGGATGTCATTTGAGGACAACATTGTTTTTCCATATTTTCCTGTCAGTCTGTGTCCCCTGTATCATACAGTCTGGGGTTTGGCTGTAGACAGTATTTTATTAGGCCAGCAGGTGGCAGCAGAACTCCCTGGTTTGGTCAAAGATCACTCTGAGCACTTTGAGCAGGAGAGACAGAGGTGAAGCAGACATGGAGTAATATAGTCAGGGTCAGGCTACATTTGGAGGCAGTTTGAGCACTAAATGTGTCTCCAGAACTGACAGACCATGTGGAGGGTCAGAGCAGCAGACCATGTGGAGGGTCATAGCAGCAGACCATGTGGAGGGTCAGAGCAGCAGACCATGTGGAGGGTCAGGGCAGCAGACCATGTGGAGGGTCAGGACAGCAGACCATGTGGAGGATCAGGGCAGCAGACCATGTGGAGGATCAGGGCAGCAGACCAGCGGAGCACCCCAAAAAAAGCCACAGAAAAGTGGACTATTGCTAAAACTATCACTGAGTCCGCACCAGGAGCCAGCGGTAAAGTCCAGTTATGGTCACAGCGCTCGCTGGACGAAACAGACGCTCTGTAGATGTAACCACACAAACACACAAACGCGTGCATAAACGCACATACATGCGCGCCCAAACACACAAAAGTATTCTCTTGCACTTATACTATAATTATAAGTATTCACTTTGATATATGGTCATGTATAGTGTTTATCATTGTAATTTTATTCTTTGATTTACTGTTATTGACATAAATATAGCGCCACCTAATGGATGAATACTGGCCATAGTTTGTCATGGGCTCTACTTTTAATATGTACATTTTGACATTTTTTGGATGAGTACATTTTGAAACATTCGAACAACACTTTGTGGATGTGGGTGTGTGTGCCATAAAACTTATTATTTTACATCAAAAACACTTTCTCAGAACTTGTTGCTGTTTTCTAACATGTAAGATCCTGGACATGTTTGAGGAGATGCTAAAGTCAAACTAAATAGTTTTACAATCACTTTTCTGCAGTTCGTCTGTTTTCACAAACACCTCACTTTCTCAGCTTTTTTCTAAGACTGGTGCTTTTTGTCACACTCTCCTCTTTTCGACTGGAGATCACAGGAGAACGAAACAAACTAAGAACAAACTTCTTTTTGCTGCTGAACGTAGACAGTCCTGTCTTTCAGACTCTGGTTTCATATTTTTCATAGCACACAATATTCTGTGAGTCTTAAATGGCTGGCAGTCCATGAGAACCTCTTTTTCGTGTACAAAAATTATGTAAAATTACAGATTATAAAACAGCCACATACAGATTATACAACACTAACACACAATTTCTTAAAATTACGGATTATAAAAACAGTTACATTTCACTGAAGATGTCTCAATCTGGATCTAAAAGCATTCAAGGAAATAAGATCAGATCATTTCTAGTCTTTTTGCAACACGTTCCATGTAGAAGGAGCAGCAAAAACAAACGTTTTTTTCCCAGTTCTGTGCAAAAGGAACAGAGAGCAACGAAAGATCATTTGATCCAAACATGAACATGTCTCTGTGAGTAAACAACAGATATAAGAGGGCAGCAGACCAAGCCTTAGAAACTAAAGTGCACCAGAGTCCAAACCTTCTGTGGACAAAGATCCCACTCCAGAATATTACTCACACTGAGGCTTTGCAGTTCGCAATGAATGAAACATTTTAATTGAATCATTATTTAATCAATCAATTTTTTTTTCTTTTTTGCTATATTTAAGCACAGTCTTACTGTTGAAACTGTGTAAAATATTACATTAAATATACTTCTTTAGGAATGAAACCTCTGCCTTGTTTTTGATGAATACTTAGGCTTATTACGCTACTGTGTGGTGTTGGTCATTTGTGGTGGTACTTGGAGAGGTAAGTATTTTCTGAGGGGGTACTTGGTGTGAAAAGTTTGAGAACCACTGGTCTAAATCATTTCCAGCTTTGCAAACGGTGGTGTCATCTGCAAATAAAAAGTTCCTCCAAAAAGTCTAAACTTGTTTTGCTTCTTAAATCATACATTGTGTTTGTGCCAATAGAAAGAGTCTTGTAAATGTAAAATGTTGTGGTCAAATCAGATCATGCCATGCTGTATCTTATTAGAAAGAGGAGCGGATCCCTTTCTCAAATGGGTCTCCCTCCCTGTGGGTTTCCCTAGTTCTCCCCAATGTTTCTCACTTTTTCCCCACTGGGTTTTTCATGAGTTTTTCCTTGTCGATGCAGGAGGGTCTGGTTGGACAGTTAGTGTCCAACAGAAAGGATTGGTGATGATCAGGACACTTTAGCATTCTACAACATGTATGGACATTTTCTTCTGTGTGTGCTTTATATTCTTCATGTGTTTTAACTGTTGATTCTCTGACCTGTGTTGGTGATTTCAATGGTTTTGTTAAGTCCTCTGAGATGACTTCTGTTGTGACCTAGGTCAATACAAGAATAAATTGTATTGTGTATTGTATTGTAGAAAACATATTATCTTATGCATAGTTGTTATAAACATAAAAATAAAACCTTAGTTACTATTTGACTATTTGGGATTCTCTTTTTTTCATGTTTCTGCATAAAAAAAGCTGATCTAAAAATGTGACTGAGGCAGAAAACTAGTGATAGAACCAAGCTATTCTGAGAGCAAGGAGCTATGGTCAGATGGATTTGATGAGATTGTTATTTGTTTGTGTTTTGAAAGTTTGGTACCCCTGCTTTAAGCAACTTAACAGTGACTTCTAAGCACTAATAAGTTGTTTCTATTGCATTGTGCTGTTTCCTACCCCAGCATGACTCATCGTATCTGAATTGCCTTTTCTGCCTGATTTTTAACAAATGGATTTCCTTACTTTTCTTGGCACACACGCTCTTATGATGGTCATTATCATACCATACTTCTCAAGTGTGGAGTGGTATAGTGGTGTTGTCTTCGTTCAGTTATAAAAACATTGGGCCTCATTCACGAATAACTTTGTAAGAAACTTCTCAAATTTCTTCTCAAGTTGTCCTTAAGTAGCTTTCTAAGAAGTCCCTACGTGGGATTCATCAACGCACTCGTAAGCCGTTGAATTGTTCGCAGCTGTTCTCTCAGATTGATGAATCCCATTTCCTCGTAAGTAGAGCGCGCGTGCCAGGTGCTTCATTAGCATAGGTACTTAGCATAAGTAACCGCCCATTAATGCCCATATAAGGGACTGCAGGGCCGTGTGCAGGCGGCAGAGGAAACAGCAACAGTGGATAAAGAAATGCCCCCTATAAATAGGAAGGGGTCACTAATACACGGCAAGATTTCCAATGTATTTGATAAAGCGTTGGCACATTTCATTTCAAAATGAATTAAAAAGTAGGCCAGATCTGCAGTGAAAAAGGCGGTATATAAATAAAGATTACTAATAAAGATTACTACAAATAAATAAATACATACATCGATATGACGGACATATCACTGGAATGTTGTATTTTTATTAAACTTCACCAAAGAGGACAACCCCGGCGTGTAAACATGTCGGCACTGAATGCGTACGAGTGCTCCTGAGGACTCGTAAGATTTGTACTTGCCCAAGAGAAATTCTGGTTACGAGAAAAATTTGTGAATGCCACTTTCTTCGTAAAAACCTCGTAAGTAGGATTTACGTACAAATCTGTTCCTAAGAACCGTTCGTGAATGAGGCCCATTGTTCCTTTTGTGCAACCTGTATTCCTACTTACGAAAATGATCAGAAATACCGGTATTGAATATCTATATTTGGAGCTACAATATTAATTTTTATTACAGGCTGATATTAGCTCAGATTCAGAAAGTCATGGTTTAAACCTTTAATCACACAAAGTTATTCTGTAGAGAGGTCTATTTTCTAATGTGTGTATGCCTGCTCACCCTTTACTCCTGTGCAGTGTGGATCTCTTGTACCACTGTAATGTCAAATGTTGCATAGTTGTGTATCTATATTTTAATATGTTTTGGTCCCGGGTTCGAATCCCGGTTGGAACAAGGCCTTTCTAAATGGAGTTTGCATGTTCTGCCTATATTTGTGTAGGTTTCCTCTGGGTGCTCCGGTTTCCTCTACCACTAAAAACATGCACAATAGGTATGAATGTGATGAGTGAGTGAATGGATGGTGGTGATTGGGGGCTTTGATGCACCGGTGTGTTCGGCGTCTCGCTTCAGTCATCATGTTGAATCTAAATCTCTCTCAACATTGTAAAGAGTTTGTAAAAATGTGCTAGATTATTACTTTATTTATGTTATGTATGTGATTGTAGGTGGCATCGCTCCACAAGAGAATTATGTATCTGTCATTGTAAATAATTATAATCTCTAAGGCGTAACCTGTTGCTTCACAATCTAAACCCTGTGTGGAAGGCAAGAGCTGAAACACGCTGGTGTGTTTTTTAACCCCTGTGCTACCCTCGGGCCAAAATGACAGTGATTAAAAGTAGAAGACGCTAAATTAGGGTATAAATGACCCAGGGCTGGTCAATTTAGGATAAAACGTCAAAATTCAGCTTGATTATTTAAAATGCAATGGTGTAATCATTGCCATCTCTATAATAAAATCTTTTACAGTACATCCTGGACCTTTTGTGCCCATATTCCTCTGGCCGCACCCTTCGGTCCTCCGGTCAGAACCTGCTTGTTGTCCCAAAGACTCGTTATAAAACTCGAGGGGACCTATCTTTTCAGTCCGCTGCTCCCAGACTGTGGAACGCCTTGCCCCTGTCTCTGCGTCTGGCCGGATCTGTGGACTCTTTTAAAAAGGACCTGAAGACATGTCTATTCAAAAAAGCTTTTGGTTGATGGGTTTTCACTAGTGTCACTTTGATTTTACAGATGTCCCCATATTTTTTATTGTTTTTGCTCTTACCCTGTACAGCACTTTGTGATTTTATCTGTGAAAAGCGCTTTATAAATAAACTTTACTTACTTACTTACTTTAAAGGAGGGATTCGACTACTTGCATTTGAAGCAGACTGAATTGCATTTGTTCTGTAGTTTCTTGCTGGATGAATAACATTAACACACAATTGGAGGAGTTGGACCAGTAGATGTGAGGGGGAACAATATGCTATTGTCTGTCCTTACACTGGCACCAATTCATAACAGTAAAATAGTGAAAGCCAAAGCATCAACATTGGGATGGGGAAAAAAAGATCGGAGCATCTCTAATTTTAGTTTTAATCATGCCTGTAATTGTGCCCCTCTAACCACCTTGATAAAAGTACTAAACAGTTGGTTAAACCTGAGACTCCTTCAGATTCTTTCTGTGTGACTTTTGCAGCTGCAGTTGTGGGACACAGCGGGACAGGAGCGCTTTCGGAAGTCCATGGTGCCGCACTACTACAGGAACGTCCACGCGGTTCTCTTCATCTATGACGTCACGTGTCCCGCCACCTTCACCGGCCTCAGCTCCTGGATAGAGGAGTGCAGGCAGAACTCACTGGGCCAGGACATCCCACGGTAAATGCGAGCTTTCTTGTTGAGTGTGATCAATGCCACATACAAGGAGGTTTTCTGTTTTAGTCTAAATGATAGCTGTCAAATACACTACTGTTTTCATTATGTGGTTTTAAAGGGGACATAACCTAGAACGGTTTGATTCTTTGATCTTTTGTTAGTGAATTGACAACTTTATAAAGTCCGCCTAGACGACAATAGCCTGGCCATAGCCATCCGTGCACTTCGCTCAATTGTCATTTCACTGCATGTAACGTCTGGGTCTGGTCCCTGTGTTAATGATTACAATCGAGTGAGAGCGGGAGGCGGGTGTTGTGGTTAGATGTGGGTGAAGTCAAGAGTTTGCGCTGAACGGGCAGGTTGTAGTTTGGCAATGGCGAAGAATGCAATAGTAAAGTATTTCGGTCTGGTTCTATCAAGAAATTGAAGCAGGAGCAAGAGGAATGTTTAGCAAATGTTGGCAAAGATTGTGGCTCTACTCCCCACGGGCTCCGTTAGCGGCAAAGGAGATGGCTAGGCTAAATGCTAAATGCTAACTACTCACTCGGACGCATTACAATCGTCACGGTAAACTCGGATCCAATCGTTTCAATCTGCAAAAGGATTTAACCCCTCCTATCTGTAAACGGAGCTCAATGGAGCACCTCCAGACCTTAGTACAAAATGTAATTTGTACTATGGTTTTCGACTGCTAAGTGAAATAAAATGTATATTTTATTGAATTCTGAGTTGACATCACCTCCACATCAGTTAAATTGAATATGATTACATTTAGTTTTGTATAGCCCTAAAACAACAACAGCATCTTGGAGGACTTACAAAGTTGTCGATTCCTCAACAACAGATCAGAGAAACAAGTCAAACACAGGAAAGCGTCAATAAGCAACACATAGGAGCCATTGGTCGAATTGGGATGGCTGTCCGTAAATGTTCTTAAATGTTCCCAATCATCAGCGACCTTAGACCCTTCTACATTGGTAAGGAACAACTCAAAAACCCAGTGGTAAAAAGTGAGAAACTTCTGTGAGGCCCATAATGAGAGGGATCTACTCCCAGGGATGGACAGGCTGTAGATCCAAGACTCTGGCTGTAGAGTAGAGACTGAGGCCGTGTGGTACCTCATTAAAATTAGTATACACAACAGTTTAAGAAAGGCAAGTTTATTTGTACAGCTCAATTCATACTCAAGGCAACTCAAAGAACTGAACAAAGCAAGATGGCATTAAAATCCTAAATAATCACAGTACATCAAAAAATAAGATAGAAATATAAAATATAAAATCCCTCAGTTGTTTGCACAGCTAAACAGAAATGATTTTTTGGATTTAAACATTGTCAGAGAGGAGGCCTGTCTCACATCTTCAGGAAGATTGTCCCAGATTTTAGCAGCATGAATCTGAAATGCAGCCTCCCCATGTTTAGTTCTGACTCTGGGCACCAGCAGGAGTCCAGTCCCTGTGCTCCTCAGAGTCCTCAGGGTCCTCATTTAAATGTATCAATACACATTTTTGCAGATTTCTGGTTGGGAATAAGAGCGACCTGCGTGATCCGAGCAGAGCCGACCTGCAGGTGAACCAACAGATGGCAATGAGCTTCGCCAAATCCCACAGAATGGGGTTCTTTGAAACTTCGGCCAAAATGTCACCCAAAAAACTTTCTAAGATGTCGCAGCAGGAAGGAGAGGCGCCGTTTCAGCGGGATCTGGTCGAGGACATCGCGGTCACTGTGGCTGAAAAACTCAAGAGACACAAAAATATGAATAATATTTCTGTTTGCAACGGCTCGTTCAAAGTGACGAGCAAAACGAGAGCGGAAAAGGAGAGCTGGGGCTGCTGCTAAGACATGTGCAATAGTGTTTCTGTGGAAGTAGTAAAAACTTTTATCTGTCTGTTGTCGTCAGTGGATTTGTGAAGCAGTGATATGGATTGTGCTCATTAGAGAACCGTATCTATAAATGCATGTAACGTACAAATAAACAATTGTTTTAACTTGGCACATCAGTTCACATTAAAGCATTTTATAACAATGATTTATCATGAAATCAATAAAGATCTTTTGAAATAAAGAATACATTATTGATTTATAAGTAAAGGGGGGTGAAATGTCTTGCTAATTATTTTACTATTCATGTTTTAACAGATCATAGTTAGCCTGGGATCCGGAATAATAACCCAGGTTATAAATCTAAATATTCAGTGTTCCCTGGGATATCACACACTTATCCTAAACTGTACCAATTACCTTAACAGAAAACATATTAGTAATGTTATATTTACTTTCCTGTTGTCTTAACCGTCTGCACATTGCTCTTGTCTCTATGTGTGAGAGTCCAGCCCTAATATCACATGTACAGCAGTGATTAAGACGTCACATGGTGAACCCACCTCTGCACCTTCTCCACCGACTCCCACTGATGACTGCTGTCGTTGTGTCCTTGGGCAAGACACTTAACCCCACTTTGCCCAAAGCCCCCACTGAAAGATCAAGGCTATGCTCTCACTCAGAGAGCAGCCGTCCTCCTGTGGACTCACCACCTGCAGAGGGTCAGTGAGGGGCTGGTGCTATGAGACTTGGGTGGCAGCTCTGATTGCCACCCCCCTGACCCAGAAATGGATTAAAGGGAAGAAAATGGATGGATGGATGGATGGTGAACGCAGAACTCTTGCATAAGTTATGTTGTAGTTCAGAGAGGCCACCAAACAACATTACGTTCAATTGCTTTTAAAAATGGAAAATGTTCGAATGATTTATTATCCCATTAGTGCTGCTATATACGTGGCCTATGAACTGAATCCAATATTAAAACCAAGGTATGTTTTTACCATCTACCTTATTAAAAAATCACATTCACATAATCACATCTTACAACAAATAAATCAGGAAGTTAAGTTAACCATCTTTGGAGATTTTGGACTTCTTTCCTTATTATGGTAAAAATAGAGATTTTATGCTTCTTATGCCAGAGTTAGAGTTAATATTTTTTATTATTGTATAGAGTTATAATTCATTTATCTTGTGCTGTGTGCTCCTCATTCCTACTGTCTGTAACTTGCGATGCAACACTGAAATTTCCCCAGAGTGGTTCAAATACAGAATCTCTTTATCTAATACTGAATATATGTTGGGTAAAATCCTGATAGAACCCGTATCCCGTAGTAACAGCATCGTCAAGAAGGAACACGATATGTAACTTTTGCTGCAGCCCTATTGCTATTATTATTTAACATATATTATAATACATTTTAATAATACATATAATACACTTAACAGTCCTTAAATGCAAAGTAATTTTTTGTTGAAATTCTTATGTACAGATTTGATTAGACTTAGTAAAGAAAGTAGCATTTTGTACATCTGTGGTAAAAAGAAAAAATTCAAATAATTTAAACCTTTCCTTTTTTCTTCCTTCTAAGAAATCCATCCTGTGTTTAGATTTCCAGTTTGCAGCGTCTCCAGCTCCTGCAGTCAGACTATTGTGTCACGTTACCGCCACATTTTGCAGGTAAACGTCACATGTCTTTAATCTTGGGAAGGGGAAGAAGTTTTCTCATTTTAAAACAATAAAATGGCCTTCAGCAGCGCACATGGGACAGGACCTTTGATGGATAAGTCGTGGGGACATAACCTCAGTTTGAGAAGCATTCCAGTGATTATCACATTCTGCAATAGATGTGTCTGTGACGAAGAATGAATGGACATTACACAGGACTGTCTGAATCCTGTGATATAGTCAGTTCTTTTCTGTCTATATTACCACATACTTTACTTTAAACTGTGATTTTTAGTGCTTTTAATATCAGCAACTGTTCCTAATCATGGTGGTGAGAAAACTAGGAACTATCCAGATACTTCTAGACAAAATATGAGTATAGCACAAGGAAGTCATAATTAAAAGGCCCTTAATTACAAAGCCAACACAATTTTTTTTGTTTTCGATCTCAGTCAATCTGGTGCACACTGGGGTAGTCCTGCACAGTTTTTCCAATGTGGTTTTAAGGCAAATGGCAAATAAATTCTTGTATCTTGTATCAGGGCCTACTATAAAAATATCAAGAGGACCTTACATAAGTGATGAATTTATTTTTGTATTGCCCATGATCACGACAGCAGTTATCTTGAGGACTTCACAACAGAAATTCTTTTAAGAAAAATGTCTGACTGATTCATGTGTAATGTTTTTGTTGTGAGATATACAGTATTTAAAATGTGTTTTGTTTTTATACTTCTATGTATTGTTGACTGTGTTGGCTGTTCCCCTGGCCAGGTTCAGCTCAAAAAGGACATTCTGAATTTTGATGGGACTTGACATGATTAAATCAAGTGTTAGGATTAGATAGCTACTTGGCCTACGTGCAGGACAAGCACAAGACTGTAAGGACTCTGATTATTTTGACTCTGATTTGCACTGTCTCTGTGTGACACGTATGTCTTTCGATGTGTGACGTGAAAATGACTATAAAACCATGTCTTGACTTTTGCTCTGTCTGAATCAACTGCCATTTTTGTGAATAAACAACCAAGCTGGATGCACAGGATCCCAGTATGTCTGAGTCTGATTTCCCACACAAGTAATATCACAAATAAATAAAGAGATAGCCACTTGTTGATCTCAAGTAAAAATAAAGTGACTAAACATATTACTCAAGAGTCGTCAAATGTAACGTTACAGGAAATTACACAAGTAAAAGTTTAAAAGAAGGGGTTGGGGAAGTATTTTAATACTATTTGGACTTATAATCTTTCTTTTATCTTACTTTGGAAATTAATGAAACGTACAGACCACAAAAATGAGAAGTAACTCATGTCTGACTGAGAAAATACAGTGATTCTATACAGTCATAAAGTTTTTGTCACTTACTGAAAGCTCATTTTGCACTTCATGATCTGTGTTATTGTTGTAAATGAAGTGGATGTAAAATCTAAACTAACACACATAATTATGAGATTTTAACAATATAAGTGTCCACTGTGTCAACCCAGTGCAAATATTTATTTAGTGCAATAGAAAATAATATCAATATATTTTCAGTGCAATATTTATTTAATTGTGCCTTTTGTAATTAAAGCTAGGGTACCTTAATTAGCATGTGGTTTGTCCAACAGAAAGTCTTGTAAAAGTAACACAAACACGCTGTGACTGTCGTTCTGTGCTGAGAGCTGATTGGCTGAGTGAGGCTGGTCCTCTCTTCACCTTTCTTTCTTAAAAAGTTGATCAAATTTGTGACAGAAGCCAAGCAAAATGCATGTGAAAACTAGTGATAGCCCCAGGAACTATTTACATAGATTTTATTTAAAGTTGCATTTTTGTGATTTGAAAGTTACGCACCCCAGCTTTAATGCACTACCCTCCGTCACCGTTAGAGGGCGTGCGAGATGCCCACGTTGAAGGGGGCCGTTCCCGTCACAATCAGCCTTTAAAGTGCGTGGAGCGTCTTTATCCCAGAACTGTGCAGAAAACTCACCGATCTCCTGCAGCCGCTCGTACCCGAGAATCATGTTCTGCAGACGGGCTTTGCAGAGAGTGGGGCCGCTGGCGAGATGCGCTCTGCAACCAACCACCACCACCAGTGAGTTTCACCACAACATTAATCAGAAGAAAGGGCTTTTGTCTCATTCGGTATTTACTTTTATAAATGATTATTGGTTTTGTTTAATTTTTTTTTTGAATCCACATTGAACCATGCGAATACGTTTTTTTTTTTTCAGTTTTCTCCCACTTTTCAGGCACGACATCATCTGTGTGTGAAACAATGCATCCAAACAATAAGTGTCTCCACAATATTACTTTTCAACTATTGCACTGTTTTCTATTCGTACAATCACATTTACTTGTATAAATGGATCTTTACATCCTCATAAATTAAGTGTATTGTGCTCGGTGCAGTAGCAGCGTGTGGAGGGGGCGTGGCCCTCTTTGGGAACATCCAGTTCTGCACACGGAGTTCTTTGCGGAGAGTTTAGTGGAATTACAAGGCGATGTGCACATTTTGACGAAATCTATGCACTTATATTGTTGCTTCTCGTAATTATATGTAGTTTAGAAATATATATGTTTTTACAGATGTTATATGTGCAGGCAGTAGCATCATTGATCCACATGGGAAAGGGGCTGTTTGAATGAGGTGTAGCTTTTATCATGCACCACAGGTTTTTTAAGAAATAAAGTCACATATGAACAGAGAGGAAAGTGATGACAGCTGTTAGGACGGATGATTATAGATTATAATAACAAAGTAATAATTATTGTCATAAAATGAGGTTATACAATTATGGTCAGAAGTTAACATCAAATGTGTCAAAAGTATACAAATGTTGGCTGCATATGTCCATAAAGAGACCGTTTTTATACTGTACTGCCAAAAGTACATATTTCCCAAAGTGCGTGCTTGTGTTTCTTTTACTTATTCTTTAATTTCCTTTTAGTTTTCTGAACATGTGGTATTCAGCTGGAGGGGTTGGCTCTTTTGAGAAGTCATACAAAACCAGTTCCAACTGAATTGAACTGCAACTACTGTACTTTCCTGTGAAAGAAAGTGACTTAAATAAACCTTGATATGGTGTTTCTGTTTAACCTCTGTCCTGTACTGTTTATGTACATTATATCTGTGGGCACCTCCCCTCATGCACCTAATGTATGATACACACAACACACATGTACATGTGACTACCTCAGTAACCTGCACAGTATGTCTTTTGTACTTGAACTTTGCACCACTATGGATCTGTAGCTGGAGCCGACAGTAACAGAGACGGGACATTGACACGTGCACGTTCCTCTGTGGGTAGCATTCTACGGCTACATACATTCAGCTCATATAGGAGTGACTTACTTTAATTCATGATTTACTAACTTTTGCCTACAATTAATCAATTAAACAAATAATTTTTCTCCAGCTCCTGAGATGTTTTCTGATTTTTTTGGTTAGAAATCTAAGCTTCCCTACTGCTATAGCTGGAATCTAATTCATAGACATACTTTTTAGATAGGAAAAAGATTTTTGTGAAACCATTAATTCATACAAATGTTTCTAACAAAATGTTACCTGCGTTACTGTTCATATGTAAACTTCATTCAAACATTTTACTCATTTTATTAATAATATATCTTGTTTCATGTATTTTAAAGTTTACATATGTGTAGGGAGTTGATGCAGTGTGCACATTTAGATAACTTTATGTCAAATGTCAGAGACCACACGCTCACTACGGTGGATCATACTAAAGATACCGCGTGTTGACAGCACTGGCCTGATCCAGTCGTGTGTGAACCATAAAAGAGATTACAACGAGGATTTGAAAGGATCTGGTTTTATTTATTATCTCAGCTCTGGAGCACTGACTTTATCCAACTTTCATTGTATGCGTTTTATTTGACTAAAGAAATAAATTGTAAAAATAGAATAGAAAATACTCATCTTATTTCTACCAACGCCTTTTTGAAGGTTTCTTTTTTATTTATTAATTGTATTGTGCAATGAATAATTCTAAAGAAAGAGTACATCAACTTTTACTCAGTCTGTAAAAACATCTGGTCTGCCGCAGAGTCCACATGTGGGAGAAATGTCCTGAGAGTTTTATATTTGTAATCTTATAAAAGGGGAATGTTGACTTATCGCAGAAAAAGCCTGATTGATAAATGTGATGTGTCTGTGTACAGTTCCAGTTCGACACATGGCGTTCGGGATTCCCGGTGGATCCACTAACCTGGCGTTAGTCGTCCTGTGCGGAGGAGGCCTCACTGCTGCAGCTGTCTACGTCAGTAACAACAGTATTTCAAACTTATAAATGTTCATTCATCAAGACCTCATACAGACCAGAGTGATTTTTAGAATGTGTCTTGAGTAGAGATTGGTCTTTATATCGGTTTGTCTTTTTTTAAATTGTTTTTTTTTAATGTTTTTTCTAAATATTGGCCCTAACTTCTGTTCTACCTCATTTGAAAGATAATTTACTTTAGATAAAAACTATATATGACTAACCAAACTAACTGCATTATTTTGCTCTAAACGTAATTTTCAAAACGTAATAAGTATATTTATTTTTTAAGTTATTAGACAATAAAATATAATCAGTCGACAGTGCTCCACCACCTTATTATGTAATTGTATTGTTTTGAATTCCTCCATTATTTATCAAATGAAATACGCAATACAAACAATTATATTTAAACAAAATAAAACGCTGTTCTTTCAAGGTTTCCTCAACTTCTCTTATTTAGAATAAACCTATTCCCATCAATAACCCCATAGGCGTTATAAAACAACTTTAAAAATATGTACTAATTATTAACTAGCGCAAAGATAACCTGGCCGGAACAAATGCCCATATAAGGAAATTGGCTCCAGCTTGCTTATGTTCGGCTTCTTCCGCATTCAGCAGATACTATGGGTGAAGTCAGCCCTCGGTCAGTCCACTCCTAATATACAGTCTATGCATTATCCCCTGTCCCATGTTTATTTGCAGCAGAAAAATACTAAATCTGCCTTAATAACAAGAATAAAATAGCAGTGTTAATCCACGGTATGATACACTAGGTTCGGTTCCAATCAGTCGCACTGCTCTCAAAGTTTATCATCTACTTTGTGCTGCATGAAGTTAAATTTGCTTTAGTGTTGTAACAGCATTCTCCACTTTATTCTGCCATCACTGGATGTGTGAAAGAATGCTCAAGTGCCTATCTGTGATTTTTGCAGGCGTACAGGGCTGTGAGTGGGGAGGAGAGTCCAGCAAAAGGTTAGTAGTGAATAATCTACTTGTATTTAAAACAAAAAGTCAATTTAGTGAGGAACATGAGGTCAATGCTTAGTTTTGTCATCTCTTTTGAGGACAGGCTGAATCTCTGATCACATAACCAGCCCCAATACCTCAAATCCAAATATCAGACATGGTTGAGTGGTCAGCCTGAATACATGCGTCTGGTCTGTCTGTTCAGATATCTGTGACTGACTGATCCCTGGTTCCACACCCACACAAACTGGTTGAACATTGGTTTTTCATTATTCAGTGTGCAAGTCTGCTTCCAATGCAAAACGCACACATGCTAAAGCAGATGTTGTTAGATAATTACCATGTGTAGCTGGTAGCTTGTGTTGTATATTGCTGACCTGTATTCTTTCTGAATATCGCTGCACACGTTCTACCATAGCATGAATATAATAAAGATTGGTTTCAAGTGTTTTCTTCAGTCAATTCAGTCATTGGCCCCTTACTGTTATCCAACTAGTAGAAAAAATACAGATTTTTATTTAAACCTACTTGTACCCAACCTACCGGGTCTTTCTTATATTTAATCTAAATAGTAAAAGTGAGCCATGTGAGACTAAATTGGTCTCAGAGTTTTTTAGCTGGTGCATTGCAAATCCACTGCTTGTGTTTGAAGTTAATTTACTTTTGTGGATTTGTGAGATATAGGAACAAGTTCTATGAATTTGAATATATTCTTCACTGTTTGATCTTATGCATTATTATTGGCCATTCAAATTGATACAATACGTTTTCTTTTTGGAATATGGATCTTGTACAGGATAATATCTTAAGAAGTAAATTCATGGCGAAACAAGTAACAACTCCCAACAATCGCCATAACAACACAGCCATGTGATTATAAATAAAAGGAGAAATTGCTACAACTAATTTAGGGACAATACTTTTGTTTTAAAAGGCAGAAAACTGCTCTGAGTGTTATGTAATAGTGGTACAATTGCATAATATGGACTGACACAGAAGCTTTTAGACAGAATTACATCTGCCAGAAATGGATGGCTCTAAAACAACCATGGGTCTGTTTTTGATGAGGGGATATATTTTACCGTGGTAAAAAGCTCATCTCCTTTAAGTGACCCATTTAGTATCAGATTATCCAGAAATGGATGGCTCTAACTCTAAGTCTGTCTGTGATGCATGATATGTCTCATATGTCTCAAAGTGGCCTGTAGTATCAGATTAGTATATTTAAAAACATGTTTTATTTTCAGCTCCAGAGGCAGCACCAGAAGCAGCCCTTGTGGCTGAACCGGCCCCGGTGGTGGAAGCAGTGCCCGAGCCTGCCCCTGCTGCAGCCGAGCCCGAACCAACACCAGAACCAGTTGCAGAACCAGTCCCAGAACCAGCTGCAGAACCAGACCCAGCAGCACCAGAGCCTGTGGCTGAAGCAGCAGCAGCAGAAGTTGTGGTGGAAGCAGTAGTTGAGATAGCAGCAGTTGAAGTAGCAGCGGAACCAGCATCGGAACCAGCTGCAGAACCAGCTGCAGAACCAGCAGCTGAGCCAGCGGCGGAACCAGCTGTAGAACCAGTGGCGGAACCAGCTGCAGAACCAGCCGCAGCACCGGTGGCAGAGGAAGCAGCTCCAGTGGCTGTGGTGGAAGAAGTCCCGGCTGAAGTCCCTGTGGAGACGCCAGCCCCAGAGAGCGCTGCTGGTTCGGCCCCAGTCGAGGACGTTCCGGCTGCAGAAGCCCCAGCAGCTAATGCGGCTGCATAGAACTATGTTGAATGTTCTCCCATTAGTGGAGGAAAAGTCTGAAATTTTGAGAGAAAGACCACATCCCAAATCCACTTCTCACAGCTGTCAACTGCTTATAAATAGCGTCTAATATTTCTGGATCACTTTCTTTCTAGTGTTTGTGCTTCTGTCTTCATGTTTCTCTGTATCATAGAGGTGGAGAGATGTGGTCCTTGTCTTAAAGTGCTAAGAAATGCTCTTTGAACCATTACTTTTCTATGGAAAACAATAATAAAGATAAGTGCATAGCTGCTCTACTGTATGACAAAGTGGTTCATGATGAGTCCATATTTCCTGTTACTGGACCCTTCTACATTTTGTCATAAATTTGTTTAAATGCAGAAGGGTCTGGGATAAGGCCAGCAACCTCTCAGTTCACCCACCGATGGACTTTTCCTTCCTTTAACATAATTGTGTTGGCATTATTGATTGATTTTATGAACCAGATTTTTATTTTGGTTTGTTTTATAGTTGTTATGTTGGTCTAGAAGGTGGAGAAAGCCATTGGGATGTAATGTTTGAAACATGTTTAAGTGCCCTTGAACAAAGTCAATAGACAGTTCAGAATTATTCAACATAGGAATGAATGTTTTTTTAATGTTATGTTTGGACAATAAGGGGTCAGTATTCTCCGCTGTACAGTTTTAAACCAACACATGTCCTGTTGAAGATACAACCTGAAATTATTTTCACCATTCATTGCTGTTTTAGAGATTATAGTTTTCAGCACTATTGAACTGTATGGATGTCCAAGCATCTAGTTCGTCATGATGATGAACTATACTAATGCTGAAAAAAACAATAAAATCTCTGAATGATGAGTGCATTAAAGTCATTATATGTGTGGATCATTTGCTGATTATGCATTTTGTAAGCCCATTTTCCTGATTGTTTATTATATTAATATGGAATCATACATAACTATATGCCTGTTAATCTCAGATCAGGTTTTAGGAGCGTAACAGTTGATACCAGCAGAGGGAGCAATGAGAACACATTAATTTACAACTGCTCTGTTGTGCTGTCTTTTTTAGTTGATTATTTTCACACATACTCACATAGTCAACCATGAACATATATTTGTTAATAGATTAATATTCTATGTTGCTTTTCATGATGAGGTTTGGGAAAGTAAAACAATTCCATGCTCTAAGTAGAATGTGTAAATGTGTGCATTATCAATATTTTGGCAAGATGCAATTGTACTGAAAGACATTTTAAGTAAAGATGGTTAAATATCTTTAGGGGCATCATACTTTTAGGTACACACCAAATATTCATCAAATACTCACCTGAATGAGTGTGCTGTGAAGAATATAATATGATAGTAAAAATATGTCTAAAACCTACATGTTAAAATAGTTATATCTTATTTTTATCTTGGGGAAGTAGTAGCTGCCTGGCTCCTCTCCTAACTTCTGAAGATTTGGACACAGCTACAGGCCCAAGAACAATGTGGGATATGACAAGTGACAGGGATGGTGACTGGAAGGCAAGGCAACAATGTATCAACAATTCACAATACAAACATGATAAAGATGCAATGGTTTATTTACTGTGTTTGACACAAAAAATGCTTCACATTGCTATTCATTCACTCCATAGTGGTGGTAAGTTACTACAGCCACAGCTGCCCTGGGGCATACTGGAGATTGTCAGTGAGGCTGACAATCTGAGTCATTGTATTCCTCAGCCCTGCCTGCTTTGCTTATAGATTGTACAAGATCAGGCTTACACACCCTGGAATGGATAATTTTATGAATAGGTTAGAAAATGCATGAGGTCAGTTTCTAAAATGTCAAATATTCCTAATGTGTGAAATTGTGTGTTTCAGCAGTGGGCACAACAAAGCAACAAAATATGTCTCTGACTTTCAAAGGAAACAGCATTATAAGACATCAGATAGTGAACTCTAGCAACAAGCCCAACATGTGTTTTCTTTCATAACTACACCCTAGCCTGGTTTTGTGCTCCACAGAGCTGAGGGGGTTGATGCTCGTGGTGATTCTGAAAACTATGAAGCAACCACTGGGGGGTGGTAAATCCCTTATGATGGTGGAGTATTTTGAGACGTTTGGATACAATGCAGTAGGTCATTATTATTTATATATAAAAGCCCTACTAATGCGTCCAAGAGACTCAAACGGAACTGTTGAAAAATACTTAGTGATATTTATTTCAAACTTGCAGAACACAATTTCACAAATCTTCACACTGATACAGGTTTGAAAGCCCTCTCACCCATTCAACACACAAAAAATACACAGAATACAATACAATATATCAACATATAGAATAAAATGAAGACAGCACTATAAACAATACCACTATAATGTAAGATAAGATAGACTTTATTGATCTCACACAGGAGAAATGTACATGTCACATCTGGCATGGATAGAATCACTCAAGGTTGTGCAAAAGAAAGAAATGTGCAAACATGTTAAATGCAGGATATATATATATATACAATAAGAGTGCCAATTAAAAAGTGACAATCAAAGAAACAGTGGCAATATTTTGGTATCTCGAACTATTTAAAAAAGTTGTTGTTAGAATGAAATCATGGATGGCTGAGTGGACGGAATGAGGCATACAATGGATAGACTGAGTGAATGCACGTCCATGAATTTCTTTGACCCACTTTGAGCCTTTGAGCGTCCAGTACGCGCTGACGTCACTAGTGTCATTTGCCAAACGCAGCGGAGTAGAGAAAAAAACTGACAACATCCTTCGTCCAGCCCGAGACAGTTGCCCCTGGGGTTAAAATAATTGGTTATTTACGCCAAGAAAATCATCCAAGTGGTTTATCCAAGGGGGTAAAAGACAACAATAAACGGTAAGTGGTTTGACGCTTGTAGGGATTAGCCATTTGTTGACATTAGCAGCTAACCTCATGCTAATGTTGTTAGCCAAGTTCATGCCGACGCTAGCTGTGCATTATAACTAACTACATGGGCTTGTATAGCGTGCTATAGTTGTCATAAATATTTGTCTCTTGTATAATATCAGTACATTGTATACGTGCGTGGCAAATGAGAGAGCAGAAAGCTAATAATTGATTGATAAGGCAAGTTGGCGAGCAAAGGTATCAATATCGCTAGACACGCCCCTACCCCTGGCTGTTTCATGTTTGTCATAATATGGCACAGCTAACTCGTAAAAGACGTGTTTATCTGGTTAAACTGGTTGGAATTGCGTATAACTACACACAGTACAATCATCAATGGACCCATGCTTGTTTGTAAGGCTGACAGGTGATAAGTAGGTCATTGATTCTGTGCACGCGCAACGTTGCAGGCTATTATTATGATGACAGGATTTTTTACAGTAGTTATTTATTTCCTGAGTCCAACTACTCAATGAAGTCGGCAGATGATCTTGACTTGCTGTTATATGTTTGTGTGTGCCGTCAAGGGCCAGCTGTACCACTGTGTATTCACTGGGGTACAGTAATGCCCTTTATATTATCCATTGTATTATATAACCACTTAACTTTAATATACAATAGTAATCTTTGCATGTTAGATTTAGATATCACTAATCAGGAAATTATATAGTTCCACTGAAAGCCAATTTGATAAAAGCAACATGTGGAAAGTTCACTCAATTGCATAATTAAAGTAGGGCATTTAAGATTTGACCCTCGGTGGGGAACTTTCAGAGTAGCCTTTCCTCCATTTATTATACACTATACAACCTTAACCTTGAGACTATATGTTCCGATCTCATTTTTCCAACACTGATCCGTGTTTTCATTATATCTCAAATAGGCAATATTGTAGATATTTGATTTATTTAGGAATGTTCTTAAACGACTTTGACAGTTGTGAATTTATAGGTTTTGATCATAATGCAAATGCACAAGATATTGGTGTCACAGTCATCAAAACCCACATAAAGTCAATATAGAGTTGATTATATATAAATGGGTACAGAATAGATCATTTGGTTATTAAAGGTGATTGATTTTCTGGCTCCTCGCTGTGAATACATTTCTAAGAATGAGTGAATGAATGTTGTCATGTTGTCCACGTACAAACATGTCAAAAAAGTCTGTTGTGTTTCATGCAGCTGTGCCCCACCAACAAACAGGTGCATTTGCCACAGTGAAGTGGATCTCTACTTGAGATTACTCGAGCTTGTGGCTAATACATTTGAAACACTGAATAATATCACCCTTGAAATATCTGCAGCTTTTTGTCCACCTGCTCTAGAGTAACTAGAGTAATAAAAAACAAACAATGGCCTCTGCATCAGCCATTGAAAAGATCTCAACAATCTCTCCTGTCTTTCTAATCTCTGTGCATTGTGCAATTCCTGTCATTTTGCTTCTACTTCCCTGTCTCTTCTTTCTCTCTCTCTCTCTGAGGTGGGCAGGGCGGCACAAGGCAGGGCGTTGTTATTTTTTCCCAGCAGCAGCAGCAGCAGCAGCGATGGTGGTGTTGGTGCCAGTTGGGACAAAAGCCTTGTTGTTGAGAGAGCGACCATGTGACTGAGTGTGTTCCACCCTCGTCATGTGACCACAGACCAGAGCAAGGGGTGAGAAGTGCTGAGTCGCTCTGAGTAGCCAGTGTAGACAGACAAGGAAAATGAAGGCTGAAGATGCAAAGGCGAGACAACAGATTGAGGAGAATGTGTTTGCAAAGTGGAGGTGGAAAAAAATACTTAAAATTGACAATCAAACAATCAATTTTCACATTTTTCGAATGCGGATTTAAAAAGTGAAATGAAGATGCTCCTCCAAGATTTTACAAGTGGTGAGTTGATCATAACATCACAAGTCTTCTTTTTAATGTGTTTTTGAAGTTTGGTGTCTGGTCGTTGGTTTTCTGCTGATTCATAGCGCTTGTATAACTTGCCAAAATTCAGGAGTGTCCTATGATATGACTAATGTTTCCACTTAAAGCTACAGCAGAGCTTCTTCTCCTGCTGCTAAACTCATAGTTCACATCAATTTCTTGAATTTCCTCGAGTTTTTAGGATTTTTTAAGGCCGACTAGCGTTACCAATCATTGCAGTTTCAGTTCATACTGACTTTGACTTGACTTTGGGAAACAATCAAATGTATTATCCATGAATACAATACTCAGAAGACTGTGTATGTATAAGTACTTTATTTTTCTAACACAAGCCAAAAAAGCATTCTGAAACTTTACAGGCATGTGTTCAACTTCACTTTTGAAAATGAAAGCGGCTATAAGATTACCTTATCAGCTGATCACTTTAATCTTTGCCGTTACATTTGATATAACTTCATAAATCCCGAAGGAAATTCTTGCGTTGGAGAGATTGCATTGTGTTGCATATACATTTTATACATAATGATTAAATATTTTCCTGACCATTTTCTTAAGTAGGCCTACTCCCAAAAACCCTTAAATAGACTTCTCTCTGCTGAACAATGAAGCATGGAGGCACAGAGCATGGTTTCAGCTCTGGCAGGTCCTGTCCTACCTGTTTGAACCGACTGAAATAACAGAAGAGTCCAGTTCTCAGTGACTGCTGGATTGTGGGTATTTCCCAACCATGTCATCATTTGAGTATAGCTGTAGTCTTCTGCTCTCACTGAGGATGATGTCACTGTTACCTCCTTTCCCCACAAACCATAACCACAGTCTCGTGTATGTTAGAACACAGTTACAGACTTGTTAATTTGATTAGGTTAAATGCTCTTTTGTTTTTTGCCCTCTTTGGCTGGGCCTGTCATGTGACAATCATGTGAGCACTCTTCATACCCATGTGCTGCAGCAAAGAAGGATAACTGTTTGTTTGCCCTTTTTAAATAGTATTTTTTAAATATATTTTAATGCAAAATGTTCAAAAAGAAACAAACATGAAAGATGGCATACTGACTCAGATGTCCAGGACAGAAACAACTCAAATATAACTCTAATAAAACAAAACTCAAAGAAACATTGACTTGAGATTGTTATTGGTATTCTCCTTAGCACTGTGTCAACCAATGGCATAACCAGCCAGTGAGTTCCACCTAGTAGCAACCATTTTTTTGGTGTTGTGAGGCAAGGCAAGGTAAGGTAACTCAAAGTGCTGGACAGAATAAGATGAGTTTTAAAATCCTAAATAATCACAGTACATTAAAAGAGTAAAGATAAAATTCCTCAGTTGTACCAAGAACCCCACCAAGAGAACTCTTGGTTAGCTGTGCCCTGTTAAGACCAAGCCTATCAGTGATTCAAAAGAAGAACCAAAAGAATAAAGCAGGGGGCCAGGCACAACATGAGGTGGACAGATCACCGGCCCTCAGTTTCCAGATCTAAGTGATCCCCGGGCACACTCCGACCACCTGGAAGTCCCAACAGAGCCACAGTGTTGGTGGATTCCAGCATGTCATGGAAAAATGTTCAGATGAATCTGTTTGTGGTGTTTATTTTAAAGGAACAGAGTGTCCCAGTTTAATCAGATGGTCTTCTGATAATTTACGTAAATGAACACCGTCTAGAAAGTTTGTCACGCACTGTCAACATCATTCTGAAGAAAAAACATTTGTTCAATCGAAAGAGCAAATACGGTCAATGTCTTGGTCTGTCCCTTTAAAATACCCGCATCGGTCTTTTCCTATAAATGTGAAATTCTACACGTTTAGGAATGTCATTAATTATTTTTGATCATAAGAGCTATTGGTCCATAGCGAGCAGAATGACCAACGTCCATAAATGTCCCGATCATCACTGTCCTTAGACCCTCCCCCTTCGATAAAAGGAATGAATACAATGTGTACTTTTGATTAATCTTGAGTTACATTATGTTCTTGTCTTTTGTCATCGACTCCCACAAAGCTCAGCACGAGTGAACACGCTGTAACAATTACTGTTGATACAGTGCAATGGATCAAAGCCTGAGACCCTTTCACTTCACAGTGACAATTTCAGGTCAACTCTGGTCTCAAACAAACAATGAATTCTCCAGTTTTACTGTACATATTCGCTACAGTACTACAGCTTACACAGACAACACAGGACTGTTCAATATGTCTCTGCGGGATTTGAACCTCAGTATTTGCTGCTTTTCAGATTCATGCTGCTAAAATCTGGAACAATCTTCCTGAAGATGTGAGACAGGCCTCCTCTCTGACAATGTTTAAAACCAGGTTAAAAACGGTGCTGTTTAGCTGTGCATACAACTGAGGGATTTTATATTTTTATCTTTCGTTTTAATGTTCTGTAATTATTTATGATTTTAATGCTATCTTGTTCAGCACTTTGAGTTGCCTTGTGTATGAATTGTGCTATACAAATAAACTTGCCTTGCCTTGCCTTGCCTTATTTTGTGTGGCCATACTTGCATGCGAAAGTTGGATCAGGTCAGACCTCTGAAGCTGTGCAGGGCAGGGTTTGGTTAGTAATGTAATGGGAGACCTCTGGGAATACCAGGTGCCACGGTGGGGGGTGGCCGGCCTGTAAAGTGCCAAACTGCCATTGTGTCCTTAGGCAAGACACTTCACCCACATTGCCTAGAATGACTAGTGTGTGTGTGTGAATTGCTGGTGTTGGTCAGAGGGGCAGATGGCACATACTGGTTGCCTCGCTTCTGTCAATGTGGCCCAGGGCAAATGTGAAATGTCTTTGAGTGTCCAAAAAAAGCGCTATATAAAACGTATGCATTATTATTATTATTGTTTTTTTTTGAGTCCAGTGTATAACAGCATCACTTCCACTGCTTCATATTTAATACAAACTGAATTATCTAGTGACGCGTAATTCAATAAGTCCATGAACAGGCTGCAGACATACACTTGGCGATGGAAGATATCTCAAAAACAAAATGGAAACAATGGTCACAATCTGCAAGTCAGAAACACTGTAACTATTTTAAGTTATTTGGAAGCATAGCAAGTAGCAGTAATACAAAGTAAAATGTTTGTACTTTGTATAAGTCCAAAATTCTGTGTTTTCTCATGTTTTACACCTGAAAATGCGCACTTTTCAGTTTGACATTAGCTGCATTGAACAGTTTTGTTTGATATCCTTCTTGTGTTTGATTGTGGAGGGAGCAAGGAATGAATTGTCTTCCTGTTGTGTCCAGTGCTTCCTGAAACAGACTCCCTTCCTCTGGGCCAAAACCAAGACTTTGCAGAAAATGTGGGAACTTTTCCAGGGAAATATTTTAGCTTTTCATTAACAAAGCACACAAAAAACTTACTGATCACCTCTGTACATGTGGATGTGACATGTACCAGTAACTAAACCATAGTACTGCACAGAAGTGATAAGTTATCCTTGTGCTGCTAATACATAAACAGTCACAGCCATCACTGTAAATATGACTGTGAAATGCATGCTGCTAATTATACTCGATTTTAATAGCACTCATTTAATTTATCTTGTTTGAGTGCTTCTTTCCCTCTACTGTTTCAATGTAATTCAATTCAATGTATTTTCTACTGCCCTAAATGACAACAGTTGGTGATTTGCCAACACAGATCAGAGAATCAAACAGTCCAAACAGGGGAAATTTAATAAAACCAAATGTTCGGAGGTGGATGATCAATGTCCACAGATTTACATAAATGTCAAAATATGTCCTGGATCATCACCATTCTCCTCAGACCCCCCTGTGTCAGCGCACAAGAGGGTCTAAGGAAACTCCTGTGCGCTGCAACACTGGAGTTTTCTCGTTCTCTCGTCTTATTCTGTCCTGTGTTGTTTCCGTGCAGGGCCGTGGGGTGCGGCGGGGGTGTTGCACGTGGCAGATGCACAGCTCCTGAGGGATGAGCTCCGTGGTGCTGGTGGAGTCTGGAGGGACAGTGGTGGAGTACATAACCGCAGAAGAAGACCCTCAACAGGTGCGACTTGTCAGCGCAACGTGATTGGACAACTGTCAATTAAGAACATAAAATACATCTATGATCAATGCTGTATTTTAAATTCAATTGCCCATCTATGACCAGTTCCTACCTTTTTATATTTTCAAAAATGTCTCCCTTTTGAAAATTTGTCACAAAGTTGAATTCCTCTTGCTACAATCTTCAAAGTATTTTGTTATTGGCAGTACATTTGAAAGGATTTGCTCAAGAAGCAGTGAAAGTTTATTAATATGGCACTACAATGGATCTGGCTATTCAAAAAACTACTTTTGCACTTATCTTCTTTTGCAATGTTAACTATAAATTTAGTTTTTCAGATATTTAGGGCTGAAACAACTAATCAATTAATCGACGACTAATCGATTATTGAAATAGTCGACAACTATTTTAGTAATCGATTAATCGTTTTCTGGTTCACACGGACTCGGAGCAAAAATGACATGAAAATGTAGTATTTTTGATTAAAACAGACTTTGTTTTTATAATTTCATGAATATCTGTCTGTCTCATCCAATCAGATAGCAGAATTAGCACAAAGAGCCTGTTACAAACATTTACTTTAAGTTTACGCCATCAATACGTCCTCGAGTGTTGCCACTTTAGCTTTTTGTGATGAAAAAATAAATGTTTTCTACACAATTCACAGCCAAGCGATTACTCGATTAATCGTAAAAATAATCGATTGATTAATCGATTACAAAATAATCGTTAGTTGCAGCTCTACAGATATTGTTGCTGAATATAGATGGAGTGAAAAAAAGCGTTGAAGTGCTGTTTTTTAAGTGTACATCACAATGGCAAAAAGGTCGTGGTAATTTGAAAATATAGTACAAACCTCTTGTTTTAGACAACCACTTCAATTTAAGTTGGGACGCATAACTTTCAAACCACATTTTTCTCTCAGTTTGGTTCTCTAACTAGTTTGTTTGGCCACATCTTTACATCAGCCTTTCAGACAGTAAAGTGCAAGAGAGAGGAGCACTCTCACTCAGCCAATGAGCTATCATCCCCAAAGCATCAAAAAGACACTCACAAGGCAAGTTCTGCAAAACTGAACATGAAGATGAAGATTTTTTTAAATGAAAACTTTAGTTACTGTAGCTAAAATGAAACCAAAATTTGCTTATCGGTTTTCAAAAATGCTTAACATACATTTCCTGTTCCTTTGTGCCCATGATTGCCATGTTCCTCGTAAGGTAACTAGAACTTTCGGGGTGTCTTTGCAGGATGGAGACTGTGATGTGGAGATTGAGCTGGAGGAGGAAGGGCCATGCGAGGAAGACGAGGACGAGTACCCAGAGGTCATTGTGGTGGAGGAGGACTCCGCGCTCTGTCTGGAGGACTCGATACAGTGCGGTCAGGTCTTTGTGTGCGATGGACAAACCTACATGATCCAGGAGGCGTCGGAGGAGCAGGAGATGCTGACGCAGGAGGAGACTGGTGAGACATGTTTAACTTTTGTTTTTGTTATAAATGTGTTGTAGTGCAAGTATCGGGAGAATTCAACATGACTGATTCAAATCCAGTTTATTTGCCGTTTGCAGTAAAATCACATTGGAATATATGTGCATAAGTACCCCAGTGTGCTCCAGACAAGTACATAAATATTGCGTGTAAGACTCGGTGAAGAAGACTACGCCAATAATGTTACAACTTATATAGGCAGATGTTAAAAGCTGTCATTTAAAGTCTGAGGCGCTAGAAAACGAGAAATTAATTGGAGGTCCATCATCCATCATTTATGGAAAGATAAGTCGGTTGTTTTTCGGTATAGTAGTTGTTAAAAAGTATTGTGTAAGGTAGTTTGCAGTACGTGCTGCATTCTAGTGGTAACAAGTCACACAAAAACTAAATAAAAACAAATGAGAAGGTGAGAATGATGAAGGAACACATACAGGTATCTGAGCATCCATACAAACATACAAGATTCATAAGGCAAAAGTTACATTGACTATCTTACTTCAACAAATAGAAATTGGAGTCTATATAGCAGAAGAATTATTTTTATTTAACATAAAAATGTATGATAATATTAATAAGTTGGTATAGTTGTTGATAAAGGCCTCCACATGGCAACAATGTGACTTGTATAGAAGCATTTCGAACACACTTTCTCTTGTGCAGCGTTAGCTTTGAGCTCCAGTATCTCAGAAGTTATATATAATTTAAATGGTGAAACACTGCTGTGGGGAGCTGCTCTTACTGGCCTGTGCAATATATCTATTATTACCAAACCTTTGGGTACAATTTGAGCGGAAAAATATTGTCCACTGCAGGAATACAAGGTGTGTATTTTGAAAGTTAAGATAAGATAAAACTTGACTGATCTTAAAATGGAGAAATTTACTCGAGGTGTGCAAACAGTTCAAAAGTCAAAAAGATATAAGATCAAGGCAAGGCAATTTTATTTGTATAGCAAGTTCATACTCATAAGTAATTGCAGTACATTAAAGAGTGAAGATACAATCCTTCAGTTGTATGCACAGCTACAACTTTTTTTAGCAGCATAAATCTGAAATGTTAGCTCCCCATGATCAGAAACGCCATCCAGGTCAGAAAGCGTTTTGCACTTCAGAATTAGCATTATATTTTTTATGGGGAAATTGCATACTGTGGTTTCTCTAAAATGCAGAAATAAGATAAATTGGCAACAAAACTTGGTGTAAATTGAATAACGTTGAATGGACACAAGATAACTGTAATCTTAGGTCAGATACTGCCCCCTTGTGGATAGTTCTTGAAGTTAGAGAGTGATTCCGTATCAGAGGCTAATCACCCATTAATCTCTTTCTTTGACCTTTTCCTAATCCGGGTTTGCGTTTAGATAGAAATAGAAACGTGGGTCAAATGGATTGAGTATGTCTAATCAATTGTGTTTGGATGAGAAGAACCTGACAACTCACATTGAAAAACATGAATAAAGGGGCATATTCAATTTGCATAATCATATAGTCACACTTTCACACATACAAGGGGAGAAAGAACATTAATGTGTCTTCTTAGCAGTAAGAAATTAGATCATTTATTGATATCGTGCAAAAACAGTCACATATTTATTACATTTACAATACCACACTCTAATAAAAGCCCCATACAAAACTGAAACGTCAAAAGTTTGGTTATTGAATAGATGGTCTTACATTTAACAGATCCATCTTTTTACTGTGAAACATAGGTAGAAGTATTCATAATTTAACAGGTCATGTTAGATTAGGTGTACTGTTTATTCAAATAGTTTTGGGGCCCTGCGTATAAACTAATTACAGCCTCCTGGGAGTTCCTTTTAACAAAGCAATTAGGAATAGGAATTAGTGCATGGCCTTTATGAATGATTTGTATTGTATTGAATTGAAAAAGTGTATAGATAAAAGTGTAGTGTTTATATTGAATTATTAGGTTTTCATACTTAGGGCACTTTGCTAACAAGATTATTAACACTGTAAAGCGTGCATGTAGTATTTTTTCTTTAAAGGTTGGGGTAGATAACTTTCAAACCACAGAAATTGAACTGTGTATCACTTACTAGTTCCTCTCTCTTAAAACTATTTAGTTCCTTCACTAGTTTTCACGTGCATGCATTTTTTTCACATCTTTTGATTTGTTTTTTTAGAGAGAATATTCTATAGCAAGACTTTATATTGGGACAAACGACATGTATTTTAAAAAGTTAGGTATCCCAGCTTTAAGTTCTACTCAACATTTAAACAAAGTGTGAAGTTGCTTTGTGATCCTATTTGGGGTCTTTGCACGTAACACGCGCAGAGGGAGGGTTATTTCCTGTGTCGGTGGCGGAGGGATAGTGGTGTTTTTCTGTGTGTGTGACGCGGCCCCATAGGAGATTCCCATTAGTGGCGGAAGGATACGCGCTCCTAGCTTCCCCATACAACTCAGTGAGAAGTCTGCAGCCAGCGAGAAACATGGCGACTCGACAGCATGAGGGACACGCAAATCAACTCGATTTACTCATCAGAGCCGGTAACACTGTATCTCTGCTTAAAATGCTGCTATTTCTGCTGAATTTCGAAACGCGGCGTGTTTTTGTAAGTCACCGCTGCTGTGCCTTTCCGCTCCGTAGTGAAGCAATGGAGGGCAATCAGGAAGTGATCACCTTGGGTAGCAACCTGCATGGCGTTGCTACACTGGTTTTCTTTCATAATTTTTACGTTTGCTATAAAACCAGTGAAGCTAAATACATTGCAATTTCCCCTGTTTGCGAAACTGCCGCAGATTGCAACGTTTAGACTTTGCACATGTTTTTTGTGGTTTGATTGTGCGGCGTGGCCATGCGAAGTAACGGTGTGCGAAACCAGGAAGTGAGAGGATGTTGTCTTTCCTGCGTCTTTGCCACGCTGTCTGGGTCGGAAGGACATAAACACGATTATTTTGATTAGCTGCGGTATAACATACACAGATGCATTGATATTGCCGTATCAACCATTTAGCAAGAGGCGTTTTTGTCCTGCACTCGCGTAAATAAAAACAACCACGGAAGCGGGTCATTATACACCCATAAATTATAGTTGCGGAATATCAGCGGTATTTTAGTAGTCTAATAGAAGTGTAGTAGGCGTGGGCTGTTTTTAACTTGAGTTTGCCTCATATTTATTGTATTTTTAACATACTTCCGCTCTACTGTTGTGCTCCTACAGCGTGGGACGGCCTGCCCCAGCGCACTGCTCTTTGGTTTTTTGGCACGTCCGACCATTTCATGATATCTGCACCCGTTAGCCATTCGTTTCATTAAACCTTACCACTTCTGTTGATTTGTATTCATTTTGTTTCATCGTGTTTTATATCTAATTTGAAACTGCTATTATAAAACGTATTTTCGTGTAATTTCGATGGCGGAAGCATTGTTGAGGCAAGAAGGTGTGGCTCAGCTTTGATTGGCATGCGTTTCCTCCAATTGGCTGCAGCTTTCTGATGACGTCGTTGCGTGGCCAATGATTTCCCTTACTGGGCGGGTCTGCGGGCCGAGAGATGGCCAATCACAGGCGAGGAGGGCGTTGATTGACAGGCGGATTGGTCCGATTGTGGAGGGAAAAGACGGGAGTGTAAACACGGAAGTCATCATTGGCAGCACTACTTTCTGTCGGACTCGCTGCTATTCTTGGACCCGTTACGGTGTATTATATCTATATATAAGTTTAATAATATAACAAAAAAATTTAAAACGGGAAATGTTGGTTTCAAAACATGCCACATTTGTATGACGACGAATCATGAATATGGGTGGCTATTAATAATACATTGTTTTCTAAAGTTTAATATAATTATTAGTGTCAACATTGTTGTGCGCTTTATTTTATACACTCTATTTACAATTTTTAAATACTAGAAAGTACAACCTAAAACCATGAAATTGTACTGTATGAGCTGCTGTAATTATCTTGTGGCACAAAACAGTTAGAAAGTAAGTCTATACGTAGCCCCCATCAAAGTCCATTTGTTTGTCCCACACTCACAGTCCCTTACTCAATCTAAAGATAGGTCTTTTCTCACTATTGCACTGCCTGTTTCCAAACATGGACAGAGCTGGTTGCACTCACGCTCAAGTTTCCCACCAGTGACTGACAGCGACAGCAGGTGCCCTGGGTTTCTTCTCAGGAAATCTTCATTGGCCCTGCACGTTTTCATTTAGCCAAGTATTGCCTATTGTCTTATCATAATATCATTAGATTGTTGTGATTTTGGTATAATAAGACTATATGAAATCAATCAATATTCATTTAGAAAGCACATTTATAAACTGCCTAGGCTTACCAGAGTGCTGCACAGACAAGTATTACTTTGCAAAACAAGTTGTGAAATTTGTGGTCAGAGCTCAAAGAATACTGTGGTTTTAAGACTACTTTGTTCATCATCTTACTTTGTATACAAGATCCATATGTGTAGGGACTTTCTATTAATCTATCTTGATTTGTAACTTAATCCTTTTCTCCCTGAAATCTACTGGTGCATAGATATGAGCAAACACTTGTTGAAATTAGATGGTGCGCAAACTTAGCTCTGAGGTTTCATCTTTCACCTTCCACAATGTTATGATTTGAATTTGAATGCACAAGAGAAAAGTTGAAGTGTTTTGGCATCTTTTACATTTTCAGTACTTTTCTGGTTGTAGTTAACTGGTTTTATGTCATTGCAGTGGAGGCGTCTGTCCATGGCTCCAGCATCCACTGTTCGGACAAAACGATCGAGGCGGCGGAGGCTCTGCTGCACATGGACTCTCCCACCATCCTCCGGGAGGATCGCAGTCCAGGTAACCAACATGAAATAGATCTGTTTTTATTGATTTTTTTGTGTGTACAATTTGGCCTATTGCAACAACAAAAAATTCTGAGTTATATGTCGCTATAGAAATGGAGTAATAGTCTTGAAACTAGTTCATGCCACACACCTATTAAGATGGATTGCAAACAGAATTTCTGTGGCTTCATTCTGGAAATATTGCAATTGTGAGATTTTGGATATTAGTTTGAAATAAGAGTATCCACATCTCTGCATAGATAAGTCAGGAAGTATTTATAGACAGCCCCTCACAGGAATTTGTTGACACTTGAGTCCATCAGGTGAGATATATTGTGTGCACGTAAACAAAGCTAGAGATGAGGGTTTCAGCACTTGCTTCAAAAATGATTGCTTTTAGACGTTCTAAAGCCGTGACTTTTTCACTTAAATTGGGATATACTTCATAATTTCCCCTTGTACATCTGTTAGACTTCCTGCACGCTGCGATGCGTCCCGACATGTACGCAGAGACCGAGGTGGAGATCTCGACGGAGGACTGCTGCGAGGACGAAGACGACGACATGGTCACTTACATGGACGACCCTGAGCCAGAGTTTGAGCCGATCAGGAAGAAGAGAGGTATGCGTTACTACAGAGAATGCTTCACTGTATTACAACTGTTTTGCAGAATTCTATGTGAAACCAAGTGCTCTGAGCTCTTATTCTGCACACACTATACTAGAGTTTAAAGTTTGAAAAGACGCTTTTTTCCAGCCTTGCCGTTTTAACTTCAAGGTCCTTTTTTGCTGAGTAGTGGAATGTTTTCATGTCAAATGTTTACAAACCTATTATAGACATTCAGTTGCCCTCAGATGTAACTTGGTGTTCCAAACCATAAACCTCAGACCGCAGCACACTGAAGTACTGTGTGAGTGCTCCATCTAGTGGCCACAGAGGGACCTGTTATCCAGTGGTTCTTGAAAGTATTGCAATGTCATTTATAGCTTGAGAAACATGAAACACACACAAATTGTGTAGTGACTGTAAGATTGGTTTTACATTAAAGAGATTGGACATGGTTTGATGTTTTTAAATCTACATATTTTAGCTTTAATGTTATTGACTTTTTTTCAACCACTACGCTTAAGCTGATTCAAAGAAGGCCTCACATAAATAAATGAATCCACTCAACTTGCAAAAGACTGATCTTGAATAAATAGCAAATTTGCAAAAGCTTTTTTCCTAGTGTACTGTAAGAAAACGTTACAACTCCTCTGGCCAGACATTGAACTGCCCTGTTTCTTTTTACAATAATTGAAAATGTTATTTTTGCCGTAGTTGGTCGAAAGACGAAGCCATTTTCCCCTGACTCTCCGGATCTCAGCATCAAGAAGAAGTCCAGAGAGGGCAGAGGTAAAGAAACCGTCACAACAGAAAACTGACTGACCGCAGACCTGCCGTGTTGTTATTCTGAACATGTTTGTGGTTTAGCAGGAACCACAACTTATCTGTGGGAGTTCCTCTTGGACCTGCTCCAGGACAAAAACACGTGTCCGCGGTACATCAAGTGGACGCAACGGGACAAGGGCATCTTTAAGCTGGTCGACTCTAAAGCCGTGTCCAGACTGTGGGGGAAGCACAAGAACAAACCCGACATGAACTACGAGACCATGGGCAGAGCGCTGCGGTGAGGCCTTCACTGTCACAACACGCCTCTTACAAACCAAACATCTGTAATTGTTGACGGAACATGTCCTACTTTTATTATATTAGTTTCCTGGTTAAATAAAGGTCAATAAATGAGACATGAGCAATTTACTTCCTCATTCCTACTGTCTGTAACTTGTGATGCAGCAGTGAAATCACAATTTTTTTTACAAGAAACTCGTGTCAAATAGAATATAGTTAAAGGAATAGTTCACCGTTTGTACATACTGACATATGTTCTTACCTTACCTTAGACTAGTTAATACGTACCTGTCTGGTCTTAGTCCGTGCGCTCTGTCATGCAAACGGAGCAAAAACTGGAGCACAACCGCAGCCTCCTCTGTATAATTTGTAGCACCAAAAGGTAGCTCCCGCTAGAAGCTACCAAACTCTTCCAAGTGTTCCCTATTAAATGTATATAGTTACGTGACGTGTTACACTGCAAAGTATAGTAACACAGAAATGTAACTGTCGATTTTCTCAGCGGATAAAACGGGTACTATATTGTGAGGCGTAGTAATCTGAGGTGCGCTACGTCCGCGCACTAACTTCTCTCCGGAGACTTCTCTCTCGCTCACTTCCGTCAATAGAAGCAGCGTGACTTGTAGTACACACAGTAGCAGCGAGAGAGAAGTCTCCGGAGAGAAGTTAGTGCGCGGACGTAGCGCTCCTAACTTCTCTGCGCACTAACTTCTCTCCGGAGACTTCTCTCTCGCTGCTACTGTGTGTACTACAAGTCACGCTGCTTCTATTGACGGAAGTGAGCGAGAGAGAAGTCTCCGGAGAGAAGTTAGTGCGCGGACGTAGCGCACCTCAGATTACTACGCCTCACAATATAGTACCCGTTTTATCTGCTGAGAAAATCGACTGTTACATTTCTGTGTTACTATACTTTGCAGTGTAACACGTCACGTAACTATATACATTTAATAGGGAACACTTGGAAGAGTTTGGTAGCTTCTAGCGGGAGCTACCTTTTGGGTCCTATACAGTATACAGAGGAGGCTGCGTTTGTGCTCCCGTTTTTGCTCCGTTTGCATGACAGAGCGCACGGACTAAGACCAGACAGGTACGTATTAACTAGTCTAAGGTAAGGTAAGAACATATGTCAGTATGTAAAAACGGTGAACTATTCCTTTAAAAAGTCCATTCACGCCTGTAATTCATCTTAAAATGTGAAATACTTCTTGGCGCTGCAGGGAGGACAGTGATGATCCGGGACGTTCATAGACTTTATTCATATTTATGGTCGCTGGTTGCCCTGCTCTTTAGTTTGGTTATTCTTGCATTTCCTGTGTTCAAGCTTTTTGATTCTCTGATCTGCTGTTGGTGAATCAACAACTTTATAAAGTCCACATAAACAACTTCTGTTGTGATTTAGGGCTATATTAAACATTATTGAATCGTCTTACAGCTTGTACAAATCGTGAATGAAACGTCTCATAAATGTAGAATATTATGGAAATGGACTAAGCCATAATCAATATTATGAAAAACAAAAACTTTGCACATGGCACTTTGCATGTAATGAGTATCATAAATTAAATTCTCATTTTAAATTACTGAAATATATGAACTTTTGAACGATATTATTCTCAAGTTTCAGCTTCATGTACTGTCCATGCAGTGGTCGAGGAGGCGCTGCTGGATGAGTTCACGATCATGTTATAACTACTAGTGTTAAAATTCAGTTTGTGCTGCAAATTTCACAAATATAAAAACAAAACATTCGAATTCCAGATAGTAAAATGTAACATCACTTCTCTGAATTATTGTTGCCGATACTAGACGATAAAGATCAGGAAAGTACTTAATTTGATTTAGTATCTGTTTAAATTCTTCGTCTACCCGTCATGGAATTTCCTGGTTTTGCTTCTTTAATGTCTTTAATAAACAGTTTCCTGAATGGAACTAAACAATGATTATAATCACAAACTGAAAATGAAAGCCCAGCAGCTGAAGTCCTGTGTGTTCTGCAGATACTACTACCAGAGGGGGATTCTGGCCAAAGTGGAGGGGCAGCGTCTGGTTTATCAGTTCAAGGATATGCCCAAGAACATCGTGATTATCGACGACAACAAGGCGGAGCTGTCGGACGACATGATCGACTCGTCCGTGGTGTCGTACGAGCGCGTCCCGCCCCCTCCCAACCTCCTGCAGAAGAGCGAGCCCTCCACGCCCACCAAACCCAACATCCTGAGGGGCAACAAGATCGCCGCCCACAAGCCACAAGGGGGCACTTTCATCACAGCAGTCCAGCAGGCGGCGGTGGAGCAGAGCAAAACGTCTCATGCAGCCGTCATCACCAGCACCACGACGCCGAGGTCAGTGAGAACTCTCTGTGTGGGACATGGGGCTATGGTTACTATGGTTACGATCCTTGTGTAAACATACAACCACTATGTGTGACTTCATATGGAGCCAACGCTACAAAAGTCAACAATGTTTGGTATGTCCACAAAATTCATGTGTCACTAATGAGCAGTGAGCAGGATGTCACCTATGAGAGTAGGAGAACGGACGGTATTTAAAGCTCTACCTAACATTCAAACTAGAAAAAAATGGATCTTGGCACCGTACTTTCTGGACTATAAGGTGCTCCTGTATATAAGCCACAGCATCTAAATTGGAAAAGAAAATACATTTTGTCCACATAAAAAGCCACAAGTTTTCATGATGTAATGTAGCATAGACCGTTTTAACTAGTCACATGATTTAATGGAGAAGTGTCGGACAGATTAACTGTCAGACTGGTGAATGAGTCATGGAAGCTATTCTGACGATAAACGAGTGTCCTACTAAAACTTGGAGTTAAAATAATAAGTCTATAAACTCTGCTCTGACAACAGCCCAACTTTACCACAAAAAAAACACACATATTAACTGCATCGCTATAGAAAGCCGTAGGGTTAAAAAAACAAAAACAAATCAAGTGCAGTTTATAGTTTGGGGTAGGTAAAAAAAGCGCGTTTCACAAACTAAGGTCACACATGGCACTTTAACAAGGTGATGGGAGAAGCATTGTTAGATCCACAGAATAAAATTTAAATAATAAAACAACGGGGCCACTCTTGCTAAGCCAATCAGCTCTCAGTTCAAAGAGTAAAAAGCGGCTCCCAGGACTCTTCATGAGTAATGTAAAAGATGGCTGTTCGGTTTACTTTAACAATACTGGATTCTTATGTGGATACTAATTGTTGAACAGGTATTTGTTGTTTTCAGCTGTAATCCCGATGAGCGCCCCCTAGTGTCTGTTTATTCCGTATTATTTAAAACCCCCTCACGGTTCCTTCTGTGTGATACCTCAGGGCGGTGCGCGTGGCCATGCAGGTGCCACTGATGATGACGACGCAGCTGGGGCAGAAGATCTCCGCGGTGACGAGCGCGGGACACACCACCCTCCTCACCAACTCCTCCCCCATCAGCGCCGTGTCCCCCGCCAACTCACAGCAGAAGGTGTGGAGACGATGCTTCAGTCTATGCCATGATTTTGATAAGAGGCTCCATTGTCTTGCTGTTCACTGCAGAGTGTGGCATTTCATCACCGCTTTTAATGTTAAAAAACTCACAGCAGAGTTTACTATAAAAGTACGTTATTTCATATAGTGATGAGAATGTAACTTCTTATATCCAAGACCTGGACATTTAACTTTTAGACTCCAGGGTTTTTGGAAATTTTGATGTGAAACTTTGATGGAGGATAATAATTAATGTGTTTTTCACTTTGGCTTATTTTGTTTTAAGATACAGTGAAGTCAGAGAGCGACAGTAGCTCAGTTGGTAGAGCATTGGCCTTAAGGCCAGAAGGTCGTGGGTTCAATTCCCACCTCTGCACCTCCATCGACTCCCACTGATGACTGCTGTCGTTGTGTCCTTGGGCAAGACACTTAACCCCACTTTGCCCAAAAAGCCCCCACTGAAAGATCAAGGCTATGCTCACACTCAGAGAGCAGCCGTCCTCCTGTGGACTCACCACCTGCAGAGGGTCAGTGAGGGGCTGGTGCTATGAGACTTGGGTGGCATCTCTGATTGCCACCCCCCCTGACCCAGAAATGGATTAAAGGGTAGAAAATGGATGGATGGATGGATGAAGTCAGAGAAAGACATTTTTACATTGATTAATTTAGATCTGTTAAACTCTGCTTGGAAATTGAACTGGATTGTTGGGGATTGAAAAAAAAGTTGTCATTCTATTTAGTTACTTTGTCTAAATCTATTTTTATGGATTTACTTATTTCACATGGCAAAATAAATGTCTATCGGTATAAAAAAACACAGGGAACGCTTTTGGAAAAATCCTGGAAAACCTCGAGTTAGAAAAGTTTACAAACTCGTCTCTCATTGTTCCCAATCGCTGCAGGTGGTGATCCAGACGCTGCCCACGATGGTCCCGGCCACGGCCGAAAACGGAGACAAGATCACGGTGCAGCTCGCCAAGATCATCACCATCCCGGCGCACCAGCTCGCCCAGTGCCATCTCCAGACTGCGGGCTCCAAGGGCTCCACGGCTGGGGGGCTGAGCCTGGTGGGCGGCCCCCTGACGATGCGCGCCCTGGCCCCGTTGAACATGGGGGGGCAGGTGATGCGGCTCACGGTCCCGCAGACGCAGCAGACGGTGGTGGTGTCCCAGGCCGGAGCGGCGGGGGGCGGAGCCGGGGTGGTGCCGTTGTCCAATCAGCCGCGGGTGATCAGCGGGGTCCTGAACGGGTCCGAGCTTCTGATCGGCGGGGCGGGGGTCTCTCTGGAGAAGGTAAAGGTCGAGGCGCTCCCGGTGTCTGTCCCTGGCGCTCAGAAAAGTCAAGGGAAAGTCCTGGTGATCGCCGCGGACGCAACAGACGCGACGAAAACGGAGGAGCCGGAGTGTTGAAACCCCCCGCTCGGCCGTTTGTACAAAAAGTCAAAATTTTACCCACGTGTCATAACCAGCAGCAGCGCGAGACTTCGAGACTTTCAGGATTTTCCTCCGCTGCCTGTCTCTGGTTTCTCCTCACATCAAACTATGATTCTGTACAATTTAAACTTTCCTCGCGGGAGAACAGACTCTGGATCGAAAGGGACCAACACTAATAAAAAAAAACCCACATAACTGACTTCAACGGGAAATGCCCTCGCAATCATCACACACACACACACACACACACACACACACACACACACACACACACACACACACACACACACACACACACACACACACACACACACACACACACACACACACACAGCTTTTGTCGAGAGCATGTTCCAAAACGTCGACTTGTGAAGAACCAGCATCACTTTTCTATCTCATCACTGTGCGGAGGAGCAGCAGGAAGCTACGATCATGTAAAAACATACATGAAATATATTTACGCCGCTGACGTTAACAGCAGCAGGTTTGAATTTTAACTTTCTTTTTTCTTTCGTATATCTTTGAACAGTAAGCTGAACTTTGTTTTTGTTTTTTCTCTCCATACTTTGAACCAAGCACAGTATTACCTGAACTAAGGGAGCTAATACATGTATTTATTGGTGACTCTTTTCTATGATGCTGTTCATCTATCACTAGTAGCAGCAGCTTTGTGTAGGTCAAAACCAAGATATTTGCACTTTTTTATCTTGGTTGTATTTTTTTTTTTTCTTTTCCTGTGGAAGGTGCGACCATATTTTCGGCGATTGCGTTAAAAAAGGCCAGAGCATGCAGTCATGTGCGAGGGGCTGTATTGGAGCCGGCAGAAATTGTCAAAATCGGTGACACATATCGAAAGTTTTTTTTTTTGAAGTCCTCAGCGCTTCAGCCCTGACATTTCAGTTTTTAGGAGGAAGCGGTTTGTGTTCAGACTGAACTGTTTGTATATTCAACATTTGAAGTATATTCTATTTTGTTGTACTCTTGTTTCAAAGTGTATTAAAGTAGATTTTACTGAAAATTTTCGGCCTGTGTCATGGTTGAAATGTTTGGAAAGTTTTTAAAATGAACTATCAAACTATAGCGAGGTAGAAATTAGATCTGACATGAGGTAATCTTTTATGTCTGATAAGATTGTCATGTCTGAGGCTAACCTGTTCTACAATACTGTTTTTTCCTGTGAACGTATCGTGAGAATGAAGACAGTTTGTCAGATGTCTGAGGAATGAGGAACAGTCAAAAACAAAGTACTATTACAACCTTATGAAGAACAAGAAAAACGTGTTGATCAAATCCTTTTAACAAGGACTTTAATGAATGAACATGAGTTACAAAAAGTGCAAAACATCTGGCGTCGTTCTTGAAATTACTGGGTCAAATCTGCTGCAACTACACATGGAGCAGTCGCCATAGTTTAATACAGTTTGTATGAAGGTAATGAAGCAAAACAAACTTTCTAATAAATGGAGTTACATTTTTTGAGCAAGTTTAAACCAGACTTAAAACAAGCAGCGTATAACAACATTTGGTCTATGTATATTTTATTGAATGGGCTTTTTATCATTTAAAGTTCACTTGAATATGCAGTGACCATTTTTCCATTTCCTCAAAATTAGACCCCTGGTTGTTGGTCAAAGTTCTATATATTACAGTAATTATACGTCAATAGCTGTATCGCTCATACATTTGGCACTAATAAGTTGCAATGATTGGCTGCTATGTCAACACTGTATTTATGTTCAATTACAGCAACACCACTGAACAGGTCAAACCAACATGGGAACTTAAAATATGAACGCCAGCTGACCTGATTCAGGACCAAGGGATTTTAAATTATGTTTCAGAATAACGTATGACACGGCAAACATAATGTACGTCTCCTTCAAAGCCATGGATTAGTTTCCAGTGTCAGTTCTGTGGCCCTGCTGTAATGGTCAGCACTAGATCATATACGGAATCGGGACGGAAGCGGAAGTAAATATTACAAATTAATGCCTAAATTTAACCAGCTATTCCCATAAAATAACCCCAACCCGGCCTTAACCCTAACCTTAACCATCTTACTCAGACGCCTAAAACTTAACCAGTCACCACTTAAGGACTTATTAGTCTAAAACTAATTCGAAAGTACGAGTGTTACTTCCGGTTTCGTCCCGATTCCGTATATGATCTAGTGCCAACCCTGCTGTAATGCCACACTCTGGAGCATACCAGGCGTCTAACTTTGAGACGAGCAAGTAGCAAACCTCCACCAGATAAATGACACTTTGGCACCAGAACCAGAACTTGTTTTTTCACCCTTCCCAGTTCATTTTCACCGTTTTATTATGCAATGAGAATAAAGGTTTGTAGCATAGTCATAAACACTATTTTATCATCACTTGATCAAACTTGGGCAGTGCTTTGTCAGAACCAACGATGCACATGTTGTGTGGCTGCCCCAGTGTGTCCTGGGGCTTCTCTGGGGGCCTTCAACCAAAACAGATGCCCAAGCCACCTCAACAGGCTCCTCTCTGCATGGATGAGCAGCGGCTGTACTCAGAGCTCCTCTTGGACACTGCAGAGGAAACTCATTTAAACAGTTTGTATCCGCAATCTCATCCTAGAGCATAGATTGACCACTTCACCACAACAGTCCGACGCAGCTTCCTTCATCACCATAGTACAATCCATCGGATGCATCGATCCGTCTGCCAATCTCCCGCTCAGTTCCAAAAGAACCACAACTCTTCTTTGGCTCCAGATCTGACATCTTATCCCTGTTCACACATTGTTCCCCGCTCTCAACACTTTAGTGTCCACTAAACCCGCATCAGTCCCTGAAGCTAAAGTCGCACACCAGAGACAGGTGGTCTGATGGGTAGTTGAAGGACGGGAGCCTGTTTGGCCCAATCTGCTCCTCTGTGGGCATCTGCAGCGCGGCCTCCACCCTGAGCGAGTCACTGCCGTACCAGATGTAGTCCAGCGTGCTACAGCACTCGCCGCTGGGCCTGACCTTCCACGTGGTGTAGGCGGGCTCCGTGGCTCCATCGGTGCTCAGCTTCTTGTAGGCAGAGTCCAGGCAGAGTGGGGAGGTGCGGAAGCGGCGGTACACCTCCTCGGACGGGACGGCGTTGAAGTCTCCGCACACCAGCAGCGGGACGTCACGCTCGGGCCGCTTCACCAGACCCTGCAGCTGCCGCAGCAGGTCGCAGCCCTGAGCCGTGCGCAGGCGCTCCCAGCCCGCACGCGCTTTCAGGTGTGTCGCCGCCACGCACAAGCACCTGCCGTTACTGCGACTGCGCAGCATCGTCACCACAGCAACCTGCGACACAGGACAGGCCACGATTATTCCCCAAGGCCGTTATGCAAGAAAAACTATGCAAATAACAATGTATTTATTTTACTGGACTATAAGGCACACCTGTATATAAGCCATCTACACTTTAAAAGAAGTACATTTTGTCCACATATAGGCCGCAGGTTTTCATTTTGTGATGTAGCAGATGGATACTTTGACAATACAAATTACTTTGATTATTTTTTTATTTTAATGTTTATTTTCTTGTTTAGTTCAGAATTTTGATTTGCCCTGTTTATGAACTGTGCTATACTAATAAACTTGCCCTGCTGAAGTAGTCAACAGCTGAAGAATTAGGTTTGAATTTATTTTTTTAAATTGAGAACATGCCAACCCTTGACCTTGAGAGTTCTAACCACTCAGCCACCTTGCTTCATATCAGCTGTTTGAGCTACACCAAAAACAAAAGCTAAAACACAGGAATCTTACAGAAACAAAACAACCAGATGAGAAAACTAGTGTATGCCCTGTTATTGTAAGTAGGGCTGTCAAAATTATTGCGTTAACTTGCGTTAATTACATTTTTCAGTAACGCGTACAAAAATAAATAACGCATTAACGCATGTCCGAATGACCCGCCCATTCATCCATAATATCACTCAGAAGGCTGCGTGTGAGATGCATCAGAGCAGGTAGGCCCTCTGGGAACTCATGTTTTAAAACAATACGCGCGCGGGGCTGCTGTTTGCTGTGAACTGAAGTCCGCCTCCTCCGTGGCCGCTCTGGCTGTGAGCGGCTCACAACAACACGGCTGTGCGGCTGTGAGTGAATGGGGCTGCGGTAACGTCATCATATAAGACCATACACGCCACTGAACTATTCTCTGCATGTTGTCGTTGTGTCTTTGCAACCTGTGTGTAACCTGTTCACGCAAATACACTGCAGAAGTGTCCGTGTCTCCTCCTGAAACTAAACTAAACTGAAACGCTGAATTAAAGCTGGAATACGTAAATTTCCCCCTTTCATTAACAGCTCATTTTGGTTGTGCCCAAAAGCAAAGGGTTGAGTGCAAATCAAACAGATTTAAGTACATTTGGTATAAATAACAATGTGTCATTACATTTGATAATCTCATTTAACTTCAATTGGAGTGGATTAGAAATAGAATGTTAAAAATGCGATTAATCGTGAGTTAACTCACCATTTCTGTGCGATTAATCAACTAAAAAATTTTAATCGTTTGACAGCCCTAATTGTAAGGTTGAAAAACAAAAAAACACTAAGTCCACCATGGTGACCTATGTACAGTACAATGTTCCATTTACTGATATTTAGAGATGTGATGGTGTTAGTTATAGTCAGGTGGTGAGCTAAACTATAGAAGCCAACTACAGCCTTTAGTAGGGCTGAGAAGAGGCTTTTTAGTACTGGGGCCGTATTCCTAAAGATTCTTACTGCTAAAAGTTGCTCCTAGTGGCCAAATTCTAAGAATTTTCTTAGAATCTTGACCAACTCTTAGAATTTCCCCTAAAAGTGAGGAGTAGCTCCTAGTTAAGATAAAAGCTATTCCTAAAAAATCCTAGCTCTTAAGAGTGCTCTTAAGGGAAGATCCCTTAAGAGTTGAGAGGAGGACTTTTAGCAACTTAAAAGTTCCCTAAGAGCACAAAATGGTGGACGGTGGAGACAGGAGAAATATTCTTGACACTGGATAACAGTGAATCAGTGAAACGCTACAGATTCAAGCAGGAATCATGTTTGTGGTATATTTAAAAGTCAATCATGTGACCAGCTTCTCATTGGCTGGTCAGCAATAACACCTCATCCATTTTACCTTTGTTACACAAAAGTAAGTAGAAATGGTAAAAGTTGAAAGAGAGGAAAAAGTGGTCCTAAATTGTCACACATTCAGTACGAATGAATGAATACTTTATTTTGAGCCATGGCAAACAAGAAAAAAAAGGACAAAACAAACAAAACAACAACAGAATAGAAGTACAAATATACAGTTTTGTTTTATTAACAACAATCCAGCTCAAAAAGGAGTGGGAGAGGATAAGACTTTTAAGCTCCCTTGTACTTGATTTGTACAGTGTATGTATAATATGTTTATATTAATATTGTTTCCTTAATTCCTTATAAGTCTATACATATCACAGCCTTTACTAATCCTAACGTTATCATTATCATCATTTATCCATATAATATTTATAATAATAATTTTCTTTATCATGTATATATATATATATATATATATATATATAAATAAAATTATAAGTGCTCATGATATATACGTATTATGTGTGATAAATTGGTGCTGAGCAAGCTCTGATGATGGTGTATAAGTCTAACTTTACTATTCACAGTATTTATGTACCATTGATATATCTGACTTTATAGCTTTTGGTTATTATTTACAATAACACAGTGTTCCTAAGATTAGATTCCATGATTGAGTTTGTCCATTTTAGGGCCCTTATTTTGCCTATTATCATCAAAAATATGTTTGTTCTAACTTTTAGGATCAACCAATCACAGCGTCTGAAATGATGACTCATACCTAGCAACGGGGTCGGCCACGCCTCCTCACTAAGATAAAAGTTGTCGTCAATTCCTTGCTCAGAGTTCTCTAAGAGTGTTCTGGATTAACTTTTAAGCTAAGACTCCTAGCTAGGAGTTTTTAGGTTAAGATAAGAGCTCTCTGAGAGGACTCTCAGAATCTTTAGGAATACGGCCCCTGGTCTTTTTAGAAAGACCAGTACTTTGTTTATGAGCAGATCACATGGCAAAAAAATGTTTACATAAATATGAGCACAACTGTCTTTTAGTGACTCATACAACCATTATATAACAAGCCGTCTGACCTGATTGGTGGGTATCCTCATAGCAGACAGTCTGATGTTCACGCTGTCGAGCAGCTCAAACTCTGCCTGGTCGTAGAAAAGCGCGCAGCCGTCTGGTCCGTTGTTGCCCTCCACGTCTAAACAGGGCGACCAGGGCTTGGGGCAGAAGTGGCCGTGGTAGCCCAGGCTGGACAGGACCGGCTGAAAGGTGTCAAAGAAGTGGTCTACCTCTTGTAGGCAAAGCACGTGAGGTCTGTGGGTCAAGATCTCCTCCAGGATCAAGTATTTTCTCTGCGACCAGCTCAGGGCCTCCAGGGGGCAGTGTACAAAACTGTCCATTCCTTCCCCCAAAGCTGAAAGCAAAATGAAAGGCAAGGTTAGTTTATTTGTAACGCAACTCAAAGTGATTAACAAAACGAGCTTCTCAAATCACAAGGCATTAAAATCATAAATGATCACAGTACATTAAAAACAAGAGTGAAGCTACGATCCTTCAGATGTATTCACAACAGACAATTGTTTTTAACCCCGATTTGAACATTGTAGAGAAGAAGTAGATATATGCAGAAATCTGAATGTTGCCTCTCAATGTTTAGTCCTGCTCTGGGCACCAGCACGAGGCCAGTCCCTGTGCTCCACTGAGTCTGAGTTTGTTTAGATGTTTTCACACATGTACTTTGGTCTGAGGCCATGGAGAGACTTGAAAGCTTGAAGTAAGGATGGAAATGTCCCGACTGTGGGACAAATAAAAGGTTCTCATGTCTTATCTTATCAATGATTTATGATACTTTTTATCCAACAGTTAAGTCTGAGCTCACCATTACAACAGTCTGTAGAAGTTGGAACTTGGTTATCAGAAAATTAAAGCCAATTTATCTACAGGCGCCGTGGCAGATGCTGAGGGGAGACATCTTATTTTTTGTCTTGGTATAAAACAATGTGAACGCCGTGAAACTCTGGTTGTGTTGTTTATGCTGTGAAATGCTGTGTTGCATTGCTATTAATAAAAAATTGTGCATTGTGAAGAGAAAAACATGGCACCACATCTTAAAACACAAACTTTGGCTGCAACCAAAGTTTCAAGACGTTCTTCCATTTTTACATTTACATTTTTGGCATAAAACATTTTCTCAAAAGGGTCTTGAATTTCACTTGATGGAAGCTGGAGCTCTTCCGTCTCATAGGAGATAAAGAATAAAGACAGTTAAGTAGAAAGTAATGAATCCAGAGTGTTTATACCTTGAGCGAGTATGTTCCACTGCATCACCCTGAAGTGTCCACCGGAGGAGCTGTTTCCATCTTCATTAACGTGGACGAGTTTCCTGTGGAACCTGGGAGGTCTGTCTCGTAGTGCGTCTTCACACTGTCGCAGCATCTCTTCTGGGTCGGAGCTCCTCACAATGGACTCCTTGTGCTCCTGAGAAGAGATACATGCATTTATTTAGCATTTATTTAGCATTTGAGGCCGTGCTGATGACATGACCACATGGATCTAGTTATCAGACATGAGTTTCTGATAACTCAAGCCTTGTCTCACGTGTTTGTATTTGCATTTCCACCTCATGTTTAGAAGACTTTACCACAAGGAGGGGATGCTGTATGTCGGACCTGTTCCACTTGAGATAAAACCAAATTAGATCGTCCAATCGTTAGTCTAATCCCTGGGCATTTCTAATCGAGTTCCACACCTTGAGCTTGTTTAATTTGTTGCTAGTGTAATCTGAGATAATCCATCCACAGTTTAGTAGTGGTGTTAGTGACACTTCCAAGACTTGAGGTCATGCCACAAAAAAACAACATGTTGTAACATTTATTTTGTAGTCTCTGGTCCAGTTAGTTTAGTATAATTCACAATATCAATATGTGAGTGTTTCATATTATATTTGTTCAAGCAGTGGAAACATGAAATCATGAAACTGAAAATAAATGTCAAAAGTTCAAAATGTTTTTCTGTTACTCTCTCAGGGCCCAATTACATTTGAATGACAGGAACAATCTGATATTTGGGGAAAATGATATGGGGTAGTAAAATACAATCCTGACTTTTTTGAGAGAGACTTTCACAGACAAAGCATTCTGGGATGTTGCAAATTTGCAACATTGGCCCGCTGTAAATAGAGCTGACCTGGGAAAAATCCATAGGAGATGTAATCTACTAGTTATGATACTGACTTAAAATTTATGCCTAGAAAATTCATCTCCTAGTGTGCAGGTGGAACGCCTGCCTGGAGAGGGTTATTTGGCTAAACACCAAGCACCTATGAAATGCATGAATCCTCCAGGCCTTCCAAGATCAGAAGGGATGTGTTAGCAAAACAGTTGGCCTCATAGTAATGTCCCAGGATACACTCAAATACATGTAAAGAATGCACGAAGGACTCAGGAAATATAATATCAGATACAACATTGTCCCAGTCCATTATATGATTGCGTGATCCGTCTGACGAATCTCCCTGATCTGTTTCCGCTAACAACAGTACTAACTTCTTTCTACACTTACTCTTTGTCTGAACCTTCTCAACCTCAAACTGAGAAAAAAGTGAACATTGACCCCAATAATGATGTGAAAGTGCCTTGGCAGCAACATGTGATTCATTTGTTGCAACTCCTCAAAAACAGAAGTCCAAGGTCTCTATATACAGAAATAAACAAATTAAAAACTTGGCGACTCTCATGCTTACCGTACAGAAGGCCGGGTCCAGGGCTGACTCTGGCGCCGGCTCTGGCAGGGCCTGTGGTCTGTTGAGGGCGCTGTAGAGCCGTCCTGCCCCCCCACCCATCGGACACACTGCGGACAAATATGGAAGAAGCAAAGTTATATATTCTATTCAATCAAAAACATAAGAAAGTAAGTGAGGTTGAAGAAGATGCCTAAAAAGAAGGATCAAGAAGCCAAGATTACTGCTACTAAAACTAGGGCCAGTGTGTATGGCGTCTCGCTTGTATGATCCCTGTGTGGAGGGTGAAGGGAAGAATATCTGGACTCTAAAACATTGTAAACATTTGTGTGACCTTGGTCTGTGAAATGTGTATATAAATAAAGATTAGGCAATTGGCAACTGTTACTACAACAGTGCCAAACTACACAAACAGCAATCATGACTACTATGAATAACAATAACATGCTCCTGCGTCTACTACGACCTCTACAAGGAAAAATCAATCTCAATCTCATTCATGCATTTGTCTCAAGGAAGTTAGATTACTGTAACGAGCTCTCCATACCAGACTAGAAGTATGAGTCCTAGTCCAGTTCTCAGGTCTCTGCTCTGGCTTCCTGTGGCTCAGAGAATAGACTTTAAATTAGCTCTGCTTGTGTAAAAGTCTCTCCATGGGCAAAGTACATCTGTGACATGTCAGTATGATGAACCACAAAACACAAAAGGCTTCACAATGGGTTAGCATTTGTTTCCACATTCCACACACGGTGGTGGATGTGGGACCATTGCACCTCTCTGACCACCACCAACTATTCACTCACAATATTAAATAAATTGAGTACAGAAGTTAACCAACCTGAAAAACAACCTCACGTCTACATTTTAAATCAGTGCAGCAAAAGAATGAATATTTGTTTCTTGAGTTTGAACTGCTTGATTCTCTGATCTGTGTTGGCGAAATTCAACGGTTGTGTAAATTTCTCAGAGGTAACTACTGTTGTGATTTATGACTATACAAGAATACATTGAGAGAGTTTTCCTCCATGAATCTAAAAACCATACAACTTCAGATTTCATGTTGGTGCAAACAAAGAGGATTGTGGGTGCTCAGAGGCTTCACAGGAGTTGGAACAATAATAAAATACAGGTGCTCTTCAGAGATGCAGGATAGATGACAAAGAAATATAGATTTTTAGTTAAATGTCATGTTGGCGTCTGCATTTCGTCTCACGTTATTTTCAGCCACGTGAGAGCGGATGTTTATGGGGGTGCCCTGTCCTTGGAACCGGCTGACCCTGATTTGTAAACGTGCAAGTGAGCAGAGGTCACACACTTGTTTACAGATTTCTGTTTTTCTCTGGTCATTCGAAGCCAAACAAAACATCAATGAGGCGGGTCACGTGCTGTAGCAGGGGAACTTTTCATCGACATTGTACAAACATTTTGTTGTATATAAAGCGCTCCAGCTAAATTTGAAAAGAAAGGAAATGTTGTCCACATATAAGCCACGCTTGAATGCAAGCTGCAGCGTTTTGTGTTGTCATTTAACACTGGACTAACAGCCGCTGAAGCACAGCAAAGCCACATTATGATTTGATGAGGTTTTAATGCACTGCTGACTTGTGACCATGCTTGGTAAATATCACAATGATCTCTGAGGATGCAAATATTCACAATGTTAGCATGCTTACCTTAACTGTTATTCTCATCACCCCAGTCCTCTATTCCCTACATGAGCTTCCAGTTTCATTTCAAGTTGATTTTAAACATTTTCTATTTTTTTTGAAAGCCCTCAATGGTCTCGCCCCTCCGTACTTGTCCAAACTTTTGTCTGTTCGTGACTCAGGCAGATCATTGAGGTCCTCATCTCAACTCCTCCTGGAAGTACCTAGGACTAGGTCCAAACACTGGGGTGACCGGTCCTTCTCAGTCGCTGGACCCAGACTCTGGAACAAGCTGCCCTCACTGATTTTGGCCTTTTTAAATCCAGGCTCAAAACATATTTATTCAGGCTGGCAGGTGACACTTTAAATGTTTTGTAACTGTTTTATTGTTTTTAATGTATAATGTTTTTAATGGATTTTATGTAATTTTATTGTGAAGCACTTTGGTTGCCTTGAGTTTTGTAAAGGGCTTTATAAATAAAATTGATTGATTGATTCTTTTTAATCTATTTTGACAATGAACTTGTGTCCTATAGCTCCTAAACCTGGATGGAGTCAAAATATTAGTCCATAAATTCTAACTCTATAGTGAAAATACATAGATTGGGTTTGAATGCTGGTTGGACAGCATTTACATTTATTTTGGTGTAGTTCTACACCAAAATAATGTACCACTTTTTAATGCACCACACTATGCAGTGCTTACATCATACTTCACATATAACTCAAACAAATATAATAATAATGATACTTAAACCCAAATTAAATTATATTAAGGATGGTAATGATAACTGGGAAGTAGCAAGATCTCAGAGTATAATATGTATTATTGCACCTTTATAATATAAAAAGGAGCATATTCTTTTGTTCTTTATTTTGCTGTTGTTTTTATTTTGTTCTGGTTCATCATTTATTGTTACTTTGCCCTATGTTCCTTTGTTTATGATTTGCTACCTTGTAAATATTAAATGTAATGTTATTATTTTTATTTTGGGGTGGGCGCTTATAAGCCTTTGGCTTCAGCCCACTCCCTTTGAGCAGGTTAACTGCTCAAACAAATAAATAAACTAAACTAAACTAAACATATTTAGTGCATTAGAGTCCGACAAATATGGTATATACAATTTGGGCTGCAAAAAGTGTATTTATCTTATCTAATCATACCATTGTAGAGCATTCATGTAGCAGTAAAAGTTTTGATATTATGAAAGAAGCTGCAGGGACATCAAAAAAAGGGACAGAGGGACTACAACACCTCATTTATCAATCCCAGCTAAGCCTCTATAGACTCAGGGAGAAAAACAAGAGAAGCAAGTGCATTTATTGCATTTGAGAATAATCAGTAGAAGTAGAAGCAACAAGTTCAGCAGCAACATCGATGTACTTTGACAAGGTAAAATTGTGATCTTGTGTGTTGAAAATACATTCCAAGCAGCTACAAGCCAACAGTTTAGCACACAAGGAAAGGGATATGCCCATGTTACGTCTAACGCTTTCTAAATCCATGCAAACAGACGCAGTCCTTACCCATAGTCTGCATCTTGTGCCTGTGATTAAATAATCCCAGTATTTCTCTTCAATGTTTCGGGTAGATTGGCTTAGTTTGTTGCTGGTGAAAGAGACAGTGAAACCTGAGTCATCTGCTGCGCATGCTGCTTATAAACCGGAGAGAGCAGAGACAGAGGGAGGGAGATTACAAGTCCAGACGTCATCAGGACAAAGTGAGTAATACAAGTCATGTGCCACTGGGGACTGCAGCCAATGCAAGCGCTAAACAGATAAGGCATGTGCTCCCTGATCGCAGTGATAAGGGGTTTCAATGGTTCTCTAAACGATCAGATTATCATAACTAAAGAAATTCAGCAAGAGTTTGAACAAAAAATGTAATAGGATCATTATAGATAACACTATTTTGCAGCAGTATACACTCTAAATTACACGCAAATCGGTATGTTTTTATGATGTTTATGTTTTTAGCCAGATGACATTTATGGTGATAACCTGACCCATGAAGGAGCAAAGCGAAAAGCAATAATGAGATAAAATGTGTACAATTATACATGTTTATTCTCTGATTTATGATAATAGATTATTTTTAATTTGCTATATTGTTTTAAGACGTCCTCAAGTGGCTTCACTTCAGCTACATCTGTGTCAAATTGAGATAAGATCTCATTCATGCTAGGGGACTAATCAATTACTCGACACTACTCATGGTCCCTCATGTGAACAATCTCCTGATGGGAATAGAAAATAGGATAGGATAGACTTTGAACACAGGAGAAATGTACATGTCACATCTGGCATGGATAGAATCACTCAAGATTGTGCAAAAGAAAGAAATGTGCAAATATGTTAAATGCAGCAAATACTATGTACAATATAAAGTGGCAAGAAACGTAGTGCAGGTTATTTCAGTCCTAATGCGAGTGACTTAAAGTGACTTATTGTACAGTCTGACAGCGGTGGGGATAAAATATGCATGTAAAGAAAAATGATATTCACATATTCAAAACATTGATGTGTCAAGTTTTCTAAATGCGGAGAGTAACTTGAAATCGTGCCTGCTAATACTGAACTATTGACATTTGGAAGATGGCGGCAAATGGCTACGATAAGAAGAGGGTAAATTTTTGAACAAATGACTAAAATATTCTTTCAGAACAAACATTCACTTAAAAAGATGGTTTTTCTGCACACTGAGAACTTACAGTTAATGCACAAGTAAAATTGTGTTAACATTTATAAAGTCGTTCTCCCTAAAAGCAGTGGATATTTCCCATGGGTCTCACAGACGTCAGAGGCGTACCCCATTAGGATCTATAACTGTTACCTTCAGATCAACGAGTCATGTGCGGCGGCGGTGACAAGCATCACACAAGACGTCTCTGCCGGCCACTCACATCCAATCAAATATGGGGGTTCTGGCAGGAAAACAGGAATAAAACTTGTCCAGTTCTATTCTTACTGACTTTCTTATGTGATCAAGTAATAATGGTTAGAAAGATCACAGATTCGTACCCAGTTCAGAGTTTTGGTAATTTGACTTCTATTACCAAGTGCTGTATAATTGCCAGGCATGGAAGCAAGACGGCACTGGTTTAGACTGGCTCCACCCTGTTAAGTGTTGGTTATCATCACATTTGTAGCATATTTCAAGAGGTGGGCGACATTTAGGGTGTAATGGCTGATATGGAGAATGAAGAATAAAAAATCTGAACAATCCAAAAAAATGTAACTTAAAAGAGGTTTGAACAATGTGCATAATGACAGAAGAGACAAAGGCAAAGAAGATCTCTGGAGTATTTCATGTGTGAAACTCTAGCTCAGTGAATTTGTTGATCGAGTTATTTATACACTTGAAAACACCAAAGAACATCTGCTGATCTGAAACGTGAAGAGGCTGCGTATATTTCAGCGTGAGTCACACCCTATTCTTAAGGCACGATTATTTTTGGTTCGATACCCACTGTGTCCAAAAGAAACAACAGGATTTGATGTGAATAAGAGGAGACGGGAGACAGGCAAAGTGTCCTTCACTTCACTTTTTTTCCCAAACATTATTTTTTCTCTTTGAGTGGTTAGGTAAGTCAGTAATGTTTGTTTATACAGCGCATCTAAGGACATTTATGGTCATCCCGCTCCCTATGGACCAATGGCTCCTATGTGTTTGTTATTATTGCATTTTCTGTGTTTTAACAGTTCGATTCTCTCATCTGTTGTTGACAAATTGATAATTTTGTAAAGTCCTCCAAGTCGACCGTTGTTGTGATTTAAGGCGGTGTTAGTATTAGCACGATCAGTCTCTGTCTGGTTCATTCCTGACAGCGGTACAGTCTGATGACTCATAAAACTAACCCTTCAGTACAGATTTGATGGAGCAGGGTCTAATGTCACTGAGGATCCACTCCCTTGGACCATTGGCCTTCATGTGTTTCTTCTTCTTTTATGTGCAGTTTCTGTTTTAATTGTTTGATTCTCTGTTCTGTTGTTAAGTCCACCGAGACGACTGCTGTTGTGATTTGGGCCAATACAATAAAAAACATTGAATTCGGGCGTTCTGCTCTCCCAAAATTTCATCCACTGAGCGGCGCTGTGATCAAAAAATGACACCGTTTGTTGCCCAGTTCACTTCCGGTTGATTTCATACAATGGCGAATATGGCTCACGAAAACAACAAACGATTGACAGTGCCTGAATTGCGTGAAAGGTTGAAGCGAAAGGATATTTGCAGTGTGGGAAAACGAAAGGAGGAATTGTTGTTGCTAGTTCAACGAGCGGATGGTGTTTATGAAGATTTAGAAGAAGATGACAGCGAGCAGAGTGAACGAAAACGGCTGTGTGTGCGAGTGACAGATGGTAACAATGAGAATGAAGTTCAGCTAAGAGGGAAGAATGTGAATTGGACGGATGATTTGCGCGATATGCCACTAGTTAGAGACGGGAATGTATTTGCATACAGAAAATGACGAAAACACTCAACCATTTAGAGAAAATGCGCCGGGCAGAGAGAACCGGAAGTTGCGAAGGCAAGTGTTACCCATAATGCAACGCAAAATTCAGTCGCTCCCCCGCCCATCGGATGGAATTTTGGGAGAGCAGAACGCCCGAATTGACATCAAGCAACCTAAAAACAGTCAGATGTAAAGTGTGTCAGGGCTGGTTACTGATTTACACTGGTGATACATTATCATATGGATAACGGCACGCATGTCATTTGGATTATTTGCTTGGTTTAAAGTCTATTTTTGTTATTGCCCACAGTATAAGGATAGTGAATTACTCCATTGTGAGATAAATAAAGTATCTGTATCTGTATACGACTGTTGATGTGTATGTATCTTTGTTCTGCTATTGTTTCTGCTCATCGTGACCAAATACTTTTTATTTGAAAAATGAATGGCTCAAAGAAAACAGCACTTTCTTTGAATCCCACAGATTTCTCACAGACTTTGTGATTTTACATATGATGCAACAGATGCTGTTGATGTCTGCACAGTTTTTTTAAATACACAATTCCCACTAGAAAAACATGCTCATCTTCACTTTTATAGTTGAGCAATAATTTGATCTGTCCTGTTTGCAATGTTAATTAGCTAAAATCATACAGATATAATAATATCTAATACTCGTTTTTACGTAAAATCATTTCTTTTTGAAACTATAGTCCCTCAACAACAAAATAATAATGCATCGGTTTTATATAGTGTTTTTCAGGACACTCAAGTCACGCAAACTCGCTCCAGTAAACTTGAACAAAACAGTGATAGACTAAAAAGAACTTAAACTGGACTCGAGTCATGTCTTGGTGAGAGGTAATAGAGATTAGGTAAGAACTACCACCGTGTGTGGCGTGAATGAATGTGATGTGAAGTGAGAGACCCTTTAGATTAGGGCTGTAGTCGACCAAAGAAAAGACCAATTCATCAATTAGACTAAAAAGAGGACGCTGCATTAGTTCTAAAATTTGAAACAAACTTGTAAGTTGTGCCTCAAAAACAAATACTATAGTGAGCAGTGTAATAAGCGACTAACCCACTTTAACAGATAACAACAGGTTTGAGCACAAACAAACTCAAAGTCTGTCCCTCGTCCTGAGCCACAGTTTCCAATGGAAATCATTGCATGTGTTTCATGGAAATCATTTGTACCTTTTATGTACCCCAAGGCTTTAAATGTTGACAATAAAAGCCTTGGGGAAAAGGAAACTATCACCGTACCATTTTGTTCTTACATCAAATATCAATTGAGAATAAATGCCACAATACTGAATATTTCTTTCTACAAAGTGAGGAGTTTGATTTGTAGCTAAAGTCCTGGATTAAAACCATATAGTGAGCAGAATGCTCACTTACAATACATGATGAAATACATTTCATACAGTGGTAAAATATAGAGCAACTCAGCAACAACAGTTAGAAGCATTACTGCAATAACCTTCTAGAAGCAAGGCATCTTCTTTTGTCAATATGCAATAGATTAACAGATTCACAAGAAAATATCACAGAATGCTGCTCAAACTTGAGGGTTAAAGGAGTTTCTGTTTTGGCCAGTTTCCTGCATGAAAACATAGACACATGTCTCTGAGTCTGATTGATCCAGATTTGACCCAGATTTCACACTTTAAATCCACAAAGACATCCCCACACACTTTTCCTGTGCTTTTACAGATTGTTGATTACAAACAGACTCCATGTTGTAGTTGTTATTGTCCAAAGCAAATCATAATTGTCTATGCTTCTTCAGTAAAGATATAATGTTCCCCTGTTTGAACCAAACATCTCTTGTTAATGACTGCTGCTCATATGACACAGAGACACCGCAGGCTCTAAGTTCTTCAATGTTACTCATCTTCTAAACAATAATCAATTCATAAGTAACTCTCCCAAAACTGTTTATTAATCCTCTCTCCCTAGAAAATGTAATTAATCCGAAGGGTCGTCATTTGGCCAAAATATTAGAATGGAAATAAAGACTGATGATTGTTTACTGAAAAATATATGCAACATTGTGTGTGTAAATAAATGTGCGTTTTAGTGGGTTTCATAAAACTTTTTTGGCAACAAAAAACATAGTTAATCAACGTTAATCATGTTCATAATAATGATAATGAAAATTACACTAATACAAGTTTTGGTTAAAGCTGATGTGTTTTGTTCCTTACCTCATTCACTCAGTGTTGTGCTCAAATGATTCTCCTGGAGACCATGAACAGGACTTGTGTGGTTTGGACCATAGAGACTGGACCATAGACAGAGACAGCTCTGCTTCTGCTGTGACCCTTTACAGAAGCACAAGGTCACAGGTACGGGAGCAGTCGTCTACCGCCATCTGCTGGTGACAAATGGGAGTGCATCAGTGAAAATACGCTACACATGAAAAAGAGAAGTGTGTCTGCCAAAGGAAACATTGCAAATATATAAACACAAGTTGGAACAGTGAAAGTTGCTTGCTCAGACCTATCTGTAGATTCTTCTGGTACAAGACAATAACAAATGTGTTCTTGAAGTATACAACAACAACCATGTCACATACCCAGATTGCCTGTTAAAGTACTAGTAGCTTAAAAAGTATGAGTCTCCAAATTATGAAAAAACCCAATAGTGAGTAACATTTTAAGAGCAGATCTATCTTTTGAATGGGAGATGAGCAGTGTTCATTTTCAGCCATACATAACATACTTACATTTGACCACAACACATTCTTCCACATGTTGAATGCGTCCCCTGCTTTGATTCTAGCGACTTTATTTCACTATTTGTGTAGTCATACAGTACACTAAAATTTCCCCCATTTACAGATTCCCACAGCCTCAAAAGTGAAAATGAAAAAGCACCATTCAAGACTCATACAACAAGGTATAAACATCGCTCTCCTATCGCTACAGCAGCAGCATTCTTGTCACCACATATTTTTTTAAACCCCTCACAAGTGCCACACCTCACCCAGTAAATAGAAGGGGATCTATTTACTGATGCTGAGTCTGATTTCTGAATAATACTGTGGTTGAGCAGCCACTCTGATACTTGGCGCTGTAAAGATGGCGCCGTGGCAACAGCTCTGGTGTGTGTCGTCTTCTGGTGCACACTGGGGTAGTCTTGCACAGTTTTTCCAATGTGGTTTTACTGCAAATGGCAAATAAATGAATCTGAAGGAACGACATTGATGACGTTCTGTGGCTTGATTTCAAGAAGTGTTTATGTGACCTTTATACTGTACATTCTTACTCAAAAGTTTGTTTTACTTTCCCATCACCAATGTTAACTATTGAGGAACATCAACATAAATGTCACAGAAACTATCAGAAGGCCATGACGCGCTATACACATAAACTTGTCTTGCCGATCAGCTGATTTTGTAAGTGTCATTTTTACGTGTCATTCATTTCTCAAATTTAGTTGATTTTGATTCAACTTGCTGCAAAAGTATAATATTGATATAGTGTGTTAATGTTAAAAAAAATCTCAATGTTATGTTGCATCATGAGTGATATTTCTCCACATTTACGACATTCTAGAAAATGAGTCAAAAGGATTTCTTAAAAACCTGTGCATCAAAATATCTTTCAAACCTATTTATTCAAAACATAAAAACACACATCACACAATACTTTCTCCTTGGTTTAATTATAAATATATTTAGGACTGGGGCTCCACGGTGATCTGGTCTCCCAGTTTCCTACTAAAGTCCAGCATCTTTTCATGCAGCAGGGTCTGAATGTTCCCCATCTGTCGCTCTCTGGTTCTGATGTGACTCTGCAGTGCATCCAAAGGCACCACCAGCGCCGCATCCACACGGTGCCTCTCCTGGGTTAGCGCCATCTCGTCGCTCCAGGCCTCCTGCAGAATCCTAACCAACGCCTCTGTATCGTCTTTAAAGCGATGGACGTGCTCCTTGTACCTCCTCTGGTCTTCTCTGGCCTTGTTTGACTCTTCGGTCATTTGTCGGACGCGCAGGTGAAGCCGGCTGTTCTCCAATCGCACCTGCTCCAGTTTGACGTCGCTGTCGTAAATGCGCATCTCCACTGACTTCATCTCCGCCGCCTGTCTCTTCAGCTGATCCATGTACTCTGCTCGAATCCTGCCCAGTTCGGCTTTCTTCTCGACCCTGGGCAGCAGAATATTCACGGTTTCATTCCCCAGCGCGTCTATGGACTCCCCTAACTCATGCTTTTTCCTCTTGAAGTCTGCTTCCTGTTTTGTCAACTGCTCAAACCGTAACCTCCCCTCTTTCCACTTGGCTTCCTCCACATCCAACAGGTTCTCCTTCTCCTCTACTTCGCTTTGCTTTTTCTCACACATTTTCATTTCAATTTCAATTTCGTCCACACACTGCTGGATTTTTCCTCGACAAAGCAACTCTATTTGTTCATATTCTGCTTTACACAACTCTATATGGCGTTTGATTTCGTCCGCGGCCATTGGCTGCTTTTGTTTAATTGTTGCTTCTTCCCTTTGCAGAATTTTCACTCTCCTCAAAGTATCTTTAATACTTGCAGTCATTTTCTTTACATACTCCTCCTGTGAGCTTTTCTCCTCCTTCAAACTTGCCTGCAACTGATTTTTCTCCTCTTCCAAAACATTTGCACGTTGTTTTTCCAGGTCAATGCTCTCTCCCAGCTCCTCCCAATTACTTTCAAACACTCTTTTGTTAATCATATCTTCTTCTTTAAGTTCCTCAATCTGTTTTTCCATCTCATCAATCTCTTTCTTATGCCTCACTATGGTTTCAACGCGGTCTTCCAGCTGTGTCCTTGACTTTTCCAACAATCCGGACACATAGTCATACTCCTCCCTTACTTCTGTCTCCTCATCGTCGTACACTTTGAACACTTCATACACTGTTTCCAAAGCATCTTGAGTATGAACCCTCGTAGCTCGTGCGCCCACCATTCGTTCCTCAATAGCTGCAATCCCTTTCTTTAGAGCTGCTATTGTTGTATTGAACGCATTCACCATCTCATCCAGTTGTTTTTCCAGTGCTTCTTTTTGGGAGACAAGTTGTTTATATTTTTCCTTTTCTGCAGCAAGAATATTCTCACTTTGATTTTTGGATGCTTGCAGTCGCTCTATGCTACTTTCCAACTGTACCGTTTCAATTCGTAGATCATCCAGGATATCGCTGCCATCTCTTTTGCTGTCATGGAGCAGTTCTAGCTCTCGTTTGCTCCTCCATATCACCTCTTGTTGGTGGTTCATCATCTCCTCCCTCTCTTCTGACTCTTGAGACAGATCATCTCGACATTTGACAAACGCCTCTTTCTCCAAAGCCAAATCTTGCTGTAATGTCAACGTATTGTGTTCAAACGATGCTATGGATGCCTGGAGTTGCTCAATTAAGTCTCTTGTCTGATCCAATTGTGATTGCAGGGCGTATTTCTGGGTTATTTCACTGTTCAGAGCAGCTATGACCTCCTCATGTTCGGCCTTAACTTTCTCTCGTTCAAACGACAGATTGTCATTGTCAGATTTTACAATGTCTTGTTGCTTTACAGTTTCGACCTGCATCCGTGACACAGCCTGGAGCTCTCTGTGGAGTTGATCCACCTCCTGAGCGTTGGACGCCCTGGCTGCAGCTACATCAGCCACAATGACCGCACTCATCTGGTCCCTGGTGTTGTTCACTTCATGCCTAAGTTTGCTGTTCTCTATTGTCGCCACCTCCAAGTGCTCGTGGGCCGCGCGTCTCTCCTCCTCCAAGCCCGAGACAGCACGGGTTATCTCGGCCAAGTGAGCGCTAGCGTCGGGATGAAATGTCTCTTCCCTCAGCTGCTTTTCGAGCTCTTTGATGTGCTCCAATGCCACCAAAACTGCGGGGAAATCAGGGACGAGTCGTGAAGCCATCCCTGATCATTAATGATAAAGCTTGTTGCGAAAAATTGTTGCTTTTTTATTGCTCTGAATGTAGCATTCAAGCTAACAAACATTTGAGTCCTGTCTGTCACCATAGCAACAACTTCCACACGGGCCAATTTACGGAAAGTCGCAAAGCTTCCAATCAACGTAAATCAATTTTGAAATTTGACAAGTACAAAATAAAATAAAGGAAGTATTATAATGATTGTAACCTACCTTAAGTTATCAATGTGTGCAAACCGGAGCCCAAGTCTCTGTACACACCGACTGTTATAACCATTAGCTAATATAAACGTAGGGTTTAAAAACAAGCATTTTTAGGTTATTCCTGCCAGAAATGTGCGCTGTTGGCGACGGGTGTATTCACCGGCAAAAACCAAAGGGACAGAGGTCTGAGAATATGTTGTATATTAACTAGAAGCGAAATCAGCATGAACCAGAGACTCGGCTAGAGGTTGTTTGGGTTGCCAGACACAAGAACAAAACTACAATTATACCTAACGCTAACCGTGATTTGAAAAAGGGTTAATACAACGATTTTAGAATTAAACTCTGTTTCTAGATGAGCTTTAAAGTATACTTGAGATTCAGACACACTATAAACAAGAGTTGTTCCTTCCAAGCATTCCCAAAATAAAATAAACTCAACTTTATTATACAATAATAATAATAATAATAATAATAATAATTAATAAAATATTTCTGTAATAAACCATTTATTCCTAAATGTGCCCTGGCAACGAATTCCTTTGAGGTACATCGTATTTACATGTTATTCGTGTGTTATGATAAGAAAAAAAGAGTCCTGTATCCAAAATGTTAATATACGTGGAAATACGTTCAGTTTTTTACAACCTGGCAACCATCTTGGTCGCAGTGTAATGACGATGTTGGCTCAATAGAAACGCGTTGCAAATCAATCTCACAATCAATAACGCAGCTGAAATTCTGTCTAAAGGGACCAAAGGAGCGGTTCTGAGCGCATTTCAGACTTTAAAAACGATTACCGTCCAGTCGATCTTCAATGCATTCATTTTTCTGAAAGCAAATAGGCTACAGTTCTTGTTAGAGCGAGTCTGCAAGCTAGTTTCTGCAAAGCATTGAATTTTGCGACAAAAACAAGAGAAAGATGGACCTAATTGGAAAACCAAGGAGCAAATCCGTCGTGTGGATGTACTTCGGCTTCAGAGCAGACGAAAATGGGTTTCCCCTTAGATCAGACGAAGTCATTTGTCGTTTGTGTCGGAAGATTGTGCTTGCAAAAGGAGGCAACACAACTAACCTGAGAAGTCATCTGAAACGGCGCCATCGTGCAGAAGTGGCCAACACGCCGTTCTCTGCCTCTCTGGGCATCGGACCGGAAACACACGGTATTTAATGAAAGTGGAAAGGGATGCTCCACTTTTATTAGGTCAACAACATAGAAACATTAACCTACTGCAGTCATATGTTTAATGTTGCATACACACACATTATTGTCTATTTCAGTCAATAATGCAATTTAATGGGAGAGACAAAGATGGAGGTAGTGGGAGCAGAGTTCAATCAATATTAGAGAATCAATAGTAGATAGTTATGTACAAAGAAAGAGGTTTTAGTGAATAACCTGCTGTCTATTACAAATGCAATAATATGTATTATTGTAAGCACTGTTCAGTAATTAGAATTATTTACGGTTTTATTTATAGATCTTGGACATAGCCACGAGGAACTGATCCAAGAGCTTCAGTCTCTCAGTGCCCAAACTGAGACAAACCAGAACTACGTGCCAGACGCTGTCCTCCCACCTGGTGAGCCCTGGACCAATGGAGGGCCATCCCGAGCTGTGTTGTCCCTGCCGTCCTGCCTAAGCCTCTCAGAACACTCAGGAAATCAAGTGTCCAGCCCTTCATCTGAAAGCCCTGCCAGGGAGATGAAAGTGATTGCCAGGTGCCAGTTGCAAATCGGAACCATGTTTGGACCTTATGTGGGGGAAATGTGCAGAGGGCATGTTCCGGACAATCTTGCTCATGCATGGGCTGTAAGTTTACCATTTCTCCTGTAAAGGACATATAAAAATATGTGATTTATATCACAGATATATGTGCATAATTAGAAACATAGCTGCATAATATATGTATTCCATCTTTTGTATTGTCTATCATACTTTGACTCAGTGAGAGATTTACTCAACCAGAAAGTGTAAACTCAGAGCAGATATACAAAATCAAAGTTGTGAGCTTGTTTGTGAGCAAACATGTGATGATTTGATAGTATTGTGACATTTGGGCCACAATTCAATATTGTTGCGATTCTTAACATTGCTATACAGCAAGTTAATTCAATTCTGCGATATATTGCAATTTATGTCCCTCATATTATTCTCATGCATTACAAAAATTGAGGAAAATAAGTCCGCTCAACTCCAATGTCACATTTATTATGGTCTGCACATTGAAAAAAACCTAATTCCTAATTAGTCTTAATTATTCTCTGAATAGGCAACCTCTCACATGAACGGGAGCTCCCAGCACATAGCTTAAATCAGGGGTCTCCAGCCTTTCTCAATCGGAGAGCTACTTTTATACATAGAACTATAGTACTTATAATTATATACATTATAATAGATATGTAATGATTAAAATGTATTCATTCAAGATCATTTGTTAAATTCTAAATCCTTTGGCAAGCTATTGGTTGCTCACAAGCCACAGGTTGGAGACATCCCTGGCTTAAATTATTCAAACACAATAGACTAAATTAATAAAAATACAGAACAGAATCTATGTTGATTTTTAACGAAGAGCAACATGATGATTGTGAGAAGCAGAGAGGATAAACGTTTGACCTTCCCTGACTTTCAGCTCTGCGGTCAGCCTATTACCGTCTCCAAAGAGACAAAGTATCTGGGACACTTTCTCACAGACGACTGGCATGATGACAGAGACATTAAAAGACAGTGCTGTAATCTTTACACCCAGGCGAACACACTGTTTTGAGTGTACTGCACTTCGCTGTACACAGCTCCTCTGTGGACCAAGTACAGTCGCAGGTCCTTCCACAGACTCACAGTTGCATACAACAATGCCTTCAGGCTGCTGCTCCGGGTCCCCAGGTGGCACAGTGCCAGTGAACTGTTTGTGAACGCTCACATTCATACCTGTGAGGCTCTGATATGGCATCTAACCTTTCGGTTCAAGGAATGTCTGGAGGAGTCTGAGAAAATCATCATTCGGACTCTGACCAACGGTAAAATGAGCTCATGTCGCTATACGTCTGCTCTGAGAAAGCACTGGACAGGCACACTGATACATAGAACTACTGGGACTGACATTTGAATGTATTGTCCTTTTTATTACATTTTTTTACTTTATTTTGTATGGACCAATTTTATCTTGAGTCTGAAATAAAGATTAATAATATTTTTACCCCACCACTAACTGGTTGTATAGTGAAATATAACATCTAATGTATGACTATAATGAGCACACTTTTCTTCCATTTTCAGATCAGAGACGAATCTGCCTTCATTTATGTTGATGGCACGGATCTAAACAAATCCAACTGGATGAGGTGGGCTTTATCTTTTACAGCATTTAATTTGTGCTTATTCATGTTATGTTGATGTTGATGTTATTTACGTATCTTTCTCAGATTTGTGACATTCACAAGCTACGAGGATGAACAAAATCTGACAGTCTTCCAGTTTTACCGTAAAATCTATTACAAAGTGTCGCAGCCGATCTCAGAAGGGGACGATCTCAAAGTCTGGGTCGGTAGAGATTACGCCTCTCTGCTGGGCCTTGAACACACCGGGGAGAATATGAAGTGTCAAGTTGGAGACAAGGAGTCTTTCTTGCGCTCTCTACAGGACATTCAGTTCTCCACACTCCCAGAGCCCACCACCTCCGCTCTCTGGTCTGACAACAGCCAGTCTCAAAGCCCCATGCCAATAATAAGCGAAGTTACAAGCATAAATACTAGTGGTGGTACCGAGCCTATCTCCACAGCAGTGCCGTCCTCCTCCCATAGCTACTTCCCAGTTCCACATCCCTATGAAAACAAGTACCACTTTTTGCCTGGTACAGAAAGACTCGTGGGCCACCCTGATCATCTTCATCTACCAATGTCTGGCGATGGAAGCTTGTGGTATTTCTTTGGGTTCGAGCCGGATCACAACGGGCGTCCGCTGGACAGAGGGAATGCCATATGTAAGCTCTGCGGCGAGCTTGTTTTTTGTGGTAGCGGTGGATTAATTGAAATAAAGAATCACATGGGGAACAAGCATCACATCAAACCACGGGAGAGCACCAACACAAGCATTATTCGGCCAGGTTCAGGTAAAGGTATATTTATTACCAATGTATATGATGACACAAACTGATTTTCAGATGTACATGGAGGCACAGTGGTTAGAGCTCTCGGCTCAAAGCAAGAAGAAAGCCCTGGGTTGGACTCTTAGATGCCTTTCTGGCTGGAGTTTGCATATTCTCCCCATATCTGTCACACAAAAAATATGTCCAATATGCCCCTTTTTCCTTCTAGGCCAGGACTCCGCCTTAATCTATGTGGAACTGTCCAGATTACATTACAAAGGTTTTGTGGTCCGTTTAATGTTTAGGCTCAAGGCTTTGGGCTTGTCTAAGGGCCACTTAGTTTCAGTTTTCAACGAAAAAGAGGTCACTGCAATTTCAAAAGTAGCAATGTTTCCAATGTTTGTCTTTTGTTGTTTGCAGTTCAGCGCACAGTTCTACCACCAGTCACTACGACACATTCATCTGCAAATCTGACTGACAACATCCTGTACTTCCTGATAATGGATCTCCAGCCACCTTCTGTAGTACGAGGAAAAGGATTTCAACATTTAATCAACACTCTTCTCCCCAATAAAGTGGATCTCCCTTCAAAAACCAAGCTGGACTACTTGCTCAAAGACATGCACGCTAAAGGAAAAACTGACCTTGCACAAACGCTTCGAACAAAGACCGAAACTGCGGACTACACTGCTCCATTAGAGTCTGAGCGAAACAGGCGCAGAAAAGACGTCCGGCATTTGGTCAACTTCAGCGTGGATGTGTGGTTTCATACATGGCAGGGGAACACGGAGATGTATCTGTCTCTCTGGGTTCACTACATGGATGCAAACTTCATTTGCCACAATCAGGCTTTGGCATCTCAGAAACTCTCCAAGTCTGGGCTGAACCTGAAAGCGGTGGAGTCTCAAGTTAGAGCCATGGCAGAAATTTGGGGCATATCCCAAGCTAATCTGACAGTGTTGGGTGGAGAGGGGTGGAACGACATCCGAGCGATCCCAATGTTTAGCGGTAATTCTGTGGAAGCAAGCGGGAGCAACACGCACCCAAATTCAACCTCATTTTTGGAAAGCGATGAATCAACATCGCCAATGGAACAAGAAAACGGAGTGGAAAACCAAATCATTGAAGGCCTTCCCTCAGTCCCATGCTTTTTCACTGCAGTACAAAGCTGCATTGATGAACTCATTTCAATGAACGCTATTTCCAAAGTACTCAGCAAGTTTCAAAGTATTCTAACAGGACTTTTCATGGAGCCAATTCAAACCGGCATCCACAGCGAAACCTTTGCTGACCATTTGTTGCAAGGTATGACCAAAGAAGAGCAATTAGAAGTGAAGATTTGGATCCACAGCAGACCGACGTGGAATAAGCTCTATCTACTGCTCAACACGTTATTAAAACATAAAGCCCTACTGAGAGATATTCTAAACAAACTAAAAGAAGACACCTCACCCGAATCGTCATCTGCCAGTTCATCTACAAGCAACCAGTTTTTGCGTGCCGAATGGAAAGTCGTTGAGGATTTGTGCCTTGTCTTGAAGCCCCTTGATGTGGCGTGTCAGACCTTGGCCAAAGAGGAGTTCCCACGCCTTTCACTGATCAAACCCATTCTCACAGGGCTGCTCACCCGCCATCTCGTCACTCGCCCCGGAGACTCGCCCATCCTCAAAGAGGCCAAGACCATGATGCGGTATAACCTCAGCGACTGGTACGGCTCGCCCACGGTCAACAGAGTCCTGAATGTGGCCTGTGCTCTGGACCCACAGTTCCATGGAGTTGGCTTCATGTCTGAACAGGTGAGTGCAAACAGTTCAATTCAATGTATTCTTGTATAGCCCTAAATCACAACTGTTGAAATCGCCAAAACAGATCAGAGAATCAAACCATTCATACACAAGAAAAAGAAACTGAAAACACATCGGTATTGTTTCATAAAGCGCAGATGAGTGTTGATAAACGTCCATACATTTGAGCTTCCTCAGTCTCTGCGCATCTTAGAGACTGTCGATGATTTTAAGTCCCAACTTAAGACCTATTTGTTTAGACAGGCTTTCTCGCCTCACTGTTCATAGGCCTCTGTGAACTGTGCAAACTGTGTTTTTAATCTGACTTGTATATGTGTTTTATTGTGTGAAGCGCTTTGTGATCCTGGTCTGTGAAATGCGCAATACAAATGAACTTTACTTACATGTTATTGAATGTTGAATGTCATCACCTGGATCATCACCACTGTCCTTTTAATTAGACCTCACAAGACGCTAAAGAATATAATGTGTAGTTCAACTTTGCCCAGCTGTGTCACAAACGTCTCTCGCTAGAGCCACTTCTTCCCAAAGTTGACAGATGTTCAGTCGTTCTGCATGTCTTTTAAAACACTTAATTTTGATACGCTAACATTAGTGTCCTGTCTGCCCTATATCTAGGAACAGAGCGAAACATATCAATGGCTCAAAAACGAGGCAGTACGGATTTCAAACGAAGCCCAAACGAAACTGCGGTTAAAGAAATCACAACCAGAGGATGGAAACAAGAGAAGCCCATCCCCCTCAACACCAGACGAGTCCAGACGACGGAGCAAACGCCTCAAAGACTCTCAACCAATCAACTTCTGCGACATTGACGTCTCTGAAGGTGAGGGAAGCGACGTCGACTGGGTGGAGCCTCCGCCTGGAGACGGGCTGTCGGGGATGCAGTTCCTCCTGGGCGACTTGTACAGCACTGGAACCAGGAGCAAGCAGAAGTCCGTGGAGGAGTCGGTGGAGCTGGAGATAAACGTTTTCCGGTCGGACAACGGCGCAACGCTGGGAGTAGAGCCGTTGCAGTGGTGGAGGAGCAAAACCCTGCAGCTTCCTCTTCTGGCCACGGTGGCACAGGCCTATCTGTCAGCTCCAGCCGTGGCCGGGAACGCCGCGCACGGATATTTGCAAGACGGAGCGGGGACTTCAAGAGGGAAAAGGTCCAACATCCCCCCAGAGAATTTGGACGCAATTTTGTTCTTGCACCACAACAACTTTCACAAATCTAAACTTAAACTGTACTAGTCTGCTTGTCTGATCACGCCTTTTTACTGAGATTTTTACTGTGTATCAACTGTGTATCTATTTACTCATCACTAATCACCATTTGCTACGTTTAAGTTGTTTTAACTAAGTTTAGATGGTAGTAGAAGCTAACCAGGTAAGATTAACCAGGTAAGATATATCTGAATATGTTCCAGTAATCATAAACCTAAATTAGTTGGTGGCCTCTCTGCATTTAGACTCCTCCCTGAGTTAAATGGTGTCCTACCTCAATCGCCCAAGAGTGATCCATCACAAAGCGGTTTTAAAGATATTTTCAGCCTAGCGATGGGATGGCTGTCGATATATCGAAGCTGAAAAAACTTGACACTTGTTCTGAGAAAATGTGAAACAATCAAAAAAATATTTCTGATGAACAATTAAAAAGAGTGACTTTTTATGTAAAAGTTACATTCCAAATGACAATGAACATCTCTCAATCAAATAAATAAACAAACAAATAAACATTAACAAATGGTTATTGCGATATCTAAAAGCTTGCTTCTGCAAGTATTGTGCCTTGACAAACTGCCTGCTCAGCTTTCTTCTCTGCTGACTTCTTGCACTGGATGTAGACGTAAATGGGGTGAATGAAAGTCAGTAGAGTGAGGCCGGTCAGAGTAATGTTGATCTGCAAAAAACAAATATGTTGAGTATTTTCAACAGAAATTATGAGTCAAATTGTTATTGCTGTTATCCTCTCACATAAAGTGGATCTCCGCCCAGAACCCCTTTGACTAAAGCAAAGCATGGATACTGCAGTAAGGACAGAACCCCCGACAGTGACATGATCAGTCCATACAGCTTCCCAAAGTGGCAGGAAGGGAATCTGGAAATAAAGAAAAGTGAGGCTGAAGTAATAACTAAAATTGCATTAACCTTAACATCTGTCGTTTTTATTTTTTTTATTTTGTGTTCATTTTAGTATACTTTGTTTGTGCGTCTTTTAAAACTGTAACTGTCCTGCTCTAAATATTTTTTTTTAACATGTATACTAAAACAACTGTAGTATGAATAAAAACCTCATACAAAATATGACTTTGATGTATGTCATAAGTGAATGTGTTTGCACCGACTGGATCAAAGCTGCCTCTTGAATGCCGCTCATATGAAAACATGAAAAGTTACTGCTTTTTGTAACAAAAATGAAGACATTCCGTAATGTAAGTGGTGCAGAGTAATCAGTACAAAAAATTCCATCCAAAATGCAGAACCGTACGCATATTATTAATACAATTTTAAATAAGGATTTTGAAATGTTATTACTTTATATTTGCAGGTTAGCAGAATGCCGTGCTTCCCATCTGCTGCAGTATGAATATAAATCCTAAAATGTTTACTAAGATGGATTAAAAGAGAGACATAGGGGGCAGTACGGTGGCTGAGTGGATAGCACTCTCGCCTCTCAGCAAGAAGGTCCTGGGTTCGAACCCCGGTTGGACCAGGGCCTTTCTGAGTGAGTTTGCATGTTATCCCCATGTCTGCATAGGTTTCCTCCGGGTACTCCGGTTTCCCCTACCACTAAAAACATGTACAATAGGTCTGGCATGCGCCTCCTGTACTGGCAACTGCGCTCCCATCTCTGGAGTGAGAGGAGATGCAAAAATAACGATTGTAAACCGCTTTGAGACTGTGATCTGAAGTGAAAAGGTGGTATATATATAAAGATTACTTACTTACATACATATACTATATACTAATATATATAGACATACATATACTTCCCAACACTGCACGTTGAGTTAATGAGTACACCCAGCAGGACCCCAATATTACTCTTAAAACACAAGATTTACTGGGAAATACAGATTTATGAATATATTTTAAGAAGATAAAATTACAGTTGTACATTATTTTCAATGTATAACTAGTAGTCAACTATATTCCAAATTTCACACAGTCAGTGCGCCCCGGGGCAGCTGCGACTACAGTAGTTGTGAGCATGAATTTGCGAGATAAACTGCATAGCGTCATGAGCATCAGTCAAGACGTCAACACTTGTCCAAACTTAGGCCAAGAACGCAAGAAGAGCAGGACATTCTGACCATTGGAGACATGTTTTTATCGGAAGAGGCGACTGTTCTATTCAGGGAAACAAAAACAGACACTATATAAACTGTACAATGATTGTGTTGGGCCACGCATTAAAGACTGAAGTATCCAGTCTGGTATTCCTTGCATCATTGTTTCTTTCCCTGTGCTACTCTCTCCATCTTACATCTTACAGGCCAACCACTTACGAGCAGTTTGGGTTTGGGTCAGGTAGTAATTAATCACCACCATATATGGAGTGAATGAATACATGTGAAGCGTCTTTGAGCGTCCAAAAGAGTCCTATATAAAACCAACGCTTCATTATGTTCTGTGGTTGACACTGGGCGACACAGACAGACAGACGGTCACTCACGCCATGCTGATGAAGGCTGCGTTGCCGCCGTAGAGGAAGGAGCGGTTGATGACCTGCAGAGCGAAGGTCAGATACTGCAGCGGGAGCACAGGCACAGAGGCGCACACCGAGAAGCACACGCACTGAAGAGCCGTAACAAACAAGGACATCACAGAGGAGCGCAGGTCCACCTCCCGCTCCGTCTCCCCTGGGGTCACAACCGGGAGCAGAAAGCAAGTAAACAAGGGCACTGTAGAGGAGCTTTTTCTGGTATCTGTACTATATTTGACTTTTTTATTAGTTTTGTGACAACAACTTACAACCCAAGTATCTGTACGTTACAATTAAAGACATTTGTTTATTTTATTTTAAAGGGATGAGAAGGTGGACCACAACATGAATGGATGTAAATTGAGGTTGGGTAACTTAAAATATTGTAAGATAAGATATACTTTATTAATCTCAAACAGGAGAAATAGACGGGCAACATGTCATAAAAACTATTTACTGTATCTGAAGAATAATCCGATTGTGCAAGTTTAAAAGTGCATTACAACTTTTAATGTGTATTTGACCTTAGTGACCCAGTGACTTCGCTTTTGATAGTGCTCAATAATCAATTGCATTATTTTCTTGGTGCAGAGGTCTGTCATCAGAGAAAACCTTCCAAACAATAGATCCTATAGCATCCAAGAGACCAGTATGATGGAAAGTAAATGTGCCATGCCACATTTCTGTCACTATCTGCCAAGAAAATAACACATGGCATATTTCAGCCATGAAATATGGCTTTGAGACCTTCAGGCTTTGAGCCTGAAGGTCGTGGGTTCGAGCCCACCGTAAGACCTACTTCACGACTCCCACTGATAACTGCTGTCGTTGTGTCCTTAGGCAAGACACTTAACCCCACTTTGCCTGAAGCTCCCACTGAAAGATCTCAGCTCCTGTGGACTCACCACCTGCAGGAGGATCAGTGAGGAGCTGGTGCTCTGTGTACTTGGTGCAGCTCTGACTGCCACCCCCCCGACCCATAAATGGATTAAGGGGAAGAAAATGGATGGATGGATATATTACTACATTTAACCCAAGAAATGCATTGGCTAATCCTGCAGCTGAGTATTCCTGAAAATATGGAGCAGCTAAGTGACCAACCACTTCCTGCCTCCACAAATGCATTTTATAGTTTACCCATAGGGATTTCTCCCTAGTAGTATATACTGTACATGAAGTAGTGTGAATATGTTATCTGAATATGGTTTCTTATGTTGCAGATAATTGCACTGGTTGAAGGAAATGTCAATTCAACCAGCATAGTCACGGCTGCATTATTTATTTTCATGCGGACTTTGACCAGACAGAGACTTCAAAGTATTACTGCACTTCTGTCTATTTTTATTTTTATTCTTATTCATTCATGCAGATCTGTGTAGCACTGTATCCCACAGCAAATTTCCCTCGGGACAATAAAGTGTATCTCAGGGATCTCCAACCTGTGGCTCGGGCGCTACCAGTAGCTCGCCAGCCCCTTTCAGGTAGCTCGCCAAAGGATTTAGAATTTAACAAATGATATTGAATTAATATTTTTTGAGCCATTACATATTTACTAGTATAGGATTATACAGTATTTATGTTTAGTAGTAATCATGAGATAGATTTTTATTACGACTGCAAAAAGGAGTAGCTCTCGGCCTCTTCGTTTGTATAAAAGTAGCTCTTCGATTGAAAAAGGTTGGAGACCCCTGGTGTATCTTATCGAAAGGCTACAGTCAGTGAGTTACCCGGGGCGAGTGGCGTCCCCTTGTGTCTGTCCATGATCACTCCGTTCCAGGGAGCACAGAGGACCCCACACAGCTGCGTCATTGCAAAAGCGTTGGTGTATTTACTCACTGCAAAGACACGGGAGGGTGAACGCTCGCTGCATTTCTTATTGCAACAAATCAAGATTAATTTAATGAATTACCTAAGTCTGGGTCATCGTTGGCCAGTCGACTTATCGTGGGGTTCAGAGTTCCGATGAAGAGGTAGTGCCGGAGCTGCATTATGGATAACCACATGAGGTGCCAGAAGAAAAGCCAGGACAAAACACAGCTTTTGAAACTCTGAGCCAAACCTAACTAGCAGAATATAGAAATATGTCAAAAGTAGAAAAAGTTGAAATGTTGAAATGCCAAATAGGTAACCTTCTTGTGGGAGTGCGCTGTCCGTTTCATTTTCCTTTTTAGATTGGTTGGCCTCGTCTTTAATCCTCTCGAATTTTTCAACGTTGTAAGAATTTTCCTTTCCGCAATTTACATGTCTATAAAAAATGCAAAATGGTTTAAATGGTAACAAGAATAAAGTCATTTAAACAAGCAATTATGGTTTGTTTGTTTTTTGTGTTTTTAAAAGAAAAGCTAACTTTCAAACAACAGATAAATGTTATATAATCAATCTAACTGGTTTCTAACTCTGTGAGGAGCCCTCACACAGCGACAGACATACTGTATTATGTAAAATATAAACACAACATGTTGTGATCTGATTTGTTAACAGCATTTTTACTTTCACATGACCCTTTATAATAGATCCATGATTGGGACAAACAAATATGGTTATCTAGAAAGTGAGATACTTCAGCTTTAATACAACCAATTTTCATCTCTTTAATAATTATTTTCTTTTATGACTAACTGTTAGATTGGTTAAAAAGAAATGGTATCGATAGTATGCCCTCACTGACATCATTGTAGGTTGATTTTGCCCTGACTCACCCGTAGGTGAACTTCTCTGGTAAAGGGTAAGGGATACGCGATCTCGGCATCAATAAAAAAGTCCTTGTGATGTGAATGACGCTGCACATGGACAAAGCAAGAAATGAAGTGCGTAAGGAGATTCCTTGTTCATTTAAAACCTGAAACATGAAGAAAACATGGCATTACATATTTGTAAAGAGGCTCTTTGTATTTTGCACATATTAGCTGGTTAACTACAGTCTATACAAAAATGTATTATTATTCATTTGAATCAGGGGGTTGCAATATACAGTTTATGGTATTCCAGAGAATTCAATGTCATAAAGCGGGCCACAGAAGGGATCCACTACTAGGGAAAAAAGTTATCTTTGGATTCCCCTAGTTTATGACTTAATAAAAGTGGATTATCATGACCTCACCAAGTTATGGATAAAACATAATACATCTACTGTACCTAGGATAGAAGGCTAATTTGTATCTCAGATGAAAGAAAAACTAAAGCCGTGTTGTGTAAGTGAAATAAAAAGATTCTACCTTGAAAATAAGAAATACTGCAGACGAGGAATCGAAGGCACCGTTGTAAAGAGTGATGACAGTGGAGCGATGGCCAGCAAACAGGTTTCCCACCTATGAACAGAATCTTTAATCATTAAAAACACTAACTTCAGAATAGAATCTAACTATTTTGAGATATTATATATAATTTTATAAAGTATGCTCTTAAAGAAGGTATATCTACATTTCAATCCACACAAAAATTATCAATGTCATATACTTCCTCGTTCTCAAAACCTTTTGTTTCTATCGCATGCACCTTTGGCTTCTGTCAAATATTTAGCTTTTATAAAAGTGAAAAGGATATTCACTCTAGTGATGAAGATGTTGTTTTAACTGCAGTGTTGAACAGATTAACATAAAACTCACACTTTAAAATCTACAAAACAACATTAGAATCCGATATTGCTCTTTTTTTCTAAACAAACTATTCACCTGCATGTTTGTTATAAGCAGCAGAATCCCTCCCACGCTGATGCAGCACATGGCGGGGAAAAGCATCTCTGAAAAGGCTTAAGAAAAAGAGAAAAACCACAATACATATTTACACTGATTTAAAATAACTATTTAAAGGTGAAACATTTGTGGGAGAGTGTATATCGCCTCTTTGTCACCGTGTTATCGCTGTTATGACGACAAATAGGAGGCCAAGGTGGTATAAGTACAACCAGTGGATACAGGCGGTACAGCTTAAGTAATATAAAGTATTTTGGTTATAACACCTAATGAATGAATAGAGGCAGGCAAAAAAAACTCCATTGAGACAAGTAGATGGCACTCACACAAAAAAGTTGCTACACATTGCACATATAACAAAATAGGACATTTGTGAAAATACACTTACCAGCACTCGAAAAGGCCACAAGTAAGGTCCCCGTTGTGTACAAGAATCTGAGGCAAAACAAAACATTTCATTTATTGATGGCCTGCCAAGAATAATCAGATTAAAGTGAATCTCAGTTACTTTACAGATGGTACAGTTAAAGCCTGGAACAGTCTTCCTGAAAATGTGACCGGGCGTCTACTCTGACAGTGTTCAAATCCAGGCTGAAGACACTTCTGTTTAGCTTTTTTTTGTTTGTGCATAAAACTGAAGGACTGTATCTTGTGTTTTAACGGTTATTTATGATTGATCCCTTGTGTGATTTTTATGTCTTGAATGACCTGCGTGATCTTGATTTTTATGTTTTTGATATTCTGTGCGATGGTTGTTTTTATTGCCCTGTGTGATTTTTATGTTCATTTGAATGCCTTACTTGATAGGGGCTGTGAAGCACTTTTACCTTACCTTTACTGTTACCTTGGTGGGTAAAGTCTTTTCAAATGTAGCTGGTACAATGTATATAATATACAGGTTGGGCTCATTATTGACTAAATACTTTTTTTTCCTCCATAATTAGCAAACAAAGTATTTACAAATCAGTCATTACTCTTCACTCCTTATAGTTGAGGAATGCCTACAATGAAAAGTACAGGTATCTCTCATAATTCATAAATGGGAGGACTTTAATACTTTAAAATACTTATTTGTCCCACTGTATGTACTACTACTACTATATTACTCAGATTGACCTGCTAAAAATACATCGCATTTTTTTTGTCAGACATGAGGAGGTTTGCATGCTTCTGGAAAAGTTGCCATTTTTCACTATTAAAACTAACAATACCTGCTCGGACAGGGTAGTATAATTTGATTGCCAGGAGGATTTTCTACCTCCGGGTGGATCATCAAGACTTTTGGTCCACCCAATTGTCGATCAGTCTGGTGATAGTGCTCGTCAAATAAGACCAGAGAGTTTTGGTCAAAAGTGGAGAGGGTAGTTCTTTCCTAAAATTTGGGAAATTCCTCTTATACACCTTTAATCTGGGACACTCCCAAAATGTATGTCGAGAGCTTTCACAAAACAACTGGATGTAAATGTAGCCCACGTACATTCCCAGCAGTCTGGTGACGGTGGTGCCGAAGCGGTCAAAGATGTATCCATTTGGGAAGGTCATGAAGTTGTTGAGGAAGGATCCTATTGTAAACACCAGAGAGAACTGCTCATCCTGGCGGCTGCACTCTGGAAAAGATACACATTATAAACACAAAGGACAAAGCATGGGGGGTTTGTCCTGTCGAGAAGTATGCCTGAAACATAGCAGCTGCTTGTACTGTATTGCACATTTTGTATGTTCTTACTACTGTCCTGTATGTGCGCTGCAATATTGAAATGTCCCCACTGTGTGTTCCCTTATCTTATCTAAACTTATGTTTTTCTCAGCTCTTGTTTGAATGCTTGCAGTTTGCCTTGAATTCAATTGAATTTTCGTCAAAATATTCTGAAACTTTATACAAAAAGTCATACCCAAACTAATTTCTAAAGTTTTTAAGTGCTTTGTAAAAGGGAAAACCCAGGAAGCTACATTATCTTAAAGTTAGGGCCCCAAAACCATACATGTAAAACAATGTGACGGACAATCTATACCCTTATACATGCTAAACCAATTTCTAAGCATTTTACCCATTCACACATCCTTACAGTCTTCACTTTGTATTCTTCAGTTCATATGAACTCATGACCACTTTACTGCCCTTCATAAAGCCACTTTAGTGCCCTTTACAAAGCCACTTTAGTGCCATTCACTTTATTGCTGTTACCTTACTGCACTGCTTACTGCCTATTGTGTGCACCAAGTGTGCTTGCATTTCGTATACAGTACAGACCAAAAGTTTGGACACACCTTCTCATTCAAAGAGTTTTTTATTTCCATGATTATGAAAATTGTAGATTCACACTAAAGGCATCAAAACTACGAATTCATTCATGAGAAATTATGTACGTACTAAACAAAAAAAAGTATATAACAACTGAAAATATTTATTATATTCTAGGTTCTTCAAAGTAGCACCTTTTGCTCTGATTACTGCTTCACACACTCTTGGCATTCTTTTGATGAGCTTCAAGAGGACCTGAAAAGGTCTGAGTTCCCACAGATGCTTAGCACTTGTTGGCCCTTTCGCCTTCACTCTGTGGTCCAACCCCAAAACCATCACTCACCACTCTCCTTATTGGACAAATAGCCCACAGCCTGGGTGTGAATCTACAGTCAATAATCACGAAAAGAAAGGACACTCATTGAATGAGAAAGTGTGTCCAAACTTTTGGTCTGTACTGTACGTTCATTCATTCATTCATTTTCTACCCCTTTATTAGTCAATTTCTGGGTCGGGGGGAAGGATGGCCTCCTCTGCAGGTAGTGAGTCCACAAGAAGATTGCTGCTACATCAGTGGTGCCACAGTCTTGGTGTTTCAGCGGGAGCTTCAGGCAATGTGGGGTTAAGTGTCTTGCCCAAGGACACAACGACAGCAGACAATAGTGGGAGCAGTTGGAGTAGGTCCCATGATGGGCTCAAACCCACGACCTTCGGGCCCTAAGGCCAATGCTCTACCAACTGACTGTGCATCTTGTGTACAGTGAATTGTAATAATTTTAATTTTTATACCTTAGAAGTGTATGCTGATTCTTACTTATTCTATTCTCTACCTCTCTTCCTTGACTGTTGCACCAAGAGCCAAAGAAATGTCCTAGTTTGTGACTTCCTGTTACTTGCATGGCAATAACATTGATTCGGATTCTGATATTCTGGTACTTGTTCTTACACATGGTAATGTGTAAATATTCATGTGTGTCCTGAATTTCTCCTACGGGGATCAATAAAGTATCTATCTATACTGTATATCTAATGTAACTTGTGACACATGTATATCCATAACAACATACATGCTACATAAAAAAATGACATCATTCATGTTACTGTAAACGACAACAATAATACATCTCAAAATTGTGTGACTGTGTTTTGGTTCTCAGCCTTTGGAGTTAAAGGTGTTGTATAATGTAGGAATAATGAGTGTTTTAAATGTTTTTGAAATGCTCTCAATGATTTACATTGTGTAAATGAACTGTTCAGTTCATACTACAACTCATACTGCACATTAATGACCACGGGGATGTATCATACCAAAGTACAACAGAATCCCTTTCAAACCTATTGACAATACTAACAAACTCACTCTGCAGGTTTGTATCAAAATGCCATTTCCACACCCATCATTGTTTATTGCATGATTCTCTCAATTATAAATCCAAATGAAAGAAGCAAGGCAATTTGTGGCATCGGCCCCTCTGATCACCAGCTGTTCTCTCACACCAGACTCTTTCTAGAAACCTAATTCTACACTTGAAATGTTTTGTGTGTATTGCAAACAGGTTCTACAGGTACATCCAACACATTGTAACACAAGGTTTGTTAAAAATAGATGAAGCAAAGATTAAAATCACTTTAAAATAAATGTGTTTGTAATCAGTAACATTTGAAAGACTCTAAACTAGGGCTGCCCAAACTATTTTACTTGGAGGTAGTATGCTTTGGTTTCAAAAAATTGTGAACTGACTTAAGTGACTAGTGGACAAGTTGATTTTACAGCCTTAATAATGCAGTTTTTGCCCCAAGTGAACCAGAATGGATCCAGTCAAAGTGAACCAACAAGTGTGTAGTGTGTTGTGTGTGGTGTGTGCATGTTTGCTGTTTCACCTGGAGCTGAAGCAGTGCTGTTGGAACTCTCTTCACAATATTGACCAAAGTATCCATCTTCTTTGAGCACAAACACCAGAGAGGCCCACCCGAAGAGCACTCCAGCGAAGCACAGGCACTCCACCATCCCAGAGACCAGCGTGAGGCAGTACCGCGGCCTGCGACCTCCAAACCCCTTCATGGTCTCTTCCAAACGTTGTCACAGATTTTAACCAGAGATTCACCTGGGATTATCTTGTCCAAATTGTGGGTTGTTTGAGAAAAGTAGACATCCTGTACACATATAATAATACAGGTGTGTGGCAGTAACAAGATAATTATTTAAATGCAACTAATCAATTATAGTCGTTGCCAACAAATTTAGCACAACAACATGCTAAGAAGAAGTTTTATGACTCTGACAGAATTTTAAGTATTTCTTATGTATTTGTAAAGGATATTTGTCCAACTAATCAATAAACATAATCTTGAACTACAGTACTAGTGTGGTGATTCTCACGTTTGACGCACTATAGTCTACTTTATGTTTTGGAAATAATGTAATCATAATCTTATCAGGGCCTGACAAAGCTACAGGACAGCAAGTGTACTGAAATTATCTTATCTTTTCTTATTATATTAAAGCCCAATCTAAACTAAAACTAAACTAAAAACAGTATTGAGGAGAAAATGGGGTCAAGGACTACACAGTACATACATATTGAATTAAGTATTATACACAAATACAAGAATGGATTAAATTAAGCAAAATCCAGAATAAAGAGACTAGCCAGATATATGTTCCCTAGTGTACCCAAAGTTGAGTAGTAGTTGAGTAGGGACTGACAAAGTTGTCTCTAAGTCCCGGGACTGATACACAGTTCTGATCACATGTAAAGGTTAATAAATCCTGTTACTGTATCTTTATATTATGAGAAACATATCTTCAATGTATTACAGAATGTGACGGAATTTGAAAAGAATATAAAAAATACTATAAATATTAGCCAACATTATCAGTAGCGGTGAAGTATTAAAAAGCAATATCGGTGTGTGATTATTGCTTTGTTTTTGGTCCCTATGGACGGCAGGCGGTCGCTGTAATCCAGATTACTCCTAATCTACACCGACACATGGCACACGCAGCCTCAAAATGATTCAACCTATTCACACCATGTTATTTACTGAGACATTAAAGCAAAGGAATCTGAGGGAATGTTGTACAACCGTGTCCAACACAAACAAAATGGCTTGATGGATTGTTGTAGGAATATCTCCTTGCACATGTGCTGCTCAAACATCAAGATCTCAAAAAGCATGTGTCTGATCTAATCCAAGAGAGATTCCAGATTATAAAATCACGTTAGCATTCTGTTGTGTAGAATAATACTCACCAGGATGCCGTATGACACTGCTCCCGCTCACGAAGTAGACGCAGAGATGCGCCGTGCGTCTCCTGAGTCAGTGTAATCTGAGGCAGCAGGTGGGCAGGGCGAGAGAGGCGAAAGTATATAACTAAATTTAAGATCTAGCATTAATAAAACTTGGGATTAGTAGGGAGGGTGTGTTCACTGATGGTTACTAGTGTTTTTTTTGTTTTGTCATTTTGTGCCAAGGTCTAAAGTACATGCATGTCAAGCTAGTTAAACAAGATTAATTGTTTTACAAGTGAAAGTGTTGCCTATTATAATCCAATACATCTACCCAGGGACTACTACTAGGTGTGAATCTTGACCTGGTCCAATCCATTTTTTCTCTTTGGATAGTGTTTGTTTAACTCATGGGTGTCAAAGTCAAGGCCCAAGGGACAGATGCGACCCGTGAATGAATTCTCTTGGCTCCTAGGATTATATTTGATTAGTATAGATGCTCCTGTGGACTCACCACCTACAGGAGGATGAGTGAGGGGCTGGTGCTCTGTGTACTGGTGCAGCTCTGACTGCCACCCCCCAACCCAGAAATGGATTAAGGGGAAGAAGATGGATGGATGGATAGTAGAAGCCAGAGCCAAAACATTGGATTATTCATTTAATGTTCAGGAGGTGTGTTTGTTTTTGTCTGTGAGCGGTTGAAAAACGTTTTCACTTGAAATGACTGATGGAGGCCTACAAAAATGTTATTGTATGTATGTATGTATGTATGTATGTATGTATGTGTTAATTTAATCATTAAACAAAGTCTTGGTTCACAATGTCCGGCCCTCGGCTTGAAAAAAAAAAGTTTTCTTGGCCCTTTAATGTATTAGTTAAACCAGGGATGTCAAGTCTAATACACTAACATGAGCTCCTCTCATCCAGAAACAGCTGGGGCTACCTTCTGGTCAAACAAGTCAAAGTAAATAAGAACTCCTCCCTCCCTGTTTTTGAGTGTACATTACAAAATACACAAAAAATACGAAATAATTCATCTGCATTAAAACATTTATTATAGTAACAGTCATGTTTTGAGATTATAAAATTATATTAACTATATAAACATACAAACTAAATATCTATTAAGACCATTGACATTTTAAATGATGAGATGTTATGACCCTTTTTAGTGGTATGAAAGTATTAAGACATGGAGTCAACGTTTGAGTTTAAAGAAAAAGATAAAAATATAGATCTGGCCTTTTCTGAGCAATTCACAGCAATCCTAACAGCTATCGTCATGCACGTTTAAGTAGATCCAGATAAGATAAGGAATAAACACACTCATAGCTTTTCACACACTTATCCAGCTTTTTCAGTCACGATACTGCTAACTTCGGTTTATGGAATCTGCTGATACCCAATGAATCTCCTATTAAGAGTAGGGACCATAGACTGTAAATGTTAGGTAAAGACTGAAGGGTTAACTCTGATGAATTCACATAAAACACATGAATAACAAAAATGATGGAAATCCTATGTCGTGTACTAGTGTGTAGTGAACAGCTTGATAAAAAAATAAGTTGAGACGACAGACCAGAAAACCAGACCTATTACAACATTTTATAGGACCAAACAAGACATCGGCTGAACCAATATTGGAGGTATTGGTTAAACCCGTGCAGGCATGTGAGTAGTGACATCCACCCGTGATCTTGACCCGAATTTCACTGCAAAAAGTTTCCGCAGTACAGCCTCTCGTGCCGGCGCAGACTGTAGTCCCATTTAAAGAGTTTTCCACAGTATCGACAGGCCAGTAGCTTCTCCTGCGTGTGCTTCATGTTGTGCGCTTTCAAGAGACTCGGGAAGCGGTACGTCTTGTCACAAAATTCACATTTGAATAACACTTTGTTGGTTTGAGGTGAGGCCTGAGAGTAGTTTGGTTTGTTCCAGTTTGTATGAGCAAAAGGGTTCAATTGCATAGGCCTAGGGAAGCCCAAAGAAGCCGCATTAAGCGAGGAGTAGTAATAAGATGGATTGAGCGAAAAGGATTCCTGCGAAACAAAACAAAACGAGTCAAATTACTCTCAAAGTGTACATTTACAGTTTGAGAATATATAACATTACGTCGTCCTTACCTGGGCAGGAGGAGGAGCTTCTGTCGGCTTTTGACCTGTCTGCATTTGAAATCTTGTGCAATCTCCTAATTCAGAAATGTCAAATATCAGTTCTAAACAAAATACAATTCCTTATAGTTGAAATAGCAAAAACAGAAGATTATGATGCTTTCAGTTTGAAACTTGTGATCACTGGTAGACTGCACACATTTACAAGAGAGGAGGAAATATTTATTAACTAAAATTAGCATAATAGTAACATATACAACATATAGTACAGCATTTTCTCCATGATTTGTTCACAACTTTTAGTATATATTACAAGAGAGGCGATTTGGACTTGCTAAATATGATTGCTGAGATTGAAGTTTTTGAATTTGCAAGTAGGACTGGGCAATATGGCTAGATTTATAACATACATTGTCGATTTTGAAGAAGAAATTACCAGAATATTCATAGCAAATTTCATCCCGGACTGCAACTTGGTGAACATCCCAACTGTGAGGCAAAGTAACTAACATGGAAGAAAGGAGGTCACCAAGTACAAAAAGTGAGTCTTTTCTTTAGCACTTTTGATGAAGGCAAGAGTATTCCATTTACATTGAGCACGATCAGAGAAAGCAACTTCTCAAATGTTATTGCTTCACTCAAGGAACGGCAAGAAGATGAGACTGTGCACACAATCATAAGGCACTAGCAAGTCAATATATGTGTGAGGGCGCCAGATGTTTTGGCGTATAGAGGGGTTTTAGAGTCAATTCAGGGCCTGAATGGAGATGATTTAAAATGGGTGTTATGTGAGATATGAGCTGCAGGAATGTTAATGAGTTGAAGATATTTAAGTTTTGTGCATATTTCAGCCCTTTAGGAGTCAAACCAATCCTCAAAGAGCTGGTTTGACTCCTAATTCCACCCAAGCACACCAGACTTGATTGGTTTGAGTTAAAACCACTTTCTGGAACCAGTTTGATAGCCCTGCTTTAGTTTGATCAATTTACTTACACTTTGGGCAATGATGTTTCTAATTTTTTTACAGTCGTCAGTAATAATCATCATGTATTACTTTCTACTAGGCATTTTATTTAATTGTATCATCTATCATCTTAAACTTCCTATAAAAACACATTTACATTATATTTAGCAAATTATGGGGTTTTCTTTATATCAAATACTAAAAGAAATCAAATGACAAAAATCGTCTTGAGTTAAAAGGCTTTTTGTGGTTCGTTTGAAAGACAATAATCTGGAGCTGAAACATGTAAACAAGGGAAAACATTCAAGTTGTTTTTTTAAAAGGACTGCCAAAAACATTTACACAAATCAATTTGATTAATTGCCCAGTCCTAATAGCAAGCGTATTTGCAGCGGCTGACAACAACAACAAAAAGAATAGGCATTGTACATTATAAGACATATTCCAGAAAGACAAAAGTAAATCATTTTGTTGGGAAAAACAAAAAAAAAAGTATTACATTTTCTTGTGTGTTTTCATGTGCTCGTTCATATAGACCATCCGAGACGTTTTGTAGCCACACAGATGACACACACTGGGCTGCTTGTCCCCGTGCATGGCCTCGTGGCGGCGCAGGTGGGACCGTGTGATGAACGCTTTCCCACAGATTTGGCAGACGTGCGTCCTCTCCCGCGTGTGCCAGAGCCGGTGAAACTTCAGGTCGCTGGGATAACAGAACCTCTTGTTGCAAAAGTCACAGGAATATTTTTGAACCTGTTTACTCGGCGGTAATCTCAGCTCGGAATGGCCGCCGTTCTGTTTCGTTTGACTAAAAACGTACATCGGTATGTTAATTTGCAGGTCTTGTAATGAGGAGAAAGAGGGCAAGTCCAACACAGGCTCAGCGCTGTTCAGAGTCGAGGATTTAACGCCAAAACTATCGAAATTGATCCCCTGCTCGACATTAGAATTATAAGCATCTATTTGCATACCTGTCTCAAAGCCTGGAGTTTCTTCCTCTTGTTTGATTTGAAACACAACATCGCGACTGTGGTCTTGGTTTGTGGGAGCAGCGTCGTCGTATGATGAGCACTGGGTTTCGTCGGGAAAGTTGTAATTGGGAAGATGGCTTTTGGTGTCCTCTGGCTCGAAGCTGGACTGCCTGGACCCATCGCGACTGCAATCTTCTTCCCGTCTGTGGGGCGAGGGATTTTTGGAAACTGTGCTTGCAACTTCAAACTTGCAGTTGTCTGGCATGGCCTCCTGTAACATCAAATACAAATATATGGTGAGTAACAGAACTGTGGTATAGTCATGCGTTTAAGGTACACTGCATTTACCTGAGAACTGTTAGAAAATGCATTTGGGAACTTCATGTAATTTTGACTCTCTTTTTCATCTTCCATGCTGCAAGGTTGGCTGACCCGTTCTTGAGGATCATCCTGATCATCATGTCCTGAAACGACAATATGAAAAGTAAAATCGAAAATTACCGACTAGTAGGATGAAAATAGGAATAGGGAGTCCCCGTTTTTGAGGCATGGGCCTAAAAAAGCACCACCTCTGCTGCTGTGACCCGTCCTGCTCCACCCAGCGGCTACTCCATCTCTACTGCTGTGACCTCAAGTTCTGTTGCATTTTAATACTACTACCATCGTAAGATACTTTTAGAATTATCTATTTACTTATTTTGTTGTCTTTTTTATGGATGGATGCGTTTCTGCTGCTACTCGACACCTGACTTACAACTGGGATCAATAAACTATATATATATATATATAACTTAACATTAGCTTTTTTTCTACTTATCTACTGTAACAAATAAAACATGTTTTATTTTCACATTTTGATACAAGGTTTTTTTTTCCTTAACAAATTAGTTTGACATGAGCAATCACTATTACCATTATTAGCACAAGATTGTCTTTCGATATTATTTCAGGTGTTGACTGCGATCTAGGGGCGACAGTTGCAACCAAATTGCTTGATATTTACATTTTTGAAACAACCCTAGTTTCAACACAGTACCCTTAGAACTCTTCAACAGACTAGTATACTTTCTTTTAGCAGGAGGGTCTAAGGACAGTGACCATCCAAGACATAAAAGGACATTGGTCTCCCGCTCCCTCTGGATCAATGCAGGACCACACAGGAAATGCTAAAATAAAAAACACATAAGGGCCTATGTGCTTGTTATTAATGCATTTCTTGTGTCGTTTTAGCACACAGGAAATGCATAAATAGCAAACACATATGAGCTCCATGTGTTTCTAGCCACTGAACATTTGATTCTCTGATCTGTTGTTGGCGAATAGACAACCTTGTAAAGTCGTCCGATACGACTGATGTTGTGATTTAGGGCGATTAAAAAAATAAATATATATATACATTTCAAACCTTTTAATCACTATTCAGTCACTCAGAGTTTATGCCATTACGGTACCATTAGTAAGATGGATAGATAAACTGTCTATTACTATTGCAAAAAAACGTTCTCCAGCTAAGAAAAACTAAATTTATCATCTTCGGTCCCCAGAAACAAAGAGAGCGTTAGGGTCCAGTAACTCTCCCTAAATATGCAGGTCAGAAATCTAGGAGTAATAATGAACTCAGACCTAAATTTTAACAGCCACATAATTACTTTATACAGAAGCTTATTGCATTCACTTGAAATAAAAAAGCTTCTGTTTTCATGAGTTAAAAAGAATCCTGTTTTTACGAGACAAATAAATCCTGTTTTTACGAGACAAATAAATCCTGTTTTTACGAGACAAATAAATCCTGTTTTTATGAGACAAATAAATCCTCTGTTTAATGACCTGACCAGTGTGATCAGCTTGATGTTGACTGCAATACAATGACTCGGTTATTAAATTTAATCTGCTTTTATTTTAATTTAGACTTAATGCATTGGGAAACCTTACTCTCCTTGAGAACCGTAGATTGGAATAATGATCAGTTTGTCAAATTTAAGAAGACATTTCAGGTCGATACGTTTGTTCAGGCATAAAGAGAAGTCAAGCCTGCTGGACAATGCCTCAAAATAAAAGAGGATTAAATTTAATAACCGAGTCATTTTATTGCACTCAACATCAAGCTGATCACACTGGCCAGGTCATTAAACAGAGGATAGACTTGTCTCATAAAAATTGAAACTTTTTTAATTCAAGTGAATGCAATAAGCTTCCGTAAGTTAACCATCTGAAAAACATAGCCAGAATTAAAAATATAGTGTATAAAGCAGACCTGACGGTACTTGTCCCTGCATTTGTTTCCAGTAGGTTGGACAACTGTAATGCCCTGCTCATTGGCCTCTCCAAACAAGCTATAAAACAAACAGCTGAAGTACATTCAAAACGCTTCAGCTGGAGTGCTGACTAGAACCAGGAAGTGCAACCACATTCGTCCAGTTCTCAGGTCTCTGCACTGGCTTCTTGTGGCTCCGAGAATAGAGTTTAAAACAGCTCTGCTTGGTCCATGGGCAAAGTACATCCGTGACATGTTAGTGCCATATGAACCAACTTGGACTCTGAGGAGCGCAGGAACAGACCCCCTGCTGGTGTCCAGAGTCAGGACTAAACATGGGGAGGTAGCATTTCAGATTTATGCGCTATAAACTGACTGAGAGCTTTCAAATCCAGGTTAAACACAGTTCTGTTTGACTGTGCATACCACTCTTTTGAATGGGCGGGGATTATTTATGATTTTAATCCCTTATGTGATTTTAATGTTTGTTTTTTATTACCCTTGTGATGTTATTGTTTATTTTCAATACCTTTTGTGATAAAAAAGAACAAAACAGTTTATTTTTAATGCCCTTTGTGATTGTAATTTTTTTTTTTTATCGCCATTTGTGATTTTAGCGTTTCTGATTTAATGCCTTACGTGATATAAGCCTAGTTTATACTCGCGCGGAGCTTACGGAGGTGACGTGACGTCACTTGCGCAACGCGTTGGTCACCGCAAGGCCCGTTGCCTGCCGCGCAGCATCGAAATTTTCTAACTACGTAAGGGTCGCCGCAAGGAATCTCCGCTGTGATTGGTCCGTGTGTGTGTATTGGAAGGAAGCATGAAGCGGCTGCAGCAGGGACATGGAGGAGGCACTATGGAGCAGAGAGCTTTGTGCTTCGAAGGAAAAGCAGTTTGGGCTCAGAGCCTGATATACAGGAGACTGTGGACTATCTAACATATATGTAACTTATATCTAACATATATATAACTTATAAACTGTGCAGTCGTTTGTTTTGCACTGTTCCTGTCTTGTTTGAACCGTAGCTGCGTTTGTTGCTTTCCTCCTGCACTCGTAAATCGTTCATGTTTGTCTCAGATATTTACCACTATTATTGTTTTGCTGTTTGTGCTGAAAAATATCGGGGCGATAGTAGCTCAGTTGGTAGAGCATTGGCCTTTGGGCCTGGAGGTCGTGAGTTCGATTCCCACCATGGGACCTACTCCAACTGCTCCCACTGATGACTGCTGTCGTTGTGTCCTTGGGCAAGACACTTAACCCCACGTTGCCTGAAGCCCCCCGCTGAAAGATCAAGGCGGTTTCTCAACTGATGAAGCAGCCATCTTCCTGTGGACTCACCCCCTGCAGAAGATCAGCGAGGGACTGGTGCTATGAGCGTTGGGTGGCAGCTCTCATTGCCACCCCCCCGACCCAGAAATGGACAAATAAAGGGGTTGAAAATGAATGAAAATGAATGAATGTTTGTGCTGAAAACTATTTAATAATAACTATGTTTCCAACAAGAACTGTGTCTTTATTCACAGCATCACAGTTGAAATGACTTATAAAATAATGAATCCATAAAACTATCACATAAACCTACAGTAGAAACACGTGTAATGAGCTCAAACAGCTTTGTTTGCTATTGTTGTTCTGAAGAGGACAAAGTAGCAGCGTAAATGGGACCGCTCCTGTGTGATCGCCCTCATGTGGTTTGTTGTGGGATTACAACATTCTCCTCAAAACTCCGTAAGGGGAACGCGCCAGTATAACATCAATTGTGCTTACGTAGGTCCACCGCAACCGCTAACGTAAGCCACGCCGCGCAAGTATACACTAGGCTATAGGCTCTGAAGAACTTTATGATTCCTTGTGTAGGAAAGGACTGATTGATTGAAACAAGTAGTTAACATCAATACTAATAATACTGATAACCATTCATGTTGTTTACATACATTTCTGCCACTTCCCACAATACAACATGATCCCTATTTCCACTAAAAACATACATATAATTAAGTGATTTACCGTCTTGTGGCTCTGGGAAAAATGTGTCAGTCGTGTGGAAAACGCTGTCCCCTTCGTCCTTTCTGGTAGCTTCGCTTGCATCAGTGGTTTTGGTTGTTTGTTCGTGGCTAATCTCTTCGCACAGATCCAAAACCAGCTCTTTTATCTCCTCCACAGCCAGAACCATCAACTTTTCCAAAATGGCGGAAAGCTGGGACTGAAACGCAACTACGGCCGTGTGCTTTTTAAGACGCATTGTCCTTCGATTTGTTACAATTTGCGTAAAAAGATCGCCGGGATAGTGTTAGCTGCTGTGTTGCCTCCTCCCTCGACTAAAAAACACTGACGAGTAAAATACATTGAGGATGATAGTGCCCCCTGCAATACTGGAGTAGGAACTACACATGCGCAGGGCTTTAAATGTATGCATCCAAATTCCATCACTCCATATACTTACTTGTCCTTTTTTAATTTGTGTTCAATTTTGTGGCATTAAAACATGTTCAAAATGTGTTTAATTGATCTTGATTAAACTTGGAGTGATATTTTTTCCTATTTTGTTGATTTTAAAACACAAAACCCGATAAAGGATGTGTTTATTTATTAACTGAATGCAACCATCGAGGTAAGCGGTCAGCAACATCAGCAATCACATCAAATATTTTACTCTGAACCATAGACTGTAAATATTACTCTGAACAATGAACCCAAAGGAGAATTAACGTGGTATCGAAACTTGAATATAATTTGCGAAGTATCAAGAAAAAGGGTGGTAAATAAATAGTACAAGGCCGTTTTTATGTTATATTTATGGCACAAAATAAATGTAACTAAAAGCTTGTTTTTTATCAGGGCAGTATTCAATTCAAAAAATTGATTCAAATTGATGAAAAGAATCTTAGAATTGTATAGTTTTATTGTATATGTGAAAAACTTTTGTGTTGAAAGCAGTTGCAAGCAAGCAAGCTCCATGTTTTATTGTGCATATTTTTCCACATCTTGACTTATATTCTGTATGAGAGAAAGTATTTATGGGAGTGTTATAATGCAGACAGTTGAAACTTTGAGCAAAACCATTCAGACAAGTGTTTTTTCACAAATCCATTGTGAATATTTCTGACAATCATGATTTTCCCAATAACGAGTGGACTTGTATTCATAGCTTATGATGCAGTTTTTGGAGTTTGGTCTCACTTGAGCATTCCATCTTACCCATATCCTGAAACAGATAAACATTATTAGATTTACTTCAACAACTTTGATTGAGAAATTATATTTATACTTTGAAATATTTAAAACGGAGCCGTCCACCCATTTCCACATTCCCGCCTCATCTATGCCACTCAGACCAATCCAGTAGTACTGATTCAGAGAATTGAGAAATTCCTGATCATAAAATACAAAACACATGAAATGTATTAAAGATTTTTACACCTTATACATTTTACATTTGACTATCTGGCCAGAGCAGTTTCAAGCCATGGGTCCTGGTCCGACATAGTTGTTAGTTGTTACAGTGTTAAAATAGACTCTCATTTTGTAATTATGTCTGCATGACAGCTTAATACTTACATATTATCAAACTAACACAATATAGAAATACAGTGAAAATAAATGCTATTGGAAATGTTTATAATGTTGAGCAATAGGACGTTACTGCCCTAGAAACTATTAATCCTTTCTTTTTGTGGTAACTACAGTATTTGGTGACACAAGTGGGGATTAATTGTTTTTAAAAGGACCATTTTTATGTTCAACAGTCGTTAGAATACATTTCACATCAAGTATCATTTTTACCACCTAAATGGCCTCCCAAAATGAAAATATAATTGAAATATCTGGCCTTCTGAGTGGTGGTAACCAGGTTCTAATTGTAAAATGAAGTACTTTTAATAATATTATCCAACTGCCTTGGGTCTAACTTGCTCATCTCACACTACAGTTTAGGGCTTGCCTCCAAATCTCTGTAAATTCTGCAACTAATTTAACCGCAGGTGATCTGTACGTCTCGTCACCTGCTCCTCTCTGCTGTCAATGATGATCAGATCTCCCCCTTTGTCTCTGCAGTTCTGTCGACTTTGCTCCCAGGTCTTTGTGCCGGTGGAAATGTAATAAAAACTCTGGTTACGTGATCGGCATCCATCTCGACAAAAATCACCTACATGAACAAGAAAGTACACGGGCAAATAATAGCGAAAAAAGGAAGTAAAAGTTAACGTGTCAGGTGTACATGTGCTGTTTTATCATAAGCAAAATGGAGCGGAAAAAGATGATCAAAAACATTCACAAACAACTTCACATAACTCACCAAGTTCAAGCTTTTCTTTGTGCAACTGCTGATGCTGTTGATGCAGCATGAGGCCTGGTTCAATGACACAGGTGTTAGTGGATATCCAATGACCACAGCCTCTTATTATGTTTTCGAAATACGTTTATGTGACTAGTAGTTAAAAATAAGTGCTTGAGGCTTGGGGGAAATAGTTACTGAAAGTTTATACACCCATGCAGGAATTACATTTTTTGGTCATATTTAGTATTACTGTTTTCACTCATCATTAGTGGTTGACAATGATTCAATTGAATGTATTCTTGTGTAGCCCTAAATCACAACAGTAGTTATCATGGAGGACTTACCAAAACCGTTGAATTCGTCACACAGATACAAACACATTGGTCCATAAGGGGCAGATAACCAATGTCCATAAATGTTGATAAATGTCCATAAATGTTGATAAATGTCCATAAATGTTGTTGAATGTTGAGTATCCTGGACCCTGATTAGAGGTTTCCATCTCCCAGTTCTAAATAGCGTGTGTTGGACCTTTAACATTTATCATAGCTTGGAGTCTTGTGATAGTTGAGGTTTTTTATCCTCTCTGCTGGATGAGCTATACTGCCTATTTTACTCCTGGGCTGCCTTGCATGAGCGACACATTTGAGTTCTCCCTTGAGTGGCACAATACTGTAATTTGGAAATAGAATGTACACAATCACGAACAATCGCAATCAATTACTCCAAAATATGACCATATAAAGTAAATTCCTGACTCAGTGTGTAGACTTTCAAGCACAACTGTATTTTCCCTTCAATTTCAAAACCGAGCCTTTATTTGTCACACAGGCGAGAAATTTCAGTGTTGCATCACAAGTTACAGAACAGTAGCAATGAGGAGCACACAGCACAAGATATGAATATTATTGTGAATATTAAGTGGAAATAAATATATAATTGTATGTATTATCTATATAAATCTGTAATACACAATGTGACAATGTACACAATACAATACAATACAATACAATACAATTTATTCTTGTATAGCCCTAGGTCACAACAGAAGTCATCTCAGAGGACTTAACAAAACCATTGAAATCACCAACACAGGTCAGAGAATCAACAGTTAAAACACATGAAGAATATAAAGCACACACAGAAGAAAATGTCCATACATGTTGTAGAATGCTAAAGTGTCCTGATCATCACCAATCCTTTCTGTTGGACACTAACTGTCCAACAAGACCCTCCTGCATCGACAAGGAACAACTCTTAAAAAACCCAGTGGGAAAAAGTGAGAAACCTTGGAGGAGAACTAGGGAAACCCACAGGGAGGGAGACCCATTTGAGAAAGGGATCCGCTCCTCCGGACGGACAGGCTAATGATCTAGGACCTAAGCTAGCTACAGGACGTGGACCAGTGGACGCTGAACGTGGACAGGTCCGGTGCAGGACCGAAGCACTCCCAGGCGGGTCGGGCGGGGCAGTCCGCAGGTGTAGATGGAAGAGGCCAGGCTCAGAGATCCCGTCATCGTACCATGAAACAGACAATGGGACAACGGGTGAATAGCAATGAACAAACTACAGTCAGAATCCTAAAAATGCTAAACAGATAAAGTAGATAAAGTAGGAAGGAGGAGAGGATAGTGCTCAAGTTACCATACTTCTCCCAGCAAACTGACTCCCTATGCAGCTTGACTAACACTCTGAGGAGTTTAGCCTTCTCCGAGTCTTACCTTCCTAGCCATATGCTAAACTAAAGAGGACTGTTTTAAACCTAGCCTTGAATAAAGAATAACATACAGCATAATATATAACATAATATACAACATAACACAATACATTATTGAATAATATATAACATAATATATAACATAATACAGCATATATATATAATATATACACTACATATTATATATTACCTAATTATATGCTAAATTAAAGTAAAGTGCTTTAAGCCTGGCCTTGAATGTGGAGACCGTATCTGCTTCCTTAACATAAATGGGAAGCTGATTCCACAGTAAAGGAGCTTGGTAGCTAAATGCTCTGCCACCAACAGTGACATTTGAGACCTTAGGGACCACCAGACGTCTGGCGTTTTGTGAGCGCAACGCTCGACCTGGTTGATACGACACTAACGTGTCTTGGAGATAAGAGGGAGCCAAGCCATTTATGGCTTTATATGTTAAGAGTAGGATTTTAAACTTTATTCTGTACTCCACAGGGAGCCAGTGGAGTGATTTTAACACCGGAGTTATGTGCTCCCTCCTTTTGGTACCTGTTAAGATCCTAGCTGCTGTATTCTGAACGAGCTGGAAGCTCTTCAAAGAGGCTTTAGGGCACGCTGCCAGTAAAGCGTTACAGTAGTCGAGCCTTGAGGTGACAAACGCGTGAATGAGTTTTTTCGCGTCACTTTTAGGAAGGAAATTCCTAATTTTAGCGATGTTCCGTAAGTGGAAGTACGCCGTTTTAGTTGCTTGGCTTATATAAGCCTTGAAGGAGAGTTCTTGGTCAAAAATGACTCCAAGATTCCTCACAGTGTTACTGGGTATTATACTGACATTATCGAGAGTAACCATCTGGTTAGTGAGGGAGTCACGCAGGCGCTTCGGACCGAGTAGGATCACTTCTGTCTTCTCCGGGTTGAGAAGTAGGAAGTTAAGAGTCATCCACATTTTAAGGTCCTTTATGCAGGCACTGAGCTTTTCTAGCTGATCTGTCTGATTAGGCTTCATCGACAGATAAAGCTGTGTGTCATCTGCATAGCAGTGGAAATTAATTCCATGCTTTTTAATAATGTTTCCCAGTGGCAGCATGTAGAGAGTAAAAAGAATCGGTCCGAGTACCGAACCCTGCGGCACACCGAATTCCACTCCAGAATAAGGCGACGAGTCCTGATTCACATTGACGAAGTGATATCGATCTGATAAATAGGATTTAAACCAGCCAAGGGCTGTTCCTCTAAGACCTATATCACATTCTAGCCTCTGCAGTAGAATGCTGTGGTCTATTGTGTCAAATGCAGCACTAAGGTCCAGTAGGACCAGCACTGACACTTGTCCATTATCGGCAGCTAGTAGTAAGTCATTTGTGACTTTGACTAGTGCCGTTTCAGTGCTATGATGAGCTCTGAATCCTGATTGAAAGACTTCAAACATATCATTTTCCTGCAGGTGGCAGCGGAGCTGCTCAGCTATAAGTTTTTCCAGGATTTTAGATATAAAAGTGAGGTTTGAGATCGGTCTGTAGTTTGTAAGTATTTCTGGGTCCAGGTTTGTTTTCTTCAGAAGGGGTTTGATTACCGCGGTTTTAAAAGCTTGTGGGACATAGCCACATTGTATGGATGCGTTTATTATATTTACGATAGGCTCAATTATCAAAGGAAGTATGTCTTTGAAGAGCCATGTCGGGACTGCGTCTAACATGCAAGTTGAGGCTTTTGAGGATGTGACCACAGAGATCACCTCTGCTTGGCTCACAGCCATGAATTTATCGAGGCCCACTGAAGAGTCTAAGTGGGAAGTCACGTATGCCGCTTCAACCTGTCCACCACTAACAGCAGGAGCAACCTCCTCCAGCTTGTCACGGATGGATGTAATTTTATTATTAAAGAAGTGGAGAAAGTCGACACTGCTCAGTGAGCTTGGAATTTTAGGCTCGATTGCGCTATGGCAGTTTGTGAGTTTAGCGACGGTGCCAAACAAAAATCTACTGTTGTTTTTATTCGCTTCTATTAAAGTTGAATAGTATTGAGTTCGAGCCCCGCGAAGGGCCTTCTTGTAGTTTCGGAGACCTGCTTTCCACTCCCTGTGGACAGGCTCCGAGTGGGAGTGGCGATATAGCCTCTCCAATTTTCTGACGTCCTGTTTTAAAGTGTGGAGTTGAACACTGTACCAGGGCGACGATGATCTAATCCTAATGGTTTTCTGTTTTAAAGGAGCTGCTGCATTTAATGCAGATTTTAAAGACTCCATAGTGTTGCCCACCGTTTGGTCAATGACTGAGGGACTGCAGCTGCTGTGAACAGGTTCACCTGCAGCAGTATTCAACATAGGCTGTATTAGTTCTTTGAACCTTGTGATAGATTTATCATTTAAGGTTCTTTTCATTATGGTTTTATCTTGCGGGACAGGAAAGTCCTCCAAAGCGAGATCAAACGTGATCAAGAAATGGTCAGACAGCAACGAGCTTTGACGCTGGATGTCAACATTGGAGACATCACAGCCGTAGGTCAGGACAAGCTCCAAGGTGTGGTTATGAATGTGAGTAGGTTCCTCGACATTCTGAGTAAAACCAACACCATCTAGTACGGCGCTGAAAGCTTTGTTTAAGCTGTCAGTGCTGTCGTCCACATGTATATTGAAGTCTCCAGCTATAACTATGTTTTCCCATTCCAAAACTAGGTTTGAAATGAAGTCAGAGAATTCTGTTAGGAACTCGCTGTAAGGACCAGGAGGTCGGTATAAAACTATAAATAGTACTGCTTTTTGTTTTCTCCACCCAGGACAGGTGATTGAAAGTGTTAAGTTTTCAAACGAGTGAAAAGCGTTGTTGGTTTTGGGACTAAGAACCAAGTTGGTGTGTGATATAATCACAACACCACCGCCGCGACCTGTAGCTCTGGCTTTCTGGTAGTTAACATGCGTCGGAGGAGTGCACTCATTCAATCTAACGTAGTCGTCCTGTTGGAGCCAAGTCTCCGAGAGCGCAAACAGATCCAAGCCCTTGTCTATAATAAGTTCGTTTATGAGAAGCGATTTAGACGAGATTGATCTGACGTTCATTAAACCACATTTAACAACCCTACCGCTAGAACTATTTCTGTCTGTCTGAACTTTTATTAAGTTACTGTGTCTGACACCCAGGTCAGATTTCCTCGCATATAGTGCTTTAGACTTCAAGCGGGGAACACACACAGTTTCAATCTGACTAGGTTCTGAGGCTAGTAACTGAGCACACACAGGCACACACACACATGCACACACAGTTTCAATCTGACTAGCTTCTGAGGCTAGTAACTGAACAGATGGGGGCTCAGAGGTTGTGGCAGAGCAGCTCTGCACCCGGGCCTCAGTTCTGCAT